TCTTCCAATGCACCCCCTAGTGGCCCCCCACCCTTAACATTTTCAGGTGTACACTTAAAGCACATTGTGGGTGCATTTTCCCCCTGTGTAATGCATGGTGTAGGGACACAGGTGGCGCTGTGGTCTAAACCACTGAGCCTAGGATTTGCCAATCGGAAGGTTGGCGGTTCGAATCCCCGCGATGGGGTGAGCTCCCGTTGCTTGGTCCCTGGTCCTGCCAACCTAGCAGTTCAAAATCACGTCAAAGTGCAAGTAGATAAATAGGTACCGCTCCGGCGGGAAGGTAAACGGCATTTCCATGTGCTGCTCTGGTTTCACCAGAAGCGGCTTAGTCATGCTGGCCACATGACCCGGAAAAACTGTTTGCAGACAAACGTCGGCTCCCTCGGCCTGTAAAGCGAGATGAGCACCGCAACCCCAGAGTCATACGCGACTGGACTTATCTGTCAGGGGTCCTTTACCTTTACCGTTTAATGCATGGTGAGCTTTGAATTTTAAATTAGGTGCACTAAATGAAACGAGGAAGCACCCATCTACTTCAAATTGTTGTCTTCAGAGGATGCATAGACTTGTATCCAAAGATTTGGTGACAGTTTGGGCCACGTAAAGGGCTTCTAAGAGAAAAAAAGCATATCAAGATCTAGTTGCTGGAAAATAAAGGGCAACATATTCCAAAGGTGCAATGTTTTTTAAGTGTACAGTGGTACCTTGGGTTACATACGCTTCAGGTTACAGACACTTCAGGTTACAGACTTCGCTAACCCAGAAATAGTACCTCGGGTTAAGAACTTTGCTTCAGGATGAGAACAGAAATCGCGCAGCAGCAGCACGCTGGCAGTGGGAGGCCCCATTAGCTAAAGTGGTGCTTCAGGTTAAGAACAGTTTCAGGTTAAAAACGGGCCACCGGAACGAATTAAGTTCTTAACCCGAGGTACCACTGTAGATGCATTTATCAGTGGCACAATTTAAGGCCAGGGAACCTTATGTTCACTGGCAAAACCTGGGACAGTGGAAGCCTTACGATAGACATGTAGACTTTGTTCCTGTAAATGTGTATAATAAATTGTGGATCTCTTAACTTTTCTCCCAGTGCCGTATTCACGTGGACCAACTTACTTGTGGTGGTTGTGGAGCTATGTGGCTGTGAGCAGGAGGCCCTTGATCTTGTCCCTCTGGTTACCAACGTGGTTTTGGAAGAACATTATCTAATTGTGGGAGTTGTGGTAGTGGTCGATCCCGGGGTGATTCCAATCAACTCCAGAGGAGAGAAGCAGCGCATGCACCTCCGTGACAGCTTCTTGGCTGATCAACTGGATCCCATCTACGTAGCATACAATATGTAATCTGGGGACCGTGGGGCATAGTACAGTTTACAAAGCATTCAAGGACCAGTGAAGTATGTGCAAACAAACAAACAAAACCTGGTTAACAATTAGTGATTATCGTTGTGAAGCTGGATCATGCTATCCTACTGTCTTCTCTCTCGTGGGCTGGCAGCGATGGACTTCTCGAAAGGCAGAAGATGGCAGCCAGTGAAGAACATTTGGATTGCAGGATGTTGGCTTTACAGACAATGGGAAGCTGGCCTGCATGAGAAAACAGCAAATTACTAAGGCCTTTACTGTAGTGTAAACTTTTTCATCTGTTGTATATATTTGTATTTTTTCTAATACTGTTTTAGGATTATACGAGGGGAGGGTTTATTTAGTTAAGATAACAATCTGCAAGAACCGGGTCATGTGAGTCCTGCTCATTCCTACCCCCGCCCCCCGGTGAACAGTGTGCTTTGCAACTTGTAAGTTAGCTTAATTCTGTAGTCTGTTAATACGGGAATCACACTGCTTACTTAAAATTGTGCCATGACCAAATCAAATAATCCACTGAACTGAAGAATTACTTATTCGTATAGATACTTCTTGAATTAAAAAAAAGAAAAGGATTTTGCCTATATTTTAAATATGTAAATAATAATATGCATAATTCATTTATTTAGAAAATCTGCTCAGATAATGACATATGAGGTAGACGTTGTTTTAAGGATTTCAGTATTGGGTGGAATTCAGCTTCATGCTGTGGCGAATGTCCCGTCGGCACTAGTCCTGCAGTTTACCAGACGGAACAATCCTTCCACTCCTCCTGCCACCCACTGTTCACCCAATACCCCTCCCACAGGCAAATTTCAGGGCGGGGGGAGCCCTGTTGTGTGCAAGTAGAAGCCCTCACACAGGGCTTGCACTGACCGGACTCCTTAGGTGAACCCCACCCAAAGTCCTTAAAATAAATCAAGTGTGTTTGGCAATTAATGCAAGCAATGCAGATAGGTTGTCCATTCAGTTTTTACTGTTTAGTTGCTGGCCAGAGTATCTCATAGCATGTAGAAGAAACTGATATTTTAAAGGCACATGTTTATAAAAGAGGCTGACCTCCATAAGCTTTAAAAGCGTTTTATAAACAACAAGAAAAATTCTGGAATGTTTAATATAACCTGTATAGCCTCTGCATACTCTTTGTCATGAATGATGTGTAGGCAGGTCACCAGTTTTATCAGAACCACTCAATTCATGGTCCAAATCATGATTCCTTCTTTTCCTTCCTTGGTTGTGCATGGTAACAGGTGCAAATGCCAGAGCGACTTTCATTTAAACTGGAAAAAAGCCCTGCCCGTTATCTTGAAGCTTGCGCTGCTTTCTGGGCGAGACTTGTTACTGCAAAGCAGGAGCTTTGGCAGAATGTCTTCAAAGCAGGGACAGTTGCAATTCTGTTGAAATAGTGGGGAAATACCTCTCCATATGTTGTTGTGATTATTCTATTCCAAGTGACTGATCAGTTTCCAGCGTTCAAAGAATTGATGACAATAGATGCCTTAAAATGTGCTGGAACATCCATTGTCTGGGAATGGTTTGCAGTCCCCTGTCTTCAGTGAGCTGGGAAAAGCAAGATTTCGGTCTTTTTATTTAGATCCTCACTTTTGTGGTTCTGCCCATATGCCTATTCTTTCCCACTTCCCCTTCTGTCTGTTTGTTAAAAGAACACTGAAAGCAGATGCCAGAAATGGTGACAACTCTTCTTGGGCCATTTGTGGTCTATGTGTAAATAGTTAGAATATTTTAATAATATCTGTTTACCCACCCTGTAACAAAGTTAATGTTTTTAGACATTTTTAAGAGAGATATAAACTTGGATTAAATCCTAAACTACAACAGCTATATTAAGTGCAGCTCTGACGACTATCCCTTAAAACAAATTCCAAATGTATACTTGAAAAACTTTCTGTACAAACTTTTCAAATAGTTCTTTTTATGACCCGATGTATTGATATTTAGACAGAAAGCTTTTAAATATATTAACAAAATATTTACGGTTATCTTCTACGGTCACACATAATGGTGATGGGATGTATCATAAAACAAAGAATTATGGCAAAACTAGGAACAGGATAGAAGGGGAGGTCCATTGCTTCAAACTGCTGAAATATTAACTACTGGCTCATAGCAGGGACGGTTTTAATATTTTGCATTATCAGTATTTCCACAGTGTGGTGCTGCTACATAAATACAAAGCCCTCTATGCTGAAATAGTTTTGGCATGTCATTTGCAATGGTTTGGAAAAGAAACACACACTTGCTATCATTCAGCATGTGAACCACACAGTACAGATGGGCTTCAGCATCCCACATAGGTGCAATCCTATGCATGTTTACTTGAAAATACGTCCCACTGTGGCTTACTCCCTTGTAAGTGTGCTTAGGATTGCAGCCTAAATGTCCTGTGCACCCCAGCCTTTATTTTTAACTGCAATGTTGGCTTTTAGGAGGTCTCAGTTTTTGTAATAAACCACTGTCTTAATGCCTTTCCACTGAATGGAACGGTAGCGTGTTCCCTTGGCAACAATTGTGGTGGGTTTCCGCCCCACACCTATGTGATACCTTTCCACACCCCTTACACTATCAGTTCTTCTGAGATGTAGCATAATAGCAATTTTGTGTTCAGTACAGATAAACGTGCTAGAGTGGCATTTTAGAACTTCCAGTCTGGAAGAACTAAGCTGTATTCTGAATTATGGAGGAAAGAAACTTAACCAGTCTCCACCAGTATAACCTTCACCCTTGATCTGATTGTTAAACCAGAAAGAAAACAAATGCTTAGTGTGTGATTTTCATAGATTGCTATCTTCTCAAAAGACCTAATACTCCTGGGATTTCAATTTTGCTTTTTAGGCCTGGGACCTCCACAGTGCTGCATAATAGTTTGCCTTCAGGTAACTTATACAAAATGGCTGAGATTCCAAAGGAATGACTGTGGAATCAGTGTCATGTTTATCTGAGCTGTGACACTGATTTGCTCTGCGTGGCTTTGGGTATGTTATTCCATGTTCTCCATCAGTACATGAGATAGAGCGGCTTATAAAATGGAATTCAATAAAGACGCACCTTCTCCATAGGTTTTGCTAAGGGATCTATCTGGAGCTAGTTTGCCCTTAGTTCTCCTCCATAACCGCCCACGTCAGGGATGTGGCACTCCAGAGGTTGTTGGACTTCAGCAATAGCCAGCAGGGCCAATGTCCTAGTTATAGTCCCAACATCATCCAGACAGCTGTGGGCTCCCCATAGCTGACCTATGTGGTGGTGGTTTTTAGTGAATGCAATGGGGCAATCCAATGTTGCCAGCCCAGTTTTTGTTGAATTTCCATATTAGCTCAGACAATTGTGAACCTAAATAGAATGGGCTTTCGACAATTTCCATGGTTATGAAGCAATTTGGAACAGCTGTTATCTTGAGAGTCGGTTTACTACTATGAACATACAACTTAATGACAAAAATGTCTCATGTCTTACTTTCAGACGATTTCTGCTCTTGTTAATTATGTTTGTAACTGTACTTACTATTCCAACCATGTTCATTTTACACTGCTTTTCTGATTTTAGTTCACTGTGTAGTCAAGAATGATGGGCCGCGCATTACTGTGCTGGAGATATGGTTGTAGAAACAAAACAAAACCAATGTTCATTGTCTTTAGCCCTGAAGGCATTTTTCCTTTCATTGATGTCAGTAAGTTTACCATTGTCAGATTCAAATTACAACACTGTAATTATGTATAAAGTTTTTTATTTATTTGAAATTAGGTTTTAGATATACTTTTTTTAAAAATTTAACATCTGGCTGGACAGTGTTCCATTAACGCATTGATTGTGTCTCCTTTGTCTTGTGTTAATAAATAATGATGCCTGACTTATTTTATTACATTCTTACCAATATTTTATCCTAGGCTTTCTTCAAGCTCAAGAGTGCTGTACATTTTTGGTTACATTCAACGTAGCACTAAGGAGATCGTTCTATCTGGAGCCATTCCATCTGCCCGATGGAATGATCTTCCCTCTCCCTTCACTGCCATATTCTGGGGTTCTCCTGACCAGGGTAGATTTGGGGAGGACACGGGTTAGGATGTGCAGGAGGAAAAGATGGGAGAAAGTCTCATCCCACTAGTGGCAATTGTTACACTGGCTTCTGCTAGTGCAATAGTTTAGGTCAGTGGTTTTCAACCAGTGTGCCGTGGCACCCTGGGGTGCCTTGAATGATAGTCAGGGGTGCCGCGAGCCACATTAGCCCCCATCCTCTTTCCTTCCCTCCCTCCTCTGATGCCCTCTCATGTCTCTGCCTCCCAAAGGCTTGCACAGCTGTTTGTTGCAGCAGACCTGGCTACAAGCTCCCCATGCGAATGGTGCCTCTGGAGCTGGCCAGGGGGTGCTGGTTGCCAGAAGCTGGTGAGGGAGACCAGGCAAGCAGGTGCCGCGCTGGCCTTTCTTGTGCTTTCTGTGTGCAATGCCTGCCTGGGAGCTGAGTGCCTGGTGCCAAAGGGGAGCCGCAGAAAGAATGTAGTTGGTCAAGGCAGCCGTAGACTTACTTTTGCAACTTGCTTTTCAACAGATCCTCCCCACTCCAAATAGCAAAGTAACAACAATAACCATACATCAACATAGGAGCAGCTGCAGACATTTTAAAAGCCAGATAATCACTCCAAACCCATTCGGATTACTCCAAATACTGTCTAAAAAATTAATCTTCACTAGCCTTGGACAAAATGAAAGAGAAGGGGTTAAATGGCACTTTCAGAGGAGGGAGTGCCAGGCTCGGTACAAGAAGGGAAAAGCCCTGTCTTGTTTGCCACCAACTACTGTATACTTCTTATGCAGTTGGGATATGGCTTCCTTGCCATATCTCAGCAGGCGAGCAGTCCTTAAAAATATCCTGGGCCCAAACTGTTTGGGTCAAGGGGGCCCTCAAAATGAAAAAAAAGGTTAGGATTATAGGGGTTTAAAGGTGGTAATCCACATTTTGAAAAGAAAACCAGGAGTCAATGCAGAGGTAACAATAGAGCCCATGCTCTGGAAACAAAAGCCCCCATCAACAGCATTCTATACTAGCAGTATGTTCAGAAATTTTCAAAGGTAGCTCCACTCAAAGCGCAATGCAATAATCTTCATGATGTCTGATCACCACCACTACCACCACCACCACCAGGATTATGATGATCGCAACAGTGGTCCAAGATCAGGACATTAAGCAGGTTTGTTTTTTCAGGCATAACTTGATTATTCTGCTAGGAGTTCTGGTCTACTAACAAAAAGTGACTGGTCTAGATTCCATATGACCTTTAGAAGCTCCTGATTACTTTTCAGCTTGAGGATGTTTAGGTACAATCGTACCTTGGAAGTCGAACAGAATCTGTTCCAGAAGTCCGTTCGACTTCCAAAGTACAGCTTCCAATTGGCTGTAGGATGCTTCTGCAGCCAATTGGAAGCCACGGAAGCTCTGCCGGACGCTCGGCTTCCAAAATAATGTTAAAAAACGAACACTCACTTCCAGTTTTCATTCTGGAGCCGGAACGTTCGACTCGCAAGACGTTTGGGACCCAAGGTATGACTCTATTGCTATTGTTATTAAAAAAATTAGGGTGCACACACATAGACACACATTCCACAGAAAACTAATCCACCTTTCAAAATTGGGGAAATACTCTGAGGAAAAAATTCACTTTCATTTTAGCACTCACAACAATCCAAAAAAAGGTATCTTGGCTCTCCTAGTGACTCTAAATATTTCCTCTGCAGAAGGAAATACCTTCTGAGAAACCTTAAGACAAATCCTTCAAATCCTGTCTTAAGGACATATTTTGTGTATGAATAGGGTAGGCCCATGACCTGGATTCAGGAACTAAATCGGGATATGTGGTGCTTGCTTCAATGAATCAAAAGCAAGCAGGCCTCAAGGCTATACAATTTCATTTAACGTGATTGACAGGTATGCCCCTATCGTCAGATTTAATACAGTAGCAAATCAGTAGATTTGGGTGGGACTAGTACTTTATAAGCACACCAGAAAGCCTTGTGTCCACAGAAGTACTGCAGGCAAATGTGCTATTAATATTATTATTTTCTGGCAGGAGTAGGAGGCTGTCAAATATGTAGTCAAAATATGGTTTATGTGTAGAAAATATTAACTTGAAAATCATCTTATGAACTGAGAAATAATCCAATTCATTTGCAAATACATTTAGATTAAAAAAAAGCTGAATTCAATAAACATTTTTCTTAATTGTTTATATGTTTAAGGAAGAAATCAAGATAATATTAAGCTATACACAGAAGAAAGCCTCCCTTTGTAACAGCTTTTGGGTGATTATTTTGAGAAGTACTCGGTGCTGAATTCACCTATTGCATTAAGGTCAAGATGGAGCAACATAATTTGACGAGATCTGAATAAGATAGCAGCAAATACCTAATGACATCAACGTTTCCTTGTTTCTTACATTCCCAGATAGTTCTAGCTAGAATTACAACATACAAAAGTCAAGCCAAAGTGAAACACATTCGCAGGTGACTTATTGCCAGATAATGGCAGGCAACTATGGGGGAGCATACTAAGCCTTCTCTAGCACTGCTTACGGAGGAAAAACAAGAAGCCTACAGCTGAGGTAGTGTTTTTGTGTGCAGCCATATTCTGGGGAAGAAAATGGGGCTTCGACAATATTTCAGTACAAATAGAATCTGTCTGTGCTCTCTTGCCAGATCAGATGCTCTTCTGAAGCAGAGAGAACATGTGTGAAAATCCCTTTCCTTTGTTGTAAACAAAAATTGTCCTTTTCCCTTATGGGGTATCCAAGAGCCCATATAGAGTCCTTACATTAGGTTCCCTATTGGTAGGAGAAAATAACAGAGGCCAACCAGAGAATATTGAGAAGCAAAGCAACTAGTAAGCCTGATCTTTATTGATCTGTTGCAACAGGGTGCTCCCCTCACACACAGGAGAGGAGGAACCCAGAACAATGGCGCGCAAGGCCTTATAAAGACCTTTGAAATTGCCACCCTGTAGATCAAGACCACCCCCCAGATACATCATACCTACATCACAGAAAAGGCGGTCTAAAACAGAAATTTGAATGTTGTTTTTCTCCTGTTGTTGTTTATCTCCTGTCTGGCAGGTTACTTGATTGGATTGCCAGGGAAGCCTGGCCAGTCTTTTGTAATGATAAATACTTAGTTCCTGGGCCAGGTCACAGGCTGACACCCTATTGTATCTTAAATCGGCCCGTAAGACAGGATTTGTGAGGAAAGAGAATGGGGAGGTTTCCCACTTTGACCTTTGCTCAGTTTAGGAATCAAAATGGTTCCAGGTTGGTCTTCCTGTGCTGATCTATGTACGTGCTTGGTTGGTACACTTATGAAGATTACCACATATCTAAGACTATGGGACGCAGGTGGCGCTGTGGGTTAAACCACAGAGCCTAGGACTTGCTGATCAGAAGGTTGGCGGTTCGAATGCCCGCGACGGGGTGAGCTCCTGTTGCTCGGTCCCTGCTCCTGCCAACCTAGCAGTTCGAAAGCACGTCAAAGTGCAAGTAGATAAATAGGTACCGCTCCTGCGGGAAGGTAAACGGTGTTTCCGTGCGCTGCTCTGGTTCGCCAGAAGCGGCTTAGTCATGCTGGCTGCATGACCTGGAAGCTGTACACCGGCTCCCTCGGCCAATAAAGCAAGATGAGCACCGCAACCCGAGAGTCATGACTGGACCTAATGGTCAGAAGTCCCTTTACCTTTAAGACCTCAAAATTCCTATCACACCTTCCATGTTAAGGAAATAATGCCCGATTAACCCCATGCTTTCTCTTGGCTCAAATAAAGTATACACGGATAGGATCACGCTGCAACCCTGTGCTCTTATTTATTCGCTGGAATCTGGCTTTCCTTAAGAGATCCCAGGGCAGTTCAAAGAATAAAAGTCAGCATATAAATGTAATAAAAATTCTGTGAACCGCCCTGGGATCTCTTGAGGAAAGGCAGCATATAAATTCAATAAAAATTCTATGAACCGCCCTGGGTCCTCTTAAGGAAAAAGGCGGTATATAAATTCAATAAAAAAATAAATTTAATTAAAATACATTTGTTCCTAGGCGCGCGATAACTGGCGGGGCTGCGCACCTTCACGACCGCCAAGATATCAGCGGCGCCCTGAAAACTCTACCGCACGCGCAGCCCCGCCGCTCTATACTCCGAACGCCCGCGCCTCGGTGGTGCCCCGAGCGCTCGCGCAGCGGCTGCTCTAGGCTTCATGGAAGGCGGCGGCTCTATCGTCAAAGGCGGCAGCCCTCTCTAGCTCTGGCCTCCAGCGCACTCTATCGTCGCAACCCGCCCACCCCGAGCTCCAGAGCGAGAGGGTGCGTGTCTGAGGGAGTGCGTGCTCTCTTCTGCCTGGCGGGGCCTACTCCCGACAATGCTGGCGGCGGCTCTGGCTTCCCTGAGGCGTTAGGGCGGCGGCGGCGCCTCCGCCGCCTTCCGTCTCCTCTCCCCTCACGGGCGCCGCGTGAGGCCGAGGCGAAGCCGGCGGCGGTGTCGTCTCTCTGAGGTAAAAGCGGGCGCGACCGGCGGCGACTCAATCAGGGCGCGAGGCGAGGCGGACGCGGCCGAATCAACGAGCGCGAGGGAAGGGAAGGAGGGCGGGCGAGAGAGCGAGCGGGTCGGGGAAACGCCTCGGGAGGAGGGAGAGGCGGCTCGCGGAAGCCGGGCGCTCGCGAGCGGTTCCCGTTCGAAAAGGCGCGAGCGAGGCGGTTGGGATTTGGCGGGAGGGAGGGCGAAGCGCCCTCGCCCGTCTCCTGACGCCCCGGCGGGAGGCAGACCTTCGCCCGCCACAGCTGTTGCACAAGCGCCGGGTCTCACCCGCGGACGCCTCGCTCGCTATGGGCGAGGGCTCGGCTTCCCCTCAGGCTCGCCCGCCCGCCTGCCGGCTGCTGCTGCTGCTGCCGCCTCCTCCTCTGGCCTCCCTCTCCTGACAGTTGGCGAGAGGGGGCTTCGAAAGCAAAGATATTATTATTGTTATTAGGCGAGGGGGGCTTCGAAAGCAAAGATATTATTATTATTATTAGGCGAGGGGGGCTTCGAAAGCAAAGATATTATTATTGTTATTAGGCGAGGGGGGCTTCGAAAGCAAAGATATTATTATTATTATTATTGGGCGAGGAGGGCTTCGAAAGCAAAGATATTATTATTATTATTATTATCAGGCGAGGGGGGGCTTCGAAAGCAAAGATATTAATAATAATAATAATAGTCGGAAGTTGGGAAGCAACTAAAACCTTCGCACACGTCTCAAGCAAGCTTACGACTTGCAGGCGTTTGGATTGCACTTTGATAAAAGATGCGTTTGCCGCCGTATTTCCAGCCAGGTTTGCCCACTTGAATAAAATATTTGGGGAGGGTGCGCGCTTGTGTTTGTGCATGACCGATCGCAAGATTGTGGCACACGCACATAACCGATGTGGCACGCGCACCACCATTTGAGTGACAACGCCCATCAACTTTGAGGGGAGTTCGGCTCCCTCCGATGTTTTATTGGTGCGGGGAGCAGGGCAAAGAAACCTCGGCCCCTTGGAGTTGGCTGCAGTGAACGTCTGTATACAGTTTTTAAGTACCTAAAGCGAGTCACGTGATGGTTTTAATCTTAAACGGAAGGTCGGCTTCCTTTGTGCTCAGGTGCAACTTCCGCAGTGCTGTGTGTCGTTTGTGTGTATTTAGGTGTATCCTTAAGATCTGCTTTCCAAAGGAAGGCTCGCCTGGCATCAACTCCGATTGTCTTTTTTTATTTCCCCTAGGCTTTAAAATTCTATCTGTAAAGCTGTGCTGGGGATATATTGTTAAAATATTTATATCCTGCCTTTTGAACAGAATGTTTAGGGTAGTTCACAGACGTCAAATTACAATTACAGCTGCATTTATTCTGCTGTTCGTTTTAGGTGTGCTTGAATCTGCTGATTTTACTGGTCTAGTGGGTTTTGGGAAGGTGTACAGCATGCTGTCCGGCTCCCTTACGTGCAAGTAGATAAATAGGTACCGCTTTCTAGCGGGAAGGTAAACAGCGTTTCCGTGTGCTGCACTGGTACTGGCTTGCCAGAGCAGCTTCGTCACGCTGGCAACGTGACCCGGAAGTGTCTCCGGACAGCGCTGGCCCCCGGCCTCTTAAGTGAGATGGGCGCACAACCCTAGAGTCGGACACGACTGGCCTGTACGGGCAGGGATACCTTTACAGCATGCTGTAATGGTATATTGAAAGGGAGTGTATGAAGTTGTAATGTGAAAACAGCGTCAGACAGGTGTATGAAAATGAATCTCATACAGTGGTGCCTCGCAAGACGAAATTAATCCATTCCGCAAGTCTCTTCGTCTTGCGGTTTTTTCGTCTTGCGAAGCACGGCTCTTAGCGGCTGTTAACGGCTTAGCGGCTTTAAGAAAAAGGAAACAAACTCGCAAGAACTCGCAAGACGTTTCGTCTTGCGAAGCAAGCCCATAGGGAAATTCGTCTTGCGGAACAACTCTAAAAACGGAAAACTTTCCTCTAGCGAGTTTTTCGTCTTGCGAGGCATTCGTCTTGCGGGGCACCACTGTACATGTATTCTAGATAGATAGGCAGAATTGGCTGCAGTTTCTAGCTTACCATATACTCTGTGCCAAACCAAGGCTTGTGAAATGGCTCTGAGCTTGTTGAAGATAATCAAAAGAGAACCTTTAAATAATCTACTCTAGTTCGCCCAACTTTGGGGGGCTGCTTCTAATATGTCTTTCAAGGGTAATTCTTGTTCATAATTGTTTTAAAGAGACAATGTAGAGCTGTAGTTATCTAAAATGTTGTGATCCAAATAAGTAATCTAAAATGCATTGCAGGGGGTTGGACTAGATGATCCTTAGGGCCCTTCCAACTCTACAATTCTATTTTACATCACTCATGAAATAATTGTACCTTCTTTGACTGAGTTAATTGCATGTTCATTTTCTTTTAATACAGGCCACCTTGGAGGCCTGTTACCAAAGTGGAAAAGTAAGAAGTGGTTTTTAAAATAAATAACCTTTGGAAGCAAAAAAAACACCACCCACTGATGCTGTATTATCAATCAATCAATCAATCAATCACATTTCTAGGTCACCCATCACTTGAGGATCACTGGGTGGTTTACAATATAAAAGCACAAAAAATACATACCATAGTAACAAACAGTAATAACCCTCCACATTTTAAAAGGCCATAGATTGTTTAGTTAGCCAAAGGCCTGGGAGAAGAGGAATATTTTTGCCAGGTTGCCTAAAGATATGTAACTAAGGCGCCAGGCAAGCCTACCAGTGGACAGCATCCCACAAACAGAGCCACCTCAGAAAAGGTTTGTTTTGTATAATTGGTTGTTTTGTATAATTTGATTGAAAATCAATAAAAAATAATTGCCAAAAGGAAAAGGCCTGTTTTGTGTTGCTGCTCTCTGGACATCTTGCAGAGGGGACACACAAAGAAGGGCATGAAATCATTATTGGAGGGTCCAAATTGATTCAAATGGGGAGAGGCAGTCCTTGAGATCCATTCTGAACACGGTAGGTATTTTAAATATATCACTCTAGGCATCATTTTAGCAGAATCATGACACCTCTCTCTTCCTTTAAATACTTCAACAAAACCCACATTTTGGTATTTAGGGCTTTGACAACCATCTCTTGCTATTCTTGCCTTCATCCAAGGATAGGGAACCAGTAGCCTTCCAGATGTTGAGCTGTAGCTCCCATCATGCCTGACCATTGGCAATGCCCTATAGGGCTGATGGGAGTCCGAAGTCCACCAGCATCTGGTCACAAGTTTCCCACTCCGGCTCTTCATCTTATCTTGCCTTCCTCACTATTGAAATGTTAGTTATAAATTTATTGGAGCATGGATTATTTCTTTGGATTATGTTCTGTAAAGTGTGTACATTGGTGATGCACTATAAATAAACAATAATTTTACTACTACACCCGAGTGCTTACTAGATACTTTTACAAACAAGGAAATAGATAGATTCCTCCCCAAGGTGGTTTAAAATTTACAAAATGAAAAGGGAGGGAATGTGTAAGCAATAGTAAGCCCAAATCTAAAGTGGTAATTGAAATGAGTTTTAAGTTGTAGAAGCTGTTTTAAAATGAATGATAAGAAATTAATGAAGAGTAAAATAAGAGAACAATGGTATGTTTTGAGCATTTCTTAAAAGAGCAGAATAGGCTTTTCATAAATTATTATTCTAATAATTTATATCACACTTTTTCCACAAAGGTTTTGCTTAAGGCAAATAAAACAGAAATTCACATAAGAAAGCACAGTAATCAAACTATTAAAGTCAGATTATCAAATTATTTTATAAACAGTGGCAAAAAAGAGGACAGCCTCGATCAGTACATTAAATAGGAACAGAATCAAAAGCTGGTTTTACTAAGTTCAGTTGCCAGTGGAGCACAAATAAGAAGAATATGATGTAATCTTTCAGTGCAGGGAATCTACATACAAGGCGCCACGATAGAAAAAGCTCGCTGCTAACCTTGCTTCAGAAGACATTGGAACACATAAGAGGAGTGCAAGAGGTTTATGAAGAGAATGACTTACATAGAAGCAAGAGCGAAAAAGATCAAGATGTTTTAACTGAAATAAGAGGTCTTGGGTTGCCCAAGGAGTTTTTGAAGAACCATGAGTTTAGACTGGAACATTAGTGTTAGTTTACTGTGGTGTACATGTAACCAGATGGTAAGCTGGTTATCTATAGTGTGCTCCTGAAGCTGCAGAATTGTAAAATTCTCATTGTATATTTGCAGCCAGCCAGTTTACCAAGTGGCTGCATGGATACTATGCATTGCTAACTCTTTGTGGCTTGGTAAAGATGGGACAATATAAGCTGTGCGTTCAACTAGACTTAGCTGAGTATATGTGTGACACAGCTTTAGAAGGGGGCATAGTGTGGGACAGGTACAGTTTGCTGCTTGGCTGCTCTTTAGGTGCAATTACTTCCTGTTGCACATAGTGGCAAATTACAAGCTTGATCAGAGCTTAAGGTGGTATAGAGAAAGATCAGAAAGTAAAACATTACATCATCAAGACGATCAAACATTTTGTGTGGGAGAAACAAAAGGAAACTTTTAGCAATATTAAACACAACAGAGGAAGAAAGAAAAGTAGTAAGACCTCGCAACCCAAGTACAAAGGGGCAATACCTTTAGCTCCACTCCCCATCTTTGTATGGAGTGTGCCAGCTTCCCACTTGTTCAGCTGCAACTTATGCCATGGAAAACCTTTCCTCGTTGTGTAGGCTCCCCACATGATTTAGAAACTTACACAAGGAAAAAAGGCTCTCCACAGCAGAAGTTACCCCTGAGCACTTGGGAGTCTGGCACAAGCTGTATGATGACTGGGTTAGGGTTAAAAGTGAGTCCCTGCAGCCCCTTTGTTGCTCCTTCACATGAGTAGTGCCTGATCAGTGCTACAGTTAGTTGTTAACATTGCCTGTTAGCCTTAAAGGTAAAGGGACCCCTGAGCATTAGGTCCAGTCGTGGCCGACTCTGGGGTTGCGGCGCTCATCTCGCTTTATTGGCCGAGGGAGCCGGTGTACAGCTTCCGGGTCATGTGGCCAGCATGACTAAGCCGCTTCTGGCGAACCAGAGCAGCGCACGGAAACGCTGTTTACCTTCCCGCCGGAGCGGTACCTATTTATCTACTTGTACTTTGACGTGCTTTCGAACTGCTAGGCTGGCAGGAGCAGGGACCGAGCAACGGGAGCTCACCCCATCACGGGGATTCAAACCGCCAACCTTCTGATCGGAAAGTCCTAGGCTCTGTGGTTTAACCCACAGCGCCACCCTCGTCCCCCCGTTAGCCTTACATTTGGACAAAGGTTGTAAAAATATTTCGGATACCCATGCACCAGCAGGCACTTGAGATGTTTACATCCCTGATATAGACTGGACAGTTTGTACAGGTTTCATGATTCTCCAAAAGTGCTATAGAAACAGAAAGCTACATTTCTTCGTCTAGTGAGAGCTATGAAACTCTTCTGGATGATTATCTGTTTCCAGTTTTGTCTGTGTTCTGAAAATTTTGGCTTGAGCTAAATATTTTACAGTTGCCAAAAGCTGGGGTGTACGTATGTTTTTCCAGTTGGCTACAGAATTCTCTCAGCATCTAAAGTGGTTAACTGGAATAGTTTCTTTTCTCCTGAAGTATAGTTCTTCCAAAATACCAAAGAATTGGGAACTCTATAGTAAGTTAATAGAAATCCTTGCCACATATATAATAATGACAAGAAAAGCCTACGTTTATTAAACTCTTTAAGAAGAAGAATTCAAAGATTGTTCTTTCTCACTTTGTTAGGTTAGTGAAGGCCACAAGTCAAATCCCTCCTTTGGCATGAACTCACTTCATGGCTTTATTTAAGCCACTCTCTTACACTGTTGCCCCCCACCCTCATCCGTGTGACGGCCTACCTTGTAAGGTTGGGGTAAGGTTACAACAATGTAATGCATGTGAAGCATTTTGAACACTCAAAATTGCAGTAGGCATACTAAGAATTAATAGGGTTAAATTAGAGCAGAAGAGGTGATTCAGAAGTGCTGCAAGATGGTACGTAGGAAACCACCACATTGGGAAGGGTGAATTCACTGCTCTGAAAAACTAATATTTTGGAAGATGCTCTTGAAACAGTATTTAAAATAACAACTATAAGGCTGCATGAAGAGATTATGGTGCTTCTGTTGCATCAAGTGACTTAATTTAGAAGAGTCAGTTATGTCAACTAATATCAGTAATTCACTATTCATTGTTTAGTTAAATTTTGTTTAGCAAATAATAATAGAATATTTAACTTGCAGATAGATCAAGCCAATATATATTGACTTCTTTTCATCTTAATTAAAAGAAGACTATTAAGCACTACATTTCATTTGTTCATGTAGGAAAGAATTGATTGTGATTAGATAAAACAGGCTCCATATTAGAGATGAATGTCTTGTTTTGCATTGTTCAACTCGGTAGCAGTGATGGTGGTTTTCTAGAAAATTTTCAATCAGAGCATTTTTTTTGTAACATCCCATTGCCCAAATCAATTGAGATTTGATTTAGTATGTTTGTTTTACTGATGTTTAAGAAACATCAGTAAAGTGCTATTTTTGTACACAGTACACATGTCTGAAAAGCTTTTCAAGTAGTTGTTGAGGTGGGGGAGGAAAAGATGCCCCTTTGCTGCCTCAGATCCCAAGCTGGTATATTGAAGAGGCCTGAATTGATCCCATTGCCATCATGTGACAGCAGCATGGCCAGCTCTGTCCTTTCCCATGTTGTAGCTGACCACCACTGGCAGTAGCTTCTACCCATCTGCCACTTGGGCAGGCACATTGAGCTGCCCCTTGCTGGTGGCACTGGCCCATCAACTGGAAAGACTGGGCAAAGAGGCACATCCAAGAGCTATATAGCTGCCTGGAGGATGTTGGCATGGCACCCCACCTGCCACTCTTGTTCCTATGCTAAACCAAGCTTAATGCAAGAACAGTTAAGATAATAAGGTTTTGTTGCTTTTGTAAAATCTAGCATAAGAACAGTATATGAAAGGGACTTTCCTTTGCTTTTTACCAATTAAGTAATAAACTTGCTTCTTGTGTAATTACATTATGTCGCTCCAATTAAAAAATGCAAGGGTCCATATAAATGAAAATAATGAATTAGGCAAATATCTTGAGAACTGCAATTCTTGTTTATTTTTTGTCTAGGTCAAGAGTTGAATGTGTGAAATAGACATTTTAAGACACTTGCTATTGTTTTTTGTTTTTCTTTCCTTTTCTCTGATCACCTTTTAATGTTTTCATTTATTTTAGAAATTGTCTATGAGGCAGAACCCAGTATGATTATGTTTTGCCTGGTTTTTTTCTTGAATTGTGAGCACCCACAAAAGTGTGAAAGTAGTATACAGTGGTACCTCAGGTTACATACTCTTCAGGTTACATACGCTTCAGGTCACAGACTCTGCTAACGCAGAAATAGTGCTTCAGGTTAAGAACGTTGCTTCAGGATGAGAACAGAAATCGTGCTCCGGTGGTGCAGCAGCAGCAGGAGGCCCCATTAGCTAAAGTGGTGCTTCAGGTTAAGAATGGACCTCTGGAACGAATTAAGTACTTAACCCGAGGTACCACTGTATTGACTCAGCCTGTTCTGACTCAGTTTCTGCCTTTGTTTTAATTATAACTAGGAAGGGACACCCCTGCTCACTTCACTTGGCAACCTCCCTAACTCCAACCCCAAAGCACTTCTCCCGCAAAGCCCCTCCACTTCCCATTACTGTACTCCTTGCCAAAGTTCCGTCCCCTTACTCCTTGCTACCTCTGCAGCTTGCTCACACCATTGTGCCACCACTCTTACTCAGTGCACCTTGCCTGCTCCACCCCCATATGTGCCACCCCCTCATTAGACTTGCCCCACCACCACAAGCCCAGTTTGCCTTCTCTGCTTTGCTGACTCTTCTGCGCTGTCAGCCATCTCACTCAACCCACAAACCACTGGAAGCCCGACTTGTTCATCCATTGCCCCTCATGCTTGCCTGCTCTGCCCATTTAGCTGTGCATTCTGGGAGACCAGCAGGGCAAGTAGCTGGTCACAGCATTAGGGGAAGACTCCCTGTCTTCTTCCACAGCCTGCCTGCACTAAGCCTCTGTGAGTCTGCACTGCTGTCTGCCACAGCGCATCTTCCTGTTTACTCAACCCTGTTGCACCTGCAGCTTCTGACACCTCCTTTCCCCAATCTTCTCACTCTTCTCCCTTTGACCACTCATCATCATCCCACCATCAGTCCCCTGGCTCTGAGCCTTCTTCCTCTGGGGGTTCCCCAACTGGTGCTTCCCACCATTCCTCTGCATCCAGCCAGCCCATGACAGGGAGGTATGGTGTAGGAGGTGCGACAGGTTGCGTGAGCAGCACACAGCACAGGCAGTTAGTGACTTCTACAAGTGGTTTCAGTCCTACTTCCTTGGTCATTTCCAGAGGGTGATATTTGGAGAGTGCTTTTTCGTCTTGTGGAGCCTTCATTTTGGGGTTCCTCAGGGTTCAGTTTTATCCCACATGCTGTTTAAAATCTATCTACATGATACTGCTGAGGGGGGTTATCCGGAGTTTTGGAGTACATTGTCAGCAATGTACTGATGACACACAGCTCTGCTTCTCCTTTACATCTGCAAGTGAGGCAGTGGGTGTGCTGGACCGATGTCTTGCCTCAATAATGGATTGGATGACAGCCAACAAACTGAAGCTTAATCCAGATAAGACAGAGGCTGTTAGTGGGTGGATCCCTAGACACAATGGATGGGAGGTTGCCTGCTCCTGATGGGGTTAAACTTCATCTGAAGGAGCAGATATGCATCTTGGGGCTCCTTCCAGTTCCATTGCTGTCATTTGAGTCTCAAGTGGCCTCAACGGTACGGAGTGTCTTCCCTCAACTTCAGCTGCGCTCCTATCTGGACAGGGATAGCCTAACTGCTGTTGTCTATGCTCCGGTAACCTCTAGGTTAGGTTACTGCAATACATTATATGTGGGGCTGCCTCTGAAAATGATTCAGAAACTTCAGCTGGTGCAGAATTCAGTGGCTAGGTTGCTCACTGGGGCAAAACGGTTTGAGCATATAATGCCAATCCTGGCCCGACTGCACTGGCTGCCAGTTAGTTCTGAGCACAATTCAAAGGGCTGGTTTTGATCTATATAGCTTTACGTGGCTCAGGACCACAAGACCTCAAGGACCACCTCTCCCAATGTGAATTGATCTGGACCCTTCTTTGTGTGCCTCCTTTGCAAGAGGTCCAGAGGGCAGCAACATGAGAACAAGGCTTTTCTGTGGTGGCTCCCTGCTTGTGGAATGCTCTTCCCCAGGGAGGCTCACCTGGCACCTTTGTTACATATCTTTAGGCATCAGGCAAGAATATTCTTCTTCTCCCAGGCCTTTGACTAATTAAACACTCTATGGCCTTCTAAACTGAATGGGAGGGTATTGTTTTCGTTTGTTACTATGAGATGTATTTTGTGTTTCTATATTGTAATCTGCTATGCAATCCTTGGATAAAGGGCGCTACAGAAATAATAATAATAGTAATAGTAATAATAATAATAATAATAATAATAATAGGTAATATAGTCGTCACAATCTTAGCCTGCAAAATACAAACACTGTGTTTTTGTAGTTGGATGGCGTTATTTTGTGACACCTTTATGTCTCGTTTTGTGTGGAAGGTTATAATAGAGATTCCCTGAGATGGAAGAGATATTTCCAGACCATGTTCCTTACAAGCTTTTAAAAGCTTTGTTCTTTCAATTTGTAAACAATAATACTTAATTAGCCGCCCCCCTCCTTTGTAATTAGAAAAAGTACATAGTTTTCAAACTCTTTAAGGAACTCCTGTATTGACTTTTTGGCTGATTAAGTCCTTCTCATTGCAGAAGACTGTGGGGCATGTTCCAGGATGCACAGTTCTTGCAGAGCACTGACCAGGCCTATTGTGCCTCATTGTTTTTCTTTGTGAACAGAGAGGGCACTTTATAGAACACTCACAAAACTCCTGGGCAGCTGCACATTGCACATATCAGTAATGATGGGCTAGCTCCCTTTTAGGGAAGTTTTCCCACTTTTACTGATCTCCTTATTGAGAAACACCAGAGTTCTTTGGAGGATAGTTTGAAAACCATAGCAGTAGAATAGTACAAGTGGAGCTGCAACTGAATGTTGCAGTTTGGAATGTTCTTGTTCAGTGTTCCAGCCAGCCAGCCGTTGCTGGCTCTATTTCTCTATTACCACCAGCATGTCCCTCACTTCAAAAAACCACTGAGCATTTTATGGTCACTGAGCATGGTCTGATATGATTGGGCTGTGGGGGTAGGGGGTTGTCTTCTTATATTCCCCTCCAAAATATTTTCTCTGGTTCTGCAAATCTTGGCATCCCACTGAGCTGCTGATACCTCCCTCATTGCTTAGTAGCTTGGTTTTCTCTTTGTAGCTATTATAACTCAGCATCTGAGTTCACTTGTAGAATCTGTGTGTGTGTGTGTGTGTGTGAGAGAGAGAGAGAGAGAGAGAGAGTAGTATATGCTAAGTTGTCATTGTGTTCATGAGAGGTGTCTGCTGTTTGATAGCACGATTCATCTGATTAAGAATGGAAAGGCTGAAGTGAAGCTCTTGAGACTTTTTCATTATGGTGACTTGCATTCTTCAGGTTTTAGGACTGAGCTCCTGTGGTTGGTCTCGGCAGGGAAAAATCAATGACTCATATTTCCATTGAGAGAAATGTAATTTCCAGTTTCTCAGCAACAGCTCTTGCAACTATTTCAAATGTTGTGTAACAACATGCTCAGAACTGGTAGATCATCTTTGACTGCCTCAGAGGTATTTTTATTGGAACACTGTCTGTGCATACCCTGGTGCTGTTGACCAGGAAATGCTTAATTGGGCAGCAGGTGTAATAAAATGCACGGCAGTTACATATCCTAGATGCAGAAAGTTCTGAAACAAACTAGAATACAAATAACTTGTCCTCCACCACCACTCCTCCCCTATTGTTCTCTCGTGGGAGAAAAAAAACCTGTGGCGCAGTTGAGGTGATTTTCACCCATTCTGTTTTCTTCGTGCAAGTCCTCCGTGCTCTGTTCTAGAAATTCTTTTGAGGGGTTCAGGGGGGGAGAAGAAATCAGAAAAACCCTCTTTCCTTGCCCCAAGGCAGGAGCATCCTGTGCACTGAGTTATGTTCACAGGAGCTCTGTATCCAAACTACTATTATATATGGATTTTTTCATTTCAGTAAAAAATAGAATTTATAAGTGACAAAAGACCATTATGTGACTAATTACCACACTATTGTATCAACTAGGTGTCGCTCACAAGGATATAAAGAACCGTATTACACAGTTTCAAACTAATGGTCCATCTAGCATAGTGGAAGGCCGTTGTATTTCTTGAAGGTCCAAAATTCATGGCAGCAGCAATGGTGGTGTCCAGAATACTTGTCAGTGGGCATAATCCAGGGAAGTTCAGTGTACCAAAGTCTCGTTGAAATCAGCAAGATTTAAAATGTTTCAGGCTGCATAAGTTCCATTGCTTTCAGCAAGGTTCAAGGCCTGTCTCTGAATTGCACATATTGACAACTCCTGATGCAAGATCCTCCTTACGATGGCTGGCAGACACAACTGTGGGTAGAGCCAAGACAGTAATCACCAACAAGGCAGTATTATTTTATAATGTCCTCTGGCACTCTTTCAAAAGCATCCGTCTCTCTTGGGTTATAATAAACTCTGCATTTTGCTGTCTTTCGGTTTCTTATAGGCTGATTATGGAAGAGGCTCACAAAAGCAACAGTAACAATTCAGCAACACCCCCACAAGCAGCATCTTTACAAGGTACCACGCTACAAGCAGCTCAGCTTTCTCGTGTTTCTCAACAGGTAAAGAAAGCTATCTAAGGTCAGATCCTCTGAGGAATTTTTTTTTTTTTAACTGATAAATTTTTATTGGTATTATACATATATACATATAAACTTATACGAAGTCCAATACTTAAATTACACATAATATATTCATTCCATAAATCATAAATACATTTGTTTTAGGCTCTGCCGAGCCTTGGACTTCCTTCCACTCCTTTGGTAAGTATCAAATAGACTTTATATTCACGTATTTTATCTCTTTTACATAATAGCCTTTTACTGTTAGAGTTATTCCAATCCCGCCAGTGTCGTTTAAAGTTTAGACCCAATATATATCCAATATTTAATCCAATTGTCATGAAATTTCTGTTCATCTTGATCTCTTACTCTTCCTGTTATTCTAGCGAGCTCGGCATAATTTGTTAATCTGCCAATCACTTATATTAGGTATGGCGTCCATTTTCCAATTTTGTGCTAACATGATTCTTGCGGCTGTTGTGGCATATAAAAATAGTACCTTATCTTCTTTTTTAATTTCTTTACCTGTCATTCCTAGCAGAAAAGCTTCAGGTTTTTTGGGAAACGTGTATTTAAAATTTTTTTTAAGCTCATTATAAATCGATTCCCAAAAGCCTTTCACTTTGCTGCATAACCACCACATATGGTAGAAGTCACCGTCTACTTCTCCACATTTCCAACATCTTTTGTTCTTTAACCTATAGATCTTAGCCAGTTTCACTGGTGTGAGGTACCACCTAAATATCATTTTCCACATATTTTCCCTTAATGCCATACATGCTGTGAACTTCATGTTAATATTCCATAATTCTAGCCATCTCTCAAAATCAATGTTATAGCCGATGTCTATTGCCCACTTAGTCATGACCTCCTTCACCTCCTCGTCTTTTGTATACCACTCCAATAAAATATCGTATATTCTAGACAGTATTTTGTTCTTTCCTTCAACAACTTCCACATTGAATTTAGATTTTTTATCTTCGAATCCTATTTTCTTTTTATCTTCTTTTAACAGGTCGTTTACCTGGTGGTGTTGCAGCCACCCAGTAAATGAGTTTTTAATCTCTTCATAGGGTCTAAGTTTTATACCTTGATCCGTTTTCCTTGTAAGTTCTTCATAGGTAGCATTCTTCCCTTCCATATTAACTTTTTTGACCGTTAATACCTCTGTTGGTGAGATCCACCAGGGTGTCTTCCTTTCCAATAGGTTTTTATTTCTTTCCCATACTTGGAATATTGGCCCTCTAAAAATATGGTTTAAAAAAGCCTCTATGTACTTTCACCTTTTCATACCACAGGTACGAGTGCCACCCCTACCTGTTATCGAAGCCTTCAAGATCCAAGATGTCTCTGTTTTCTAGCGTTATCCAGTCTTTCAACCACGATAAACACGCCGCCTCATAGTATAAACATAAGTCCGGAAGGGAGAAGCCCCCTCTTTCTTTTCTATCTACCAATATTTTCATTTTTATTCACTGTCTTTTTCCCTGCCAGATGTATCTCGCCAAGGCTCTTTGCCATTCTTTACATTGCTTTAAACCTTTAAGTACCGGGATGGTTTGAAATAAAAATAACAATCTAGGCAAAACGTTCATTTTAATAACCGCTATCCTCCCCAAAAAAGATAGTCTCATTCTCTCCCAAATTTCTAAGTCTTTCTTAATGTTCTTCCAGGTGACCTCATAATTATCCTTATATAGGTTAATGTTCTTAGCCGTAATCCAGACTCCAAGGTACTTCACCTTCTTTGCCGTCATAATTCCGGTTTTTTGTTCTAGATCTACTATATCTTCTTTAGATACATTTTTAGTCAGTATTTTAGTCTTATTCTTATTGACCTTAAAGCCTGCCACAGCACCAAACTCTTCAATTTTTTGCAGGGCTTCTTTTACACTGTGCTTTGGATCTTCTAATGTTAGAACAATGTCATCCGCAAAAGCTTTAATTTTGTGTTCCTTAGTTCCTACCCTAACTCCTTTAACCTCTGCTGTTTCCCTCAGCCTCTTAGTAAGTACTTCCAATACTAAGATAAATAATAGGGGGGACAAAGGGCAGCCTTGCCTGGTCCCTTTAGAAATATCAAAAAATTCTGATGTAGTATTATTTATTATAAGTTTTGCCTTTTGCTCATGTAGATAGCCTCTATACCTTTTCTGAATCTTTCTCCCATCCCCATCATTTTCAAATTTTCCATCAGAAAGCGTCAAGAGACATTATTGAATGCCTTATCCGCATCGATAAATATCAAGGCCGCCTGTTTATCTATTCTAGTTTCCAGGTATTCAATAATATCTATCACATTTCTTACGTTATCCTTTAGTTGTCTTCCTGGTAGGAAGCCCGTTTGATCTTTATGAATTCTATTTTTTAATATCCTTTTTAGTCTTTCTGCCATTATATCCGCAAACAGTTTATAATCGTTATTTAATAATGAAATCGGCCTATAGTTCTTCACCTCTAAGGCGTCCACATCTTTTTTAGGTATTAAAGTAATATATGCTTCCTTCCAGGTATTCGGAATCCTTCCCTCTTTTAAAATATTATTCATCACTTCACCTAGAATTGGGCATAATTGCTCACTTAATGTTTTATAGTACTTGGCTGGTAGGCCATCTGGCCCCGGCGCTTTCCCAATTTTCATCTTTTTTATTGCCTTCCTTATCTCATCTTCTGTAATCATCTGGTGTAATAACTCTTTCTCTTCTATGGCAATCTGTTGTAAATGGTGTTCTTCCAGGTATCGGTCTATTTCATAATCTATTTCCTTTCCTCTTTTATACAATTCCTTATAATACTTCTGAAATATCCTTTTTATTTCGTTTGGCTCTTCCACTATCCTTTCTCCATCCCTTATCTTGCAGATCGTGTTTTGTTTTTTCCTTTCTCTTACTTGCCACGCCAAGAATTTTCCTATTTTATTAGCTGATTCAAAATTCTTTTGTTTCATCATTTTAATTTTCCACTCAATTTCCTGGTTAACTATCATAGAAAATTGGGCTTGTAATGTTTTTAAGTTTTGCTTTATTGTCTCCTCACCTGGTTTAATAGCTAATTGTCATTCATTCTCCATAAGCTGTGTTAGAATCTCTTCTTTTCCCCCCTCTTTTTCTTTTCTTAAATGGCTGTTTTTCTGAATTAGGAAGCCCCTCATAACGGCTTTTCCTGCATCCCAGACCGTTTCTGTAGCTGTTTCTTTGTGTAAATTCCACTTGAAGTATTCTTCGATTGTTTCTTTCGCCTCACTTACTATCTTTTGATTGTTAAATATACCTTCATTCATTCTCTATCTAAATACTCTAGTATCTTTACCCTTTATCTCCATAAATACCGGATTATGGTCAGATATAGTTTGTGGGAGTATTTCAGATTTAGCTAAGTTCTGTGTCAACTTCAAGATCCAAATATTATCTATTCTCCCCCAACTCTGATTTGGGTTTGAGAAAAAGGTATATTGTTTTATAGTGGGGTTTTTAAATCTCCAGGCGTCAATTAGTCCCATATTATCAACCAAATCAAAAAACGTTCGAGGTAGCTTGCCTTTGTCTCTTGCTTTTTTGTTGACCTATCCAAATTTGGTGACACCACTCCGTTAAAATCGCCCATCAATATCATTTTTTGATCGATCCATTCTAATAACTTATTACCTAATTCTGAAAAGAAAGCCAATTTTTTATCGTTAGGTGTGTATATTCCGGTGTCAATTATTTTTATTCCTTGGAATACAATCTGTACTACTATCATTCTCCCTTGCTCGTCTTTATACAGTATTTTTGGGTCGAATTTTTCCTTTATATATAGTACCACACCTCTTTTCTTAACCTTATCCGATGCCACAAAATCCAACCCTAGTTTCTTATTATTCAGAATTCTCTTATGTTTTCTTATTACATGAGTCTCTTGTAGACAGATTATGTCAAGGTTCTTTTTTAATAATATATGTGTAATCTGGTTCCTTTTATTTTCATTGTTAAGTCCGTTCACGTTCCAAGACAGTGTTTTTAAAGCCATCTATTATATACAATTAGTAAATTATCAAATATGGCTTAAAGCTACTGTTCTTTGTCTTCTTTCTCTTCCCCTTCCCTCGCTTCTGTTAAGTTTGTCTCTCTCTCTTCCTCTTCACTCCCCGCTCCCCCTCCCCCCACCCCGCCACCCTTCCAAGTTCCTTCTCGTATCTTCTTGCAAATTTTTCAAGTTCTGAAGGGCTGGACAGTTTGAATCTTTTATCCTTAAAGTAGAATGAAATTCCTTCCGGAAACTCCCATCTATATAGGATCCCATTTTTCTTCAGTTGGTTAGTTAATTTTTTATACACATCCCTCCTTCGAAGAAATCTCGAAGGGATCTCTTTAAATACAATAAAGGGATCTCTTTAAATACAATGTCACAGGAGCTGCTGGAAACTGCAGGAGGGGGTGGATTTCAGGAGAGCTTTCTGAGAGGATGTTTTTTCCATCATTGCATCTTCATGTACTTGTGGACAATTGACTGAGAATTGTAAGTAAGCAACGAACTTTATCTTATTTTTTTCTTCGCTCACCACTCCTCTGCCTCCCGCAATACTCTCTAAGGTGCATTAAGACAATTCCAATTATTGCGGATATTTCTCCTAATCTCCACTATGGGCCATGGCAAGCGGCCAAGGGACCTGGATGAGGCAATGCCTCCCCCGAGGCCCAAACAGTCTAAGATTGATTCTTTCTTTCTTAACTGTAGCAGAAATAACAAGGAAGATAGCTACACGGTTGAAACTCACAATCGTTTTAATCCTTTAATTGACCTCGTACCCGATATAGAAGTGGAGGGGGTGAACTCGAAGGCAACGAAAAATGCTAATGATAATGACAAAGAAGTGAGAGTCACCTCGAAGGGGGAGTCCGAGTTGGCCCTGGGCGATGGTTTGGGATTCGAGCATTTCCAATTAATAACCAGGACCCTGCGCTGCATCTTTAAGAGCATAAATGGGATCTCCATGCAGGTGAATAATCTCCACCAAAAGCTTGAGGCCCATTTGCTGGAGCTGCAGCACAACCTCACTCTGCCTCCGAGGGATTTAAAGAGACAGTGGTGTACCTCCCTGTTAGACATGAAAGTGGTACTGGTGTTCATCTCCTAAAATCTCAACTGGACTTTCAATCTCTGATCTTACAACCAAACAAAATATGTCTAACTATACGCAGCAGTGACCCCAGGTCCCCAAGGTGGATTAACCCGAGAGAGGTCAAAGATCATCTAAGGCAACTCCTTCAGATTAGGCCTCCGCTAATAGATCTCAGTACAGTGAAACTTTTATACTACCACCATCGGTTCCAAAAGTACTGCTCTCCTTCCAGTCACCAAAAATTCCCTCCATACTGGTTAGGCGCAAAGCGTTATTGGCCACCTGGGGCATCTTCCCAACGAGAGTCTTTAATGACACCAGGACTAAACCTCTTTTCCGTAGCATCGTACAAAAAGGTATCCGCTCGCCAGACAGGCGCGACATAGTCTTGAAACTCAAGCTGTCCACCCAGGAACCTCACCCTCCCTCTCAGCCCAAGCTTCCTGGTTTATCTACTCCAGCAACAGAGAAGCATGACCAAAGCGGACCCAGTCATCTGGCTTCCTCAGAGGAGAGGGACCTTATTTCATCCTATGGCGAGTTGCCATTAGTAGAACAGCAGGAAGTTATAAACAGGCTTGATACACTCAAGCAGCAACTTACACATGTACTTCAAGAGAAAATCTCCTCAAAACCTGGTCATAGCAACCTATTAAATCAAAGGAACGCAGTCATGAAGGGGCTAACACCCCAGAAACCCCTGCCAATCACTGGGACTCCAATAACGGATGATATGGCAGTCTGCCTGGCGGAAGCTCCTCATACACCGTCGCAACGCAGACCCTCTTCACCTCCACTAATAGATTTGCAATCAACTACCTCGTCCCTCGCCTTAAAGAGCAACATGCCAATCACCATTCATCCAGGTAATCTGTCAATGTCCTATTCTTCCATGCCTGACCTGGAGTCCTCATTCAGTGCGGTCCAGGCAGATGACTGTATATCCTCGTCCTTTGTCAGTCAACCTCGTTTGGTAGAACCTCTTGTATCCGTAACCTCTTCAAGCCAATATATAAACGTTAAGGAAGCCACTGTGCAAAGAGACAGCTCAGGCTTTATTGAAGACCCTGCTGGCCACATCAATCAAATTACCACCCCTTCGATACCTTCGGCTGTATCACGCCTGGCGCGGTCTCAGACCCTTGGCAATGCTTCTTCCACCAGCAACCAGAGTATCTGACTAGCACATAGTCCCTCCCCAAACTGCTTCAATGTGCTATCCTGGAACGTGGCGGGATGGACGTCCAAACAGGATGGCGGGGATATGATAGAGTTTTTAGCGAAATTCCAGATTATGGGTATACAAGAGACCTGGTGCTTAGAATCGTCACCCCCCCCTTCCCTACTGGGCTATGATGCTTTTGTGATTCCTGCGACCAAAACACATTTGTATGGGCGCCCTAGTGGAGGCCTGGTAACATTTGTTTCGCAGGAGCTTCATCTTAATATCTCTCCTCTCCTTTGGTTAGAGAGTAATTGTATTCAAACTTTGCACATCACTAACAGCCCGGTTGGGGACTTCATATGTGTTAACTTGTACAATCCATCTACCTACTCCTCTTCCCATACAAATCGGTTTTGGGAGGATCTAAGATTTATCCTTGATAAATCTGTGGCTGAATTCCCAAAGTCAGAGATCCTCATAATGGGGGACTTTAATGCCAGAATCGGAGCAGATATAAGCTCATTCACCGATAAGTCGCAACTATTCATAGAAGAGGAGTGGTTTCCTACGTGGAATTCACATGACAAGACCATTAATAGGGCTGGCATCATACTGCTGGAGTTTACCATTAACTGCGGGCTGCACAGCTTGCATGGTACACCCAAAGACTGGTCCGGGGGATGCTATACTTTTCTAGGATCTAGAGGGGCAAGCGTTATAGATTATATCTGGTCCTCCTCGGCACTTAATGATAAGGCATATTGTTTCAATGTGTTCAACAGAACCGAAAGTGACCACCTTCCTATTGCCATCTCCTTCCACCACACACAGCTGGGGCTCCCCAGCTCACTCCTCCTCCAGGATTCACTGACCTTAGCCCCCGGTCGTAAGAAGTGGGATATCTATCTGGAGCAAGACATAAAAGTCCTCCTAAATTCCCCTGAGATCCTAGCCCTGAAAGCTCAGCTGGTAACAATGAATGTGAATCATTTCTCAAGTTTCCAACAAATTCTAGCCTACTTGCTCCCAACACTTACGAAACCCTCCCGTGCGAGTCTAACCTGGAAGAATCAAACTTGGTTCGACCAAGAATGCAAACAGTGCAGAAGTAGGCTTAGATTTCTTCAGTCTGATATGAAATCAGACAGCACCCAGAGCAAAATCAGGGAGTTAGCCCAATTCCGTTCTTACTACAAGAAGTTGCTCCAACATAAGAAATTGATCTTTGCGAAAGAACGCTGGACGGCATTGTCAGTGGCCATTAAAACCCGTGACGACAAGAAATTCTGGAATTTAATTAATGCAGGTTTAAGACCCCCCTCATTCATCGTTAATAACATCACAGCAGCCAGTTGGCACTCTCACTTTGCTCAGCTGTATTCCGCCCCAGATTCCGACGTAAACGCAGTTTCCACTCTTCCTGCATCTGCCTTGCCCACCTGGGAGCCAGTCTCCCCAGAGAGATGTGTACAACTAATTAGCATGTTATCAGGGGATAAATCCCGGGGAGGATATGATTCCACCCGAGGTATTCTTATTGAACCAGATGTGGTGGGCCCCTATTTTTGCATCTCTCTTTACCACTATTAATGCCACTCTTAAGATCCCGCCAAATTGGAAACAGAGCATAGTCATCCCAATACATAAAAAGGGGGACCCACAAGATCCGCGTAACTATCGACCCATCAGCCTGCTAGACATATCATACAAGGTTTACTCTAGATTCTTGCTAGAGAAATTAATCGAGTGGGCAGAAGAAACAAAGCTATTCCACTCGGAACAGGCTGGCTTCCGTAAAGGTCACAGTACATCTGGCCAATGTCTTGTTCTATTTACCCTGATTGATAAATACCTAAACAGGTTTAACTGCAAACTACACGCGGCTTTTGTGGACCTGACCTCCGCTTTTGACTCCATTCCCAGAGATAGGCTATGGCAGAAGCTTAGTTACACCAACATAGATAAGAGACTCCTCCTTCTTCTTATGGAAATTCATAATGACATATCGGCCAGAGTAAAATTCGGCCCCCTGGGAGCTCTTTCTGATTCTTTCCCTCTGAATAAAGGGGTCAAACAGGGCTGCCTCTTGGCCCCTTTTCTATTCAATTTCTATATCAACGACATCGTTACAACTATGCAGGCCCTAAATCAATCTGCCCCTCTCTACAACAGCTCAAGATCCCCATATTACTCTATGCGGACGACATGGTGATACTGTCTTTAACCAAGCAGGGCTTAAACAACATGCTCAGAGGGCTCATGACATATTGTGATACCAATTCCCTCAAAATCAATTTCGCCAAAACCAAAATTCTTACTTTTGGCACGAAAACTCGGAAGTCATTCTGGAACTTTGAGGGCCACTCTATTGAATATTGCTCAGCTTTCAAGTATTTGGGAATCACTTTTCAGCATGGGCTTAGCTGGTCAGCTCACCTAAATATGACCATCCTGGCTGCCCGTAGAACCATCAAAGCCTTGGAGAAATTCTTCTATGCAAAAGGCGGCCAGTTGGTTCCACCAATCAGAAAAGCATTTATTAGCAAAGTCCTCCCGATGTTACTGTATGGGGTTGAAATCTGGGGGTGGAATTTAAAAACACTACAACGGCTGGAGATTCTACAAAACTCTTTTGCACGAAAGATACTGGGTCTCCCCAAGGGCTCGGTTGCTGCTCAGTTAAGAACAGAACTGGGCCTTCCCTCCATTGTTGCGAGAGCCCACATTAGAATTATTAGTTTTTATTGCAAATTAATCAATGCCCCAGGTTCCCTACTAGCCAGGCAAGCCTTTTTAACTTGTTCTCACTCCAACAAATGGTCCAAGGCCATGGAGACTATTACTGTACGCTACTCCCTCCCAGAATTCGACACGTTGTCATCTTGGGACCAACATAAAATCCGGGCCTGGATTCTTATAAGAGATGAGGCCATGGACCGGGCACAGTCCACCTCAGCTCGCCTCTCCATGTGGCTCCCTAAAGTGAAAGTGGTAAGATCACTTGCCAACTACTTGATAGACCTGACGGAGCCCAATTTGAGAAGAGCGTTTACAATGGCCCGTTTTCATTCTATACCCACGGCCTTCCTGCAGGGGACCTACTCTAAGACCCCTATTACTCAGCGTCTATGTCCATGCACAATGAATGAAGTAGAGGACTTCATACATTTCTTTTCTACTGCCCTATTTATGACCCAATAAGACCTAAGCTCCTCCTCTTGATCCCGTCCTCCATTTCATCTAAGGAAGACTGTCTGAAAGCACTTCTTGTGGACGCAAATCCCCAAATTTCACGTGGGGTGGCAATCTTCACAGTGCAGGCTCTGAAACTCAGGGCTACTCTGACAGGGTAGTGTGCCCTAGTCCTGGACCTGTTTAATTCTTTTATTACCTTTTTAACTCAATGTGCTGAGCCTATTTTGGGGCCATTTTATGCTTTATCTATATCCGCATACTAGTTTTTTTGGCGCTGGCAACCAAATCTCTGTATTATTGTCTTAGGGTGTTTTAAATGTCATTACGCCAGCAATATCGCTTTGAATTTTGCTTGGTTGCTTGTCCCCAACATTTTTTGTATTGTCTTATTTTGCTATGGCTGTATGCTAATGCAATTAAATTAAATTATTATTATTATTACAATAATTGGGTTTCCTTCAATATATAACCTTTTACTGTAATTCTGTTTCAGTACTTCTTTCCTCATATCCAACGAGTTAAACATGGCTATTACATCTCCTGGCAATTTCCCCCCCCCCCTAGCTTTAGCCGATATTGTTTTTATCCGAAATATATTTGCTAGGGAGAAGCTTATCTCTTCCTCCTTCCTATCTAACCAAATTGCCAACTCTTTCACCATTTTAGATCTTATATTCTCATTTGGGTCCTCTGGGATCCCTCTAAATTTCAAATTTAGTTGATTCTGTCTCATCTGAGTCATAGCCATACTGTCCAGCAATTCTTCCTGTACCTTACCTATCTCCTTAACTTCTATTTTAATCCTGTCCAAATCCTTCTTACTGTCTTTTGTATCCTTTTGCACCCTTTTCATAGAATCCTCAAGTACTTTGGCTCTTACCGATAGATCTTTGACTTTTCCTGTCAGTTCTCCCACCACCCCCTCTAATCTCTTGTCTAATGTATCCTGCACTTCCAATAGCTTTTTCTCTATATATTGCTCATTATGTTTAAATTCTTTCCTTATTTCAGCCATCAAACTATCGTAGTCCTTGATCTCTTTTCCCTCCTTCCCATCTTCTTGTCTAGATGGCCTCCTTTCTGCTGGCGTTCCCACTGCCTTTTTCATTTTGTATGTCAACTTAAATTAACTAATTATTAAAGACTCTTCCCCCCGTAAGTCACTGAAATAAGCTGCTGGCCTGTTCCTCTCATTAATTTCTTCCAATGCAGTTTCCTTTGATCCCACACGATGGCGCCTTGTTAACCTTCCAAGTCTTAGTTCTCTTCTCTTCAGTAGAGTTCATCAACTGGATGACTCCTTCTGCACAAACCAAGCAGCTAATCTCGTGCAGTATTTAGCAATCACACAATTAGGGGGAACCAAATATACAGAGATACGCTAAATACCAATCAAAACAAAAACAACAAAAAAGAGTAAAAAGAAAGCAGCTAAGAAAGCCGAAGAAAGAAAACCAATAAAAAAGGAGAACCAAAGAGGAGAAAACAAAAAAGAAAAAGAAAAAGAAAAAACAAAGCAGTTACAAATAGGGAAAGCCAGCGTCTCAAAAGATACACTAGGGACATACAATAGAGCGGGTTAAAGGGAAATAAAGGGTGGGTGGGGAGGCAAGGAAAAAGTAACCGCCAAAGATACACGGGCGGGTAGGTGAAGTCACGTAATCACGTAGTAACTCTCTGGAACTCTGGAAGAATTGTGAGGTGAGTCTCGGTCCGGGAGTGGACCCAGGAGAGCAAGGTGGAGCCAAATGGAGAGACACTCCGCGATGAAAAAGGGTTCCGTAAATGGCAGAGGGTCCTGGCAAATTGTCTTATTAAACTTCTTTTCTTGCCAAAGATTCTCGATCTCTTTCCGCTGCAATAATAGTCCAGCCTTCTCCTACTTAAATGTTGGAGTATGTCTCTTTAAAACGGGTGGAGACTGGGAGGAAAATGGCGGTGCGAGAACCCAGTAAGTTTTTACTTTAGTTTACTTTCTCCAAGCCATTCACTTTTTCTCCCAAACCTCGCCGGAAGAACGCTGCCTTTCCACGTCTCCCCTCCTCCTATTATCAGTCTGATTTTCAGTCGTTTGACTGGGCTAAATATATACCAGACTCTCCCCTTTGTTCAAACGTGGAGGATGAGAAGAGTAGAGATCGTTGTTTAAGTAATACTTAAATCAGTCTCCGCTCAAATACAGCAGGCATAGAATTGGGTGTAAAAAACCCACCGATATATCTCAAGCCGGTCACTGGCACAACACTCTCCGACCAGATAGAACAGACAAATTCCTTTCACTTCTCTCTAGTCTCTAGTCCATTAAATATTTTCAATGTTACTTTGCCTCAAATTCCTTGTATTTTATACTTTGTATCTGAGGTCTCTCCTCTACGCCCACTTAGCAGCAGCTTTTCATGCTTTCTCTCTCTCGCAGTCTTCCGCCATACTCCCTTTTGCTCTTACCGCCAGTAGTGGACTCCTTCTCCTTCACCCCACACAATTCTTTTTCCGCTGGGTTCTTTAGTTAAGCTTTCTGTCTGTTATCAGCTTATTTACTTTAGCTATTTCCCAGCTTTTTGGCTGTTGTCGGAGGTTCACCGCTTTTCACGCGGAGCCTGAGGCTTCACAACACGGAGTCTGTTGCTTCCCCTTCATGCTGCAGCTCCAGCCCTGTAAAACGCCGACAACACAGGCGAGCACAAGCAGCGTCGCAGGGTACTCTGTCCCCCAGAATAATCCTCCTGAGGTTTTGGGGTTCACGGAGCCTTCGTGACCCCTCTAGAACACCGTGTTGTTCGAGACCCCCCCCCGGAGGGCAGCCTCGCGCTCCTTCCCGTGGCTGCGGCGTCCCGGAAGTCCTCCAGATCCTCTGAGGAATTTTTAAGTAGGTTAATTTGAAATTTTACTGTACAATATTGGGTTTTTTTTTTACAGTGCATTATATTTATATTTGTGTGTGTGTGTGTGTGTGCATACATAATTTCCAGGAATTTGAGTTAATCGTGTGTTTCATGTGTGGAGCTGAAAATGCATCCATATTCACTAGATATTGACATGTCTCATAAAATCCAAATGTTCTTTCTTTAGATCTTATTCCAGGATCACCTAGGCTGACCGGCTAAGCAAAGAAATGGGAAAGTTGAGCATCTCCATGTTTTTTAACTTAAGAGCTGCTAATTCTGAAAAACTGTCTCCCAGTCACAGAATCATAACAAATCTGCTATAAAAATGCTGGTTAATCAGCTGTTGTTTGCCTCAGTATTTTTGCTTCCTACGGCTTTTCTGACCTTAGCACAAAGGACAGGAGCAAAACAAAGGGTGCAGTCCACCAAGCACTGATGTTGTGAAGTTTCATTTTATTGGTGCTTATGCATGTGCTCTGCTTGATCTGAGTTGAAAAGAGCAGAGGTTGTACTTGCTAGATGGCACTGAAAATTAATGAATTTGGGTTCTGTTGCAGAGTGTCTGAATTTCAGAACTTTCTTGTCAGTGGAAGTTAGAAAAGCACGACTTCTTACAGCATGGGTGGTCAGCCTTTATTTTTTGTTGGCAGCAGTGGGGGGGAGGTAATTTTCTCTAGGGTAATCTGTTGGGAACTATACAGGCAGTGGACAGATCCAGAGACAAAAGTGTTATGAATTAGCTATTTTGGAATAAAAATTGCCCTGCTTCATTTTTCACCACAGTGATCTCAGAGTAGAATTCCCAATTACAGATGTGCTTATGCCCAGTGTATATATGCACAAGACTATCGGTCTCAGTTGGGGATGGACAGAATTACTTTCTCCAAGCCATGAAATGAGTAAAAAGCTTTTACAAGATTTATTTATTTTTATAGATAAATAATGCATCTCCCAGTTGTATAATGAAGAAAAAACTGGGGGGGGGGGGGGACAAAATCCTTTTTAAAGGTCAAGGAAAAAAGGAGAAAATGAACAGAAAAGAGGGAAGTCTGATGGCATGGAGGAATGGGGGCAGTTTCAGGAAGTGTTAGGGCTGCATGAAATGAGGTCAGTGCAAAAGGCTCCCAAGCTGCAGGCTGCCCATAAAATAGCCACATTTTTGTTATTAGATTTGGAAAACGATCTTACTTGGGCTGAAAATCATGTATGTTTTGAGTGGCACATTACCCCTGAGGACATCTAGTGTGAACTTGTGTTAACTGAGGTGTCTTGATATGATAGCTGGCTAAATGCAATCACTATTCAAAAATGGATATTTACTTAAGAAGTCTTGTCTTACTAGAAATTTAGTACTATTCTTCCTCAGTCTCAGTGTCATTAAATGTAGGCACTTACTGATTTATTGCCTAAATTGTGTTTTCCGTGATTTGGCTAATCAACTCTTAATTTGTTTCAGATGTCCCTTAGAGGTCAAACTCCACTGACAGTGGTTCAGCTCTCTGGGGATCAAGTCCAGGGAGTCATTCATACAGCTCAAACCTCATCTGTCATTCACTCACCACAAGGGCAATCAGTGCAGGTACTGTTAACTTTCTTTGGAAGTTTTATTGACAGCACCTGAATTTTACTATAGTGCATTTCAGCCTATTGTGGGGTGACAGCAGCAAGCCAGCAAAGCTCCACATCATTATTATGGGCTATTATTTTGTCTTATTTATTTAAATGCCTAATAATGTGCTAGACACCAATTAATTAAAAAGTCGAAACCAAGTCCGGTGGACAACTTCCACTTGTCCAATGAAACTTGCCTTCCCTCTATGCCCCCCACATCTAGAGATGTGAAGGCCTGAGAAGAAACTGGAAAAATTGGGGTGGGGAGAGTGAGAGGTCTTAGGGGGGCAGCCCCACCATATGTTGTGTTTTGGTGCGAGCTTCACAACTTTACCCACACACTTCTACAAATCTGCTCCAAAGGATTGAGGGGAAACCCAGAGCAGATTTGGAGATGGAAAGGAAGTTTGTTGCCTAAGCAGAAGCTCTGCTCACACATTCACTTAATTAGATACAAAATAATATCTGGATGAGTTCACATTTTGTGGCAAGTGCAGTAATCAGTTCATAACTTGAAAGCATCAGTCCGACAGATACTTCAAAATGGATGTACGAGTTATGGTTTCTAATGCTGATTCGCATAAAAATGATGCAAACTCATCCATGTTTAGCCGTTTGTGTACATATTGTAAGAAAAAGGAAGTAGCCCTGGAAGGGTTGCATGGGCAGAATGAGGTGTTACCATCCTTCACAGGATTGCACCTTGTGTAAGTGTGAGTAACCCCCAATACCACTTCACTGCTGTAACAGCAATGGGCAGATAAAGCTGTCTACAAACACAGGAAGCTACCTTCACTGAGAGAGACAATTTATCCGTTTAGCTCCGTACTGACTACACTAACTTGCAGTGACTGTTCAGAGGTTTCAGGCAGGAGTGTTTCCCAGACTTGAGTGGAGTTGCCCAGGGGTGGAACCTGGGACCTGCTGCATGCAAAACACGTGGTCTACAATATATTGTTTCGGAGTATTACAGGAGTGAAAGGAAAAAGTAGTCTTCTTTTCTTGCTCTCCGGAAGCCTCCCTCATATCCTGTTACATAGGAATAATGTGCTGTGACTGGGAGCCTTAACTTGAGCCTTTTAGTGTTCTATAGCACAGCAGGGAAAGTGGGTTTTTTTGGGGGGGGGTAATTTTGTCTTTCTCTCATTCTGAAACTACCCCTCCCCATGAGCCAAAGACTGCATTGCAACATTTTGACATGGCTGATAGGAAGTGCATCAACGATCAGAACTTGGGTGGAGCCAATAGGAGGAGCTCTGGGTGGGTGGGTAGAACTTTTACCTCATCCACTCTTTGGAGCCAGTAGTTACTATGGCTGGTTAGACATATAAGAAAGACCTCACATAAACTTCATGCAGTATTTAAAATCTTCAGGATTATGTGCACCAATGATTAAAAAATCAAAAACAACACAAAACCAAACAAGAAAAGCTAAAGCTAGTATAGGAAGAAACAAACAATAGAAAATATTTTTTCATGTTTTGATCAATTGTGTATGTTTTCAGCTGCCTTGAAAAGCCTTGTAAGCCTTCTCTTAAGGTGTTGTTGGTTATTTATAATAATAGAATCTTAGTGTTGGAAGAGACCTCAAAGGTAATCTAATTCAAATTGGCTGCTACAGCATCCTTGGTAGATGGCCACCCAGTCTCTGCTTAAAAACATCTAATGAAAGAGAGCCCACCACTTTTCCAAGGCAGCTTGTTTAACTGTTGGACTATTCATGCTATCAGGAAGTTCTTAGTTGAAAACCCCTTTTTGGAGATTTGAACTTATTGGTTTGGGTCCTGCCCTCTCCAGCAACAGAAAACAAATTTGCTCCACCTATATGATAGTCCTAGTTGAAGCCCTAGTTGAAGATAACCATAGTATTGCCCCCTAAAAATAATAATTAAATCTCTGTTTGTGCATTATGTGTTACATATGTCAAAGATCTAAAAGCAGTCATTTTGTTTCTAATATAGAGGAATTCGTCTTACACTTAGGAGTGCTGTAGGCTATAAATGCTGCAATTTCATCGCTGAAAACTGAGGGAAAGCTAGAGCTGCCCCTCTCTCCTGACAGCAGCCTTCTTTTTGTTTTACTTTACCAATATACTTTTGCAAGAGCTCTATGCCCTGTGGAGCTTTTGCTGCTGCTTCACCAGTTAGCTGTAAATGAAAGGCGTTTATTTGGGAACACCAGAAGGACTGTTGACATTTGCCAAACTGGTGAAGTGCGCCGAAAGAATGAAAATCCAAGAGTCCTTGAGATATTCCTGTTTTGTTTCCTTATGTTCTTCCTTCCTTATCTAAATCTGCATATTTTCAGTTTGGAGCCTTGAATATATATCATTACATTGCTACAGGCTTCACTGCAAAATTAGATATTGTTAAAATAAACTGGTGCTGTTCTGATTTTAATGCTTAGCAGACCTGTACCAGCAAAGACCAATCTTTGTTCCTTCCTACATCACACATATTCACTTATTCAAACAGAAGAATGATAGACTATTGACTTCTTAATGCTATCACCATTTGCACTGCTGTTAAAACCCAACACCAAATATTTTTGCAACTATTCCAGAAACTTTGACCAACCCCCTTTCTCATGAGTTTGCAGTAAGTGTTTGTGTGCTTGTTTTATATTGCAGTCCTATGAATTACTTCAGAACTCCAAACTTTACAATGGATCATGTTTAATTTTTTTAGTTTAAATAGCAGTAGTGGTGTGTTCCTTTTGAAGAAACTTGTTAACTCTAAATGTAATTTTCAAAAGTTTGCAAATGGTTGAAAACCTGCTGATTCAGGTTTGGCGTTCCCAAAAGGTGTGTCCTGCTGTCTCTTATGCTATTCAGCAAAATAATACAAAATGTGTTTCTTTCAGGTGTCTTTGTCAGAGAGTGACGATTCACAAGATTCCTCCGATAGCATAGGCTCTTCACAGAAAGCCAGAGGAATCCTAGCACGCCGTCCATCTTATAGGTCAGTTCCTTATGCATTTATTTGGTGCTCTTCAGCAGAGCTTTTCCGGTTGGTAAGCAGCCCACAGGGTTTGACAGATCCCTCAGAAGCTGCGGAGTGGTGGTCATGATAAGGATCTGGCCTAACAACACAATCCAGTTCCCTGCCCCTGTATTGCAGAAAGGTGGAATTTAACTTTTTATTTTCATTTTTTTAAAACAAGGTAAATAATTGTCATTTTCTCCAAAGCCACAAAGCAGCATCTTTCTCCCTGTATTCTGGTTCTGTCCACCATGAAAAGAAATAAAAGTAACTCGCATCTTACATGAGGGTCCACATGTATACGCAAAAATGCTTGTCCAAGCTTTGGGAAGGAAGCAGGAGGACTCTAGGACCATGCCAGAGCTCTTGTGCCTCTTTCCCAAAGCCTGGTGCCTCACCCAAGGGAAGGCAGCGTGAGGGCTCTGAGACCACTGCTACAGTCCTCATGCCGCTTTCCCAAAACCAGGTAAGCCCACAATCAGCGGCGGACTTGGGTCTTTCAGATTTCAGCAGCGCCCTGTGTGAGGCCCAAAGTCAATGCATGCTCCCACCTTCTCTTGTTCTACTTAAATCACTATTCCATAGTTATGACGCCCTGCGGCGCCCCCTAGGCTCAGCACCTAGTGCAGCAGAACAGGTCATGCTCCTGAAATCCACCTCTGCCACGATCACAGCTTTGTGCAGGTGCAGAGGGGAATCAGTAAACGGAGAGCGGGTTTCTTCTGCTCTCTGGTCATTTATTTACTTCTCCACCACCCATGCAAAGTAAAATAAGCATAAGACGCGAGTCACCTGTACTGCATACTTAGGGTTATGCATTGGGAGTAATGATTACATTTTTTAAAAAGTGGTTTTTCAGCCATGTCTGGTATCTTTGTTGTAATTTTTATAGAAAAATCTTCAATGATCTTTCTTCTGAAGACGCACGAGACAGGAAAGGAGATGAAGCAAGTCCTGGTATCTCTACTATCACATCAATGTCTGTCCCTACGCCCGTTTACCAAACAAGCACTGGACAATATAGTATGTATTATTTATAATTGTCTGTGTTAGGAATGCTGTTTCTGGAAATATATTTCAAGTTGAATTTTGTATTAGCCTGAGAATAATGCTATCCAAAGGTCTCTTCCGAAATTATTATAACAATTCTGCTGAGAATTATTTTTCTATTCATCTATTACTAAATAGTTTATAAATCAGAATTTGCAGGCCAGCAAAAGGAAGAGAATGTTGTGGACTCGCCTTTGAGGTTTTTAAGCAGAGGCTGGATGGCCATCTGTCATGGGTGTCTTAATTTGGATTCCTGCATTGCAGGGGGTTGGACTAGATGACCCTTGGGTCCCCTTCCAACTTTACAATTCCATGGTTCTATGATGTGGTTTGGCAAATGAAGGTGCTGGTTGCAAAATGAAGTAAATTGTTCACAGGAAAGAGACTGTAACTGGTGGCAGATTTTTGTGATATCAGCACAACAGAAAGAACATGATAGCCGTATATTAGGGTTTTAACTTTTTTACAAACTCATCTTCCTATAGCTTGGATGAACCTTTGCCTAAAAACCATCATCCTTCATTTCCAAATATTTTGAAAAAGAGGTCCTGCCCGAAATCAATAAATCATTTTTTTGTATATGTAACTATAATGCATTATGTAATTTATGTATTATAATACAGGAAAAATAGAGCATGCAAATTTTCTAACGCTTGTACAATGTTTTGTACATTGTACACCACTTCTTATTGATTAGAATAAATCAAAGTTGCAGTTTGTCTTTGTTTCTGCTGCAAGCACCAGAAAGTTCCTGCGTCACTTTGAGTGCGTGTTCTTCGCACTGATTACTTCTTGTTATCTGTGGAGTTATGGATGGCTCCCGTTTCCAGTGATTCTCCAATACCCGCAATGCTTTTTTGCAAGGTTTCAATATTTCTGCCAAGTTCTTGAAGCCATTTTCATTGAGTCATATGACATTACATATACGGTGATTCCAGCTTTTCATTTTAGGGTGACCTTTTTTCGCAACTGAAAAGAATTAGTCAATTTTTCAGTGTTTTTGAGCAAAAGTTCATCCCTTTATGATACAGGAAATTGTGGGTTTTATTTTGGGGGGGGGTGTCGAGAAGTTATAAACCTACCGTACACACCACTGCACAATGATCAGTGTCTTCTCTGTTTCATTATTTCTTGTCTTAAAGTTGCCATTGCTCCAAATGGACCATTACAGCTGAGCAGCCCAGCGACAGAGTGTGTGCAAGGTTTGCAGACCTTTACAAATGCTGGCGGGACTCCGCTATTACAGTATGTACAGACATCTGATGGTCAGCAGATACTTGTGCCAAGCAACCAGGTGGTCGTGCAGAGTAAGTACCTACTACAAATAATTCGGAAATGCTCCTATTTCTCCCCGCCACTGTGGTTTTCCAAGGGATGATACCTACTTTACAAATAAAAGTCTGTATATTGTATGTGTCGTGCCTAAAGCCTTATTGATATGCAATACTACATAAGCAGAATCCAGGGTTCTGCACAGCCTTCTTAAAACAAGGTGTCCTCATCTGCATGTACAGCATTAAGCATGCCTTGGATCTGCGACCCAGGCAGGAGTTGGGCTGGTGAACTAACATTGCACATGCAGCAGCTGAGGGCCCAGTTTTAACACAAATCATGTTTCTGCATTGCCAGTGTCATGTTGGGCTTCCTTAAGCTTCTGCCTAGGAATGAAGTCAGCAGAATTATGTAATTTACCAATATTGTATATTCATCAGCATTGTTTTGAAGGTACTGCCGCTTCAAAATAGTTTTGTCAAAATACATTCTGAAGGAAGGGAAGTAAAACTAAAATTGTTGAAAAGGTGTCATGTTTATCCTCAAGAGATATCTGGCTACTGTTTATGAGCCCTTATCCAGTTTTTTACATGTACACCCTCCACTGCTGTGTACATTTTGTGCTTGGCTGTGTGTGCCCGAATTCAAACAGGAAATGTGGGTCTTCTTTAAAACACCTTTCTTCACAGCATTCTTTACTGTGGTTCCTCAACAGCTGCATCAGGAGATATGCAGACATACCAGATACGCAGCACAGCAACCACCACTTCCCTCCCCCAGACGGTTGTGATGACAGCTCCTGTCTCCTTGACATCTCAGTCAACCAAGACGGATGATCCACAGTTGAAACGTGAAATACGGCTGATGAAAAACAGGTATTTGGTTTCCCATTTGGTCTTAGGCATTCACTGAAATATATTCCCCATAAAATAATCTTTGGCTACAGAATCATATCTCCCACGATTAGCAGTAGACTTCTCTTATTTTGCCCTCTTCCCCACTACCCCAAGAAATATTTTTTCCCTTTCTAAACAAATGCTTATTTAGACTATAATTATTTGGGGTGTTTGACAGCTTTTGTTTCTTCAAACTTTTCCAGTTTAAAGAAACAATGTGGGAGGGGGGCTGTTAATTCTTTTTTAAGAAAGTCTAATACATTAGTTAAACAGAAGGGAAACTCAGGAGGTTTTCAAAGGAGAAGTAGATTTCAGCCAGTCCTGTCCTTCTAACACCAGAGACACATGCATTGTGCTTGTATGTATGTATGTATGTATGTATTTAAAAGCATTTATTAAACTACTTTATATTTCAAAGATTTCTAAGCTGTGTACAGTCTAAAACCAACCGCCAAGATATCAGTTAAAACATTGCAACAAAACCACAACCTGAAACCAATAAAGCAGCAATATAAAAACACAGACCAATTAATCCCCAGGTGATCTAATGGCCAGGTGGTCCTGCGTTGTTAAGGGCCTCATATGTTAACAAGACTTAGAACTTGGCCCAGTAGCTGATTGGCAGCTGATCCACAGGTGTCATATGTGAGCATCTCCTTAATTCCCACTTGTGTCTCAGGATGAGAGTGGTAAATACAACTAGTCACTAATACTGTATTTGTATCTCCTTGGAGGCACTGCAAGCTCATTATACAATTTGAAGAGACTAAATTGCCCCCAAAATGCTAGTGCCAATTTATTAAAATCTTGAAATTATTGGTACGATAAAGAAAGCTTAAAGGTGTTAATAAACTAGCCAGCTATAAGAAATGGTATAAGGGGACCATGGCCGCATCCCTCTTCAAGTATTTTAAGTATTTGCTGTGGATGTTTATCCTGAGGACAGTGTCACTTTGTTCAGAGGGTCATGTATCACTGATACCCTCTGTTGCAGCCCCTGTATTTCCTTTTCTTCAAATGTGTAATTGTAGACAAACTTTGTTACTTTATTAAAAGCATATTTAAGGACATGTGCAGGGCTCTGCTGAATCAGGCTGACGGCCTATCTAGTCCAGTTGCCTATGAGATACCCTCTTAATTTCTCATTAGTCCCAAAGCATTATTGTTCACAAAGCCAAAATGTACTCCCCTGAAATGTGTGCTTCAGGCAGATGAAATAATTTATCTGTTTACAGATTTCCAGACCATTTTTAAAAAAACATTAGATCACTAATAAGATAAATAATTTGAACTCTTCAGGCAAAAAGAGCAAGCTAATCGCTTGGAGCTCTTTAAATATTTTTATGTCGAGTAGATACATCAGTATTTTTTCAAAGAAAGTGGCTTTGTTTTACTTTTCACAGTCCGTGAAATAAGAAAGGCAAGCCTCTTTAGATGAACATCAGCTAATGAAGCAAAAGCAGAACGCTTGTAATTCCAAACTAGTTTGACTTCTATGTAATAATTAACAAACTTTGCTTTGGAATTTCAGAGAAGCAGCTCGAGAATGCCGTAGAAAGAAGAAAGAATATGTGAAATGTCTTGAAAATCGAGTTGCTGTTCTTGAAAACCAGAACAAAACTCTAATTGAAGAACTAAAAACTTTGAAAGATCTTTACTGCCATAAAAATGTGTAAAAGGAGGAAAAAAACACCTTTTTGTGAACATAAGAATTTCAGAAGGATTTTTTATATTATTATTTTTTAATTAAAGGTCAAAAATGAATCTCTTCTATCCAAATTCCACAAAGACTTGAGATTCTGTTTAGAACCTTTGATGGCAGAGTACAAAAAGGAAGTATGAAAACTCATGAAGGGTTCTGCTGGCACAACTGGAATCTTCATTTCAATCAGGATAAGTGGGACATGTACATTCTGTCAATCAAGATGTTTGAATTTCTTGTGCTACAGCTGAATTTTTTAATGCCTATGGCATTTGATTGCCATTATGCAGAAGAGCTGAATCTTTTGCTTTCAGGTGTTAATGCCTGTCAACATATAGCTAGCATAGGTTCAATTTATTAAATCTGATATTTTTTCTGCTCCCTTCACAGGCTAAGGATCTTCACCACATAGTGAATGCACAGGTAGCAGTAGTTTCTGCCCTCGCGCCAGTCCATGTGTTGAAATGCACAACTATAGTAAGGATCCATATGTGCCAGAGTGTGCAGCACTCACCTGTGATTGGAAGGCCTACTCTTCCAGGGTTCCCAGTTGGGTGGAGACCTGCCACAATTTTTATTTCAACGTATGGGGGTCAAAACCTATGGCAGCCCACCAACAGGGAGAAGAATCCTAAGAAAGCTGTCACAGTTAATTGTACGTACAATGTGTTTGCTTCAAATTGTCAATTCTAATCTCTGTGTTGAGAAGATACACACACTACTTTGCTAGAAATTATATTTGATTTTATCAGGCAGGCAACTTGTTTAAAAGAAGGGTGCTCTGTCTTAGGATGTGGTCATAAGACTCCTTGAGGAGTAGATAACATATATCATGGCCTCGTTTGCATGTCACAAAAAGCCAGTGTTCATCTTAAATGATGGTTTCATCATGAAGAACCCCTCTCCACACCAGGCAGGTCCCCATGTGGCTTCTTCCCATTGTATGGAGCTCAGGCAGGTCAAATAAGCCATAGAACGCCTTGTCATATCGTCTAAACCTGCAGTGGTGGGGTGTATTTATAATGAAAGATTGGCTTATTGTGCCATGAAAACCAGACCCACATATCATTGCTTATATAGATGCTCTGAAATGTTTAATGCAAGAGAACAAATGTTGCAGAAAATATTTTCAAAGGGCTTTTGTGTGTGTATGTCACTGGGTGGAAAAAAACAACATCTTGAGAGAAACAGAAATGATTCTTTCAAGTGAACAGGCATCCCATATTCTGTTTGAATATACTTCTTTTGCTTGTACAGAAGCATTAAACTCCAAATTCCCTAGCTTTGTCTCAGTTCAAAGCACATAGAAGCTAAAATTATATACCAAAGGTAAAATCTAGTATGTTTATATATGTTAAAGCACTCAATTACAAAACTGAATTTGTAAACCTGACAGTGACTTCTTAAAGCAATTCCAATTTTATAAGTAATCCAGTTGACATAGACACCAGGTATATTTTTGTAGTTGAAGTGTTACCTTTGCAAATTCTATAATTGAGTTTATATGGATATTTTAAATTTTTATAAAGTTTCAATAAACAGAGATATTTTCCCTCTTAGATTATCAATTCTATATTTTTATGAGATGCTCAAGAAAACTAGAACCTATTTCTATATATTTCATTAGGCAAATTTAATTTAACAAAAATTGCTGGAAATATTTTTGAGAAAATAGTTTAGTATTCACAGAAGATACATTCGTTTATAAATTCACTTTAAAGATGCTGTCAGGGATAATAATAGTGTCATTTTGGTTCTTGTTCTCAACGGATGCTAAAGTATCTTTTGACATTAGTTGGGTTCTTGAGCACACAATGAACTAATTAACACAAGCAATGTAGCCTTACCCTAGTTAATGTTGTTGATTCATTCCAATTCAATTTGATTCATTTCAATTAATTTCATTCCTTTGAAATGTTGCCACTAAATGCATTAGAGAAAAATATATATATCTATTGCCATCATGGCACAGCATTCCACACACTGTCCCATTAACTCATTTTTCCCCCAATACTTGGTGGCTCTGGGGACTTCCCAGACATACAGAAAAGTATTTGCTCATAAACATTTTTAGAACTCTTCCCCCTTCAAGAATTGAGAATAACACTTGCTCTCTGAGAACTACAAAATAATGAGCCTTTTCTTTGTATGTAGGTATCGGGGAATTGTGACTAAGGCTCACAATATAAGCCTTGGAGGAGGCAAACAACCCCCAACTTTATTTTCTAATCCCTGAACCCAATATGCTGTTATTATGGGTTCTAAATTAATAGATATAATGAGGAATGCTTATGGCTTAAAGTATCCTGGAAGGAGGAGCGATACTGGAAATGCACACCCTGAGCAGCACATCTGGTTTCCATTATCCCCCGCAACCTCTCTAATACACCACAGGGAGGGAGAGGTAAATATAGACCCTTACTACTAAGGCTCAGAACTAGGCAAGCATCTTCCATTTCACCTAGTACTTTTAAAGCTCAGCAGCCTGCACTGTAGGGCTGTTGTAGCAGCACAACAGAATGCCGAGATTCAAGACTCATTTAGAACCAGAACTCAGCAATCTTATTCTAACAGGAGTCCATTTGGGAAATTTCTCAGCACCACAACCTTTATTGCTGAAAAGGAGAACAACTGTGGAACTATAGTAGACCCTGATTTTATCCACCCCCTCTAAAAAAGAAACTCCTATTGTCCTTTTTTAAAAAAAAGTTCAATTTGGATATTAAATCAAATAAGGAAATCAAATAAGTGAAAGGAAGGTGGAATATGGAATATTCATGCATAACCCAGAAAGTCTCTATAGGCTTTTGCACATGCAGATAGGCTTCTAGCTTTGCTTTCCAACATAACCTCCATTCCGTATGTCAATCTATTTTTGAAAATCCCATTTCAACTGCGGGTGATATGTTTTGTGTGGAGGCAGTTGAGGGCTGGTCAGTGTCTTCCTCTGGATTACAACCAACAAAAAGTACTGTGTGGTGTAAGTATTTCACAACCTGGCCTGGAATCTTCTAGCTATTTGTTGTACACTTGTTAATTTCTTGTGTGTGAGTTTCAGAGGATTCAAACTTTCAGGTGTGCTGCATCATTTTTAGCATGATACTAAATTATATTTTGCTTCTATGACAAAAGTGTGATCTGCAAGTTTTCCCATACATCTCAAGTATATGTATATTTAATAGTAACAAAATATTTTGCTGTTCAAATGTTATTAAAAGAGCATTTGATTATTATTATTACTATTATTTCAGAGCAAGAACAGGGGAGGTCGTGGTGTTTGATTTAAGAGCAAAATGCAGGGTGATAACCTGTTAATGTGCACTATTATTTTGAAACAGGAACCATAACCATGTATATCATCACAGAAGTACACAGTCATCAATTTCATTTTCAGTCATTATTTAAAGAGGCATATTTGTGCTATTTGCCAACCTATCGTCCGATCATTATAAAGCTGGGTTGTGAGCACAGGCAATATTACAGTTATTGATGATCCTAACTATCCTCAAATTTAGCAGCTTTGCTTAAAATATTTGTAAATATTTTTTTAAAAAAAACATTGGTGGCTGTACCCCTTGACTTCAGTAATAAAGACCCTGAAATGCTGTTTCAAACTGCCTTGTTAATTCAGCCTGTGGGAAAGTCTGGCGCTGATCTTATTCGTACAAAAGTATCTGAATTTGTTTATTCTTATAAACACATACTTTGTTTTAGCCTTTGATAGGTGTGTGGTTTGTTGTTTTTAGTACTGTGTAATCTGTAGATTTACACAGAAAGAAGAAAGAAAGAAAGTATGCTGTTTACTTTGTTCAAGGAAGACCTGCAGAGGGAGCTAAGATCAAGTTTTCTAATACTTAAAGCCACTGGATACTATGGAACTAGTAGCAAAGCTCACAGCTACACTGGTACCTCGCAAGATGAATGCCTCGCAAGACGAAAGAGTTTTTCGTTTTTTGAGTTGCTTCGCAAGACGAATTTCCCTATGGGCTTGCTTCACAAGACGAAAAACGAAAATGTCTTGCAAGTTTGTTTCCTTTTTCTTAAAACCGTTAATACCCTATGGGAAACCGTGCTTCGCAAGACGAAAAAACTCGCAGAACGAATTAATTTCGTCTTGCGAGGCACCACTGTACTAGTGAGCAAAGCATATCTCAAAAATCATGTAAAAAATGGAAGCAGATGGGAAAGGAGGACTGAAGACATGTTGCAACTAAACTTCAAACAAGGTGTGTGCACTTAAGTGCTAATGACAACATTTAGCACCCGTCGTGTACAGTTTCTATAGCCAAGCATGCAGCATAGAGGTTAAATGTGTGTTTGAATCTATTGGGGAGGGGGAGGTAAGTAACTGATTTACGGAGCATATTGCTTGTTTAAAAATAATAAATTCCCCTATTATTATTATTTTTTACAACATGGAAGAAGGGAGGTGTCACCCATCTCTGTTCTACACTGCTGACACAAGGTTATTTGAACAGAAACTGGGGGTGGGGGGCAGGGCAGAGGTGACTTTTGCAAATTCTCTTCCTCACACCACCCTCCCTGTTTTCCTCCAAAGCTCTCCCCCCTCCTCCCCTGTGGTGTTACAAAAGGAAGGGGAAGTCAGTGGAAATCACCTCCCTCCACCCTTCTGCTTATGGAAGTCTGTGCTAGATTATTCCATGTGTAGAGGAACACAACTGAATATAACCCAGTAAAGGAATCAGACATCATTCCTGAACAATAAGATAATTTGCTTCTTTATAGAACACTGTGGATGATTACCCATCCCACAGTTAAAAAGATGAGAATACATGGTATGGTCATAGTGATGGTTTTGTCAAATAAAATAGCTTGTGATTGTATCCAGCTCCTGAAACGAGCTGTACGTATATAGACTCCTGGAAATGTTGGTCGGCCACAGCCAAGGCCAAAGCTTGTGACTCCTATCAGGTAATATTTGGTGGCATCTGGGAAATAGCACATAAGTGGTCCACCACTGTCTCCCTGGAACATGAAAAATAAAGATGAGGATATGAGTGTTTCTTTTGTTATTGTTAAGCTTTAGGCTGCAGAAAATTGTGGCCCAATCGATGTTACTTCTCATGAACTGTCAAAAGTGGTGCAAATGATCCAATTGAAAATAAATATTCTGACTATTTCACCACCACCACCGAGCCTTAATTTTAGACAGCATTCGAAACTCATTTTTCTAAGTGCGTTTTGCGACAAGGAATTTCATTAGTGCAAGCAGTTTCTGAGCTCTAGGCGCAGTACTGCGCCTAAGATTTCAGATTAAAACTGCCCCCAAATCCAACCCTTTTGGACATCAGTCCTACAAGAAATATGCATACTAATAAAACAGGTGTGAGAAGCCACCCCAAAACTAGCCCTATTGAATACTTTCCAAGACAACAACGCACACTCACACTACAAAGAACTCTTAAGCCACTTACTCTCAGCAGATAGGAGAGTCATAACTAGACACTGGAGGAACCTGTCAGGAGTAAACATGGACCACTGGTACCAAACTATATTGGGAAACAGCCCTACAAGAAAAGCTAACCAGCAAACTGAAACTAATAGGGGCAAACAAAAGAGGATGTATTTGCCCCACTCCCTTTATTACATATACAGCCCTGCAAGACAACAACATAACCCCCCTGGCAGCATATAAATCAATATGCCTAATGTGACCCAACAACACACACACCCCTCACTCACAAACAAAACTCACTGCAATCAGCTAAATGCAACTAACCATGTTCTGGGCTCTCAAACCTCTCACACCGTCAACAAAAACAAACACATAATCAAAGAACCTATCCTTGCAACACTGGCACAAACACACTGCACATACACTAAACAAAAGAATGAAAAATCCCTACCTCCTTTCTGACACCGAAAGTGAGAAAGGACTCTGAATTGAAAACAGATGTATGCACCCTTGTGAAGTATGAAAATTCTTTAATAAAAAAACTAATAAGAGTATGAAATTAAGGTATTGCTTGGCGTTTACAGTGTCACCCTTAATGTCTTATTTTATCACATGAAGTACCATATACCAATTTCTATGCTTTGACTGCATTCTGCATATTCCTTATGAAGTTTTATATAACCATGAAACAGACAGAGGAATAGAATTCTAACTCAGAATTCAAGGAATGTCTTGGGTTTCCTAACTGCTTTAGTGTTACTGCTATTTATTAAGGGACAAAACAATAACTTGACCTAACACCCATAGTATATAGTGATACGTCATGTCTTAAAATGACATACACATCCTGACATCTTTACCTGACAAGTGTCAACACCTCCACTTTCAGAGCCAGCACAAAGCATGTCTTCTTTTTTGAGTGCCCCTCCATACCAGTCATTCCTATTGCAGAGCTGCATTGGAATAATGTCTACTTCGGCTTCTTGTAATACACGTCTTTTTCCACCTGTAAGGAAAACAAGACAAAGCTGGAAATAGCTTATTTTTGTTTAATGTTGCCTGATATACACAGCAATACACAAAAGTGCTTTATATATTGGCAATTTTTGGGCCAGTATACTTTTCCTAAATCTAGTGCACTGGGCACTAGATTTTCTAAATTTCCTGTGCAGAACCAGATAATCTACAATTGTTGCCAAAATGAAGCTTAAGAACCCTTCCAACACCTTGAAGTTGTAACGAATACTGTTCAGCAGCTAACACAGACCCCGGGTGCATACAAAGCTTTGAATACACTATCCTTAATCCTTGAGTGTGCCCTATTCCCCTTTCATCTTTCCAGCAGCACAATCTTCAAAGTGGGTAGTCAGTGTGGCTGGATGAATATTACCATCACCAGGACTAATCCCAGCACTGCATTAAGTTGTCAGCCAGGATCCTCCCAGTTTGCTCGTTCTAATTACATGAGTGAAGTTGAACTTTACATCATTATTGCAGACAGACAAAAGCGGACTTGTGGGACTGTTTGCTACAAACAGGTCACAGGGAAAGGAAGAGCTATTCACACATTGCAGTGGTTAAGATTGTACCTATGAAGTTTTAGTATATGTTTAAACAATGCATGAATGTGACAAATTGTTGTATCACCCAGGTATGCCAAGCAGAGAACTGTGACTCCTAGCTTGCCATTCTCTAGCACATCCTCTGAGCAATGTTTGAAATAGCCCTAAATGCACTTACAGCAAAGAAACTTACCTGAAATCACTAAACTTACTTGACCACAACTAGAAGTGGTTATTCTGAAGTAGGTTTACTCTTCCCACCAGCTTTGAAGGTAAGACTATGCAAAAAACTTCCTGGTTCACAAGGTGATAAGGCTTTTACAGCATTGTGAACGATTTTGTTGTACTGACTGCTGGCTGCAACATTCATCCACCTGACAGTTTCTCTGTCCCCGACAAAGTAAACTTTTACCACATGTCTGCTGAGAGCAGAGAAACCGAGCTGGCTGCAAAAAGGAGTGAAAGGGGCTCTGGCAAAAAAAAAAATCCCAAACAGGAAACATTTCATTTCGGCTGACACAGGGCCAACTCTCCAACAATTAGAGGGAAAACTCGAACATGGTATTTATCCAAGCACCTTCAAATGCAGAGTCCCAGATCCTGTGCTAGGTAGTAGATAATCTCTGGTTATCTTTAGTTGAAGTACCTTATGGAAGTTTCTCCAACTATAAGAATATCATCACCTATGAAATCTGCATAAGGATCTTGGAGCTCCTACAAGAAGCCTTTTGAGACCACCAACCCATGAAAGTGTTAGGCTTGAAGGTTTATTTTAGCTGATTATAACTGGAGATATTGCTTATCTGTGCAGGAACATCCATTATGTGTTGCTTCCACAGTAGCCAAGAGAAAGTGTTCCTTCCTTTTCGTTATAAACTTAAAACACCACAAAGGAAAAGATAAGGCAGAGGTGGAGCTGAAGCTCAGTGGTAGCGCATGCACAAGATCCTATGTTCAATTTCTGGCACCTCTAGCCAAAGGCAGGTGATTCAAGAAAGACCTTTGCCAGGCACCCGGCAGTTTTTGCCAGTCAGAGAAGGCAATAATGGAAATGGGAAACAAATAGTTTGTCCTAGCGCAAGGCAATTTTCTATGTTCCTACTTGTGGCACATTTGCAGAGCAAGTGGGGTTGTTCGTTTTGTTCAGAAAAAGTTTCAAGGACATTTTGCCAAGGTTCGTAAAGGCATATTATCTGCCTAGTGCATGAGGCACAACTTTGCTAAAAGATCTCCCCATTTGGGACATCTCTTCTGTTGTTCAGTGCTATAAACTGAAAATATCAGTTCAGTATGTGGGGGATCTAACAAGCAGTGCTCTGTACAATTGTTCATAGAAAAGTACCTCACTAGGGGTGATGTTTTCAGTCTCATGGCTGGATAGCATCCATCCAAAATTCTTACTAAAGAAGGTAGGAACACTGGACTTGCTGTAAATGTTTATTCTCTTCACTGGATGGAGATACATATACTGTACACCCAAAAGTTGTCTTGCTGTTGTAGTGAAGTGGCAGCAGTATCTTTGACTCCCAGAAGTAGCAATTCAATATCAACAGTCTGGGGATAACCTTCCATCTTCTGCGTATGTTTTCGGCAGAGGAGGGCAATATTCCCACTTCAATGGGTTTTTGGATTGTAAATCTTGTTTTTATTTAGCTCCATTACCTCCTAAAGCTATATAAGGACCTCTCACTGAAGGGGCCAAGAATTTGCATAGCTCTACCTTCAAAGCAACCCTTTCCTAGATCACTTCCATCCACTGCAAATAAAGAACATGCAGGCTAAATCCAAGTTTATTTTCTCACTGCTGGCAACAACAAAAGAAAAGTATAGATTTACCTCTTTCCAGCGTTTTCCCCCAACCACTTATATAGCATGAAGTATCATTGGTCATAAGAAGCGGAGCCTCAGGTAAGCAGATGGGCTGAATATAATCATTGAATCTGATAGAGTCCATTAATTTAAACAAGGCAAGATCATTTTCAAAGGTTTTCTCCTGGAAATCGGAATGCATAATGATAGCCCTGATCCGGCTCTTCACAGTATAAGGCTGGTACCTATAAAGATGATGCAGTCCCAACACAGCCTTCCAAAACTCGGGGAACCTAGAATAAAATCCTTTGTGGAGTCAATGATCACTATAAAATTGCAACTTTACAGACTGAGACTTGAGAGTTGTCTCTTCCTTCACATCCCCTGCAAAACCATTAAGCATGTAACCAGACTTTGATCAGACGATGAGAGAATGGCTGAGATTGCTCCAAATGATAACATAAATGTAACAAGTAACACATATATTATGCCCAGATAAGAGTAATACTTCTTAAAACAAATTCGTAACGTGTGCAACAGTAATAAATCAATTAAATTCAAGAATTGTCCTCAAGCAAACTTGGAATCTTACAATGATACAGTACAATAGAATCATAAAGTTGGAAGGGACCCTGAAGATCTAGTCCAAACCTCTGCAATGCAGGAATATGCAGCTGTCCCTTACGGGGATCAAACCCGCAACCTTTGTGTTATCAGCACCATGTTCTAACCAACTGAACTATCCGGCTGACAAAATTACTGTGCTTAATAATGAGTGCAAATACTTTTCCTATCTGAGCCATTCAGCAGAAGACTGGTTTTCTCATGCCAATTACTGCCTATGCAAATTCTACTCAGAATCATCGAAAGCTGTTCTTTTTGAAAACTAAAATAATCACAGCAACTCAGAAGATAAGGTTCATAGCCAAAGAATGCCATGAATAAGTGTGTGTTCCCACAGCAGTTTCTTGAGCAGCAGCTGTCCAAGCCTAAACTGCTGACCTCTTGAAAGTGAGAGAAGCTATGCAAGTGGCTTGTGAATCCATATGGGTATAGCTATTCCAAGCTGCTTACTAGAAACCATGGCCAATATTATTAGAATAGCTTCCATTGGCATGAATGGGAGGTTTTTAATCCATGTAAATAGCAGGCATGGTCGCACTCAATCCAGATTTTGACTGCAGCAGGGGCAGTGGGTTAGAGTGCCAACTTTACCATCACTACACCTATTATTTACTTTAAAATCATTATTAATGTACTTGAATGCAAGATGGTAACAAGTCAATTCTGCGTATTTTGTGCTGTAGTACTATAGCCCTCTTCTAAAGGACGTGGGTGGCACTGTGGGTTAAACCACAGAGCCTAGGACTTGCCGATCAGAAGGTCGGCAGTTCGAATCCCCGCGACAGGGTGAGCTCCCATTGCTCGGTCCCAGCTCCTGCCAATCCAACAGTTCGAAAGCACGTCAAAGTGCAAGTAGATAAATAGGTACCACTCCTGCGGGAAGGTAAATGACATTTCCATGCGCTGCTCTGGTTCACCAGAAGCGGCTTAGTCATGCTGGCCACATGACCTGGAAGCTGTACGCCAACACCCTTGGCCAATAAAGCCGAGCGCCGCAACCCCAGAGTCAGTCATGACTGGACCTAATGGTCAGGGGTCCCTTTACCTTTACTTTAGTATAGCCCTCTTCAGGTATTCCAAAAGTGGCTAAAGTAAGCATAGGAGAAGCGGAGCTGTCTGTCCCCAGCCCCAAAATAAACCTTCTACCTCCCTCTATGCGTTCCAGGGAAACTGTCTGAGGAAGCGTCTTATACTTGTGTGAAAAATGCTAATGCACACTCTTCCCCTTCCCAAGCTTCAGTCAAATTATGAACGCTTGAAGAGGATCTATGTGAAAGTTTTGTGACCCTTGCTACAAAACAATGTGAGCAAAATAAAAAAGGGGAGTGCAATGTTAAGAGCACTGAGAACCAGTGTAGTTCACTGAATAAAAAGGATTATCAGGAAAATGTGGAATCATCCTCCTTTCTGCTATATACTCTTTATACAGCCAGGGTAAAGCTGACTATTCAGAATTTTTATAAGGGTGAGCGTGATCAATATTGCAAAGCAGAATTTAAAAGGACAAACAAGAAAGCATCTTATCATCATGAACAGGTTAGCATTTTTTCCCAGGCAGCAGATGCAACAAACGCACGCCATAACTTTCTAAGCAGTACCTTTGCAGTCTAGTCTGACAAACCAGTTCAGGGAGACAAGATGGATTCACAAATAATGTACAAATATTTAATTGTTTTACAGATTTTTTCAAGTTCAGCCAATGTATTTGCATATTTTTCTTTCACCTAAAATTGATAGGAAAACTTTCAGAATCAAAGGATACATACGTCCACTCTTTAATGCAGTGTGCTGCTGTCAGCACTGAGTTGTGGTTAATTAAAGATCCACCACACATATGCTGATATCCTATGCCAAAGTGGAAAACTTGAAGACTGACTTGCCAAGGCCATGCTCCAAGTTGAGCATCATGTCCACCTACAATCCGAGACCCTGCTGGTATCTCATCCACAATAGGCCTTGTTCCACAAGCTAGAAACAAAACACAGTTAAACTGGTGAAAAGTCATGCTTGTTAAGTGCCTCATAAAATGCGGCATTCAGATAAAAAAGTGGCAAAGGAGCAATATTCCAGCTGGTGAAGAACTCATAAGCATGCAAAGACTGTTCTAAACTTTACTTAATTTTATTCAGAAAAAAGAAGTCAAACTATATTTTTAGGAGATAAAGAGTGAAATTCAAAGTAAGATTAAACAGATAGCATAACTTAATGAAGACTGTGTTGCACTTTTCCATGTTCCCCCCACTGAAACGTTTTTTTTTTGTTTTTTTTTTAAAGGAATTGAAAAAGGATATGAAGTGCATTATCCTGCAGTGTTAGAGGACTTAATTTCTAACATTAAGAGAAAAAGAGCAATAAGGTCTTTAAAAGAGAAATGGTTTGTGTATGTTTACTGCATGAGACACATTTGGTAAACAAGCATCAGAAATACATGAATAAGCAAGTAGATTATGTTTTGTTTTCATTATTTGATATTAAAGTAAAAGGATGTTATTTTCATTGCTAACAATATGCCATTTGAGGCAATTCAGTGTTAAAGAGATTAGGAAGGTAGAACTGAACTGTAATGCTAAAAGGAATGAGACTGGCAGAAAAATGGGCATTAATGTATTATTGCATTGCCATCCCAACTTCCGAGCTGTGCAAGATTCCCTCTCTTTACCCAGGGTTTGGTTTCCTTGGAATGAGGGATACAGGAGCCTGTGTGGTGTCTTGAGGGCGGGGCTTTTTTTCTCAGCTGGAACTCCCTGGAACTCAATTCAGGTACCTCTCAGGTGGGCGCCATTGCCATTCTTAAGAGAACAAGGGTGAGTTCCAGTATCCCCTTTCCTAGAAAAATAGCACTGTTTGAGGGTATAATATACATATACAGTGGTACCTCGGGTTAAGTACTTAATTCGTTCCGGAGGTCCGTACTTAACCTGAAACTGTTCTTAACCTGAAGACCACTTTAGCTAATGGGGCCTCCTGCTGCTGCCGCGCCGTCAGAGCACGACTTCTGTTCTCATCCTAAAGCAAAGTTCTTAACCTGAAGCACTATTTCTGGGTTAGCAGAGTCTGTAACCTGAAGCGTATGTAACCTGAAGCGTATGTAACCTGAAGCGTATGTAACCCGAGGTACCACTGTATAGTCATACCTCGGGTTGAATATGCTTCATGTTGAGTGCGTTTGAGTTGCGCTCCGTGGCAACCTGGAAGTAACGGAGCGTGTTACTTCCAGGTTTTGCCGCTCGCGCGTGCGCTCAGAATGACCATGCGCAGAAGTGGCAAAAAGTGATGCGCGCGTGCGCAGACGTGCCATCACTAGTTACGTTTGCTTCTGGATGCGAACGGGGCTCCGGAACGGATCCCGTTCACATGCCGAGGTACCACTGTATTTAACCTGGGCCCAAAGTGGAGGGGCTCACAAGCATTAACACCCCAGAAGGGTTTTCTTCTCCCATAGCCCCAGCCTTGGATTCAAGCTGGAACCAGGCGGGGCTCTCCCTCTTCTGCCTGCTTCTAGCCCAGCTCACAATACACTCTCTCCCACTGTCCTCCTCACTCCAGGCCACTGGCCTGACCCACCCGCTGGCCTGGCTACTTCAACAACGGAACCCTCCCCGCTAGATTTAACCCCCCCAAAACAACACCCATGCAATCTCGTTCGCAGATACCAGCCGTGAGCCCAGGGGCTTTCCGACTCCGCCAACTGCTGCCAGCGCCGTTTTGCCAGCGGATGGGAGGAAGGGCCAGGGGCTTCGCTGCTCTGCCCTCCGCCCGAGCGAACCCTCACGGCAGATGCACGTGGCCCAGCAATGTGAGCAGCGTCCCCGCTAGGGCGCGCGCGCCGCTTTCAAATATAGCGTAAAAGTCAGCTTCTGCGGACGTGACCCGGTGGCTGCCGGGACTCGTAGTTCGGAGAGCTTTCTCCTCGCCCTCCCGCCCCCCCCCCCACCCGGACGAGGACGTCGCGCGCAAGCGCAGCAGCAAGAGCGGCCTCTGCCGGCCTTCGGGATGCCCTGGTGTGAGGGGAACCTTGCCCGAGGCCGGCTTCCTCGACGCCAAAGCCGGGCAGCCGGGCCCACCTTTCGTAGGGATGACAGAGGGCTGGACCCCCGGCGGAGCCTCGCACAGCAGCACTAGCGCCGCCACCAAGGAAGCGGCTGAGGGGCGAGACAGGAGCCGCCACCGCATCGTCAAGAAAAACGGCGGGCGGCTCTTTCCCCGCCCCCTGACGTCACATAAACGGCACATGATTGGCAGGAAGCGGCCGCGCGCGAGGCTTTTAAATCACATTTCACCGCGTTTTCATCCCCCACTTCCCTTCGCCATCATTTTCCCTTTATCGTTTTATGAAATTGTGCTTCCCTGCGCATTTTCTCTTTGGTGTATGCGAATTTCTCCCCAGTAAGTGTAGGAAGACGCTTGGAAAATAGGGAGAGGTGTGTAATGGGAAGCACTTGTAAGGAAGGGGGCTAGAGATGGGGAACCTCTATTCAGATTCTAATTTACTGAGCCCTACGTGCCAAAGATAGGGAACCTCTACTCAAGAGTCTGATCTGTCTGCCCAATCGCAATGTTCCATCCCATAATTCATATGTGTTCACTTCGCTCCATCAACCTCCTTCACGTCATCCCTCCTCTTTTGCCATGGCTCGCTCCAAAGTGAAATGAAATGGTGAGGACTCTAGCCATTGGGAGGAGGTGGAGGGAAAGAAAATGAAGAAACCCCAGCTCAGCCACTCAGTGTGTGTATTTGGCTTTGGCCCCATCCAGTCTGCAGTTCCCCAAAGGTTACCTCTAAAAATGAAGCCCCACCTTCTGCTGAAAAATGGTCCCCACCATGCTATTTGCAGATAAAATTGTCACGTAAGATTTCACAGATCACTAATTGTACTTATGGTAAACATCAACTTGTTTGCTTTATCAAAATAATAATAATCCGTATACAAATTATATATATATATTTAATGCACTAATAACAGTGCAATCCTACATCTAGTCAGAACTGATTCCCACTGAATCCAGTGAGGCTTACTGTCAACTAAATAGGTACTAGATTGCCTTATGACTATTTTCAGATTAAGAACAAATATTTTCAGTTAGGGTTGATTGAATTTAAATAACAAACTGACAGCTGACTAATGGGTTGATATTGCTAAATATATTAAAATCAGTTGTGGGTTTTTTGAGGAACTTTACCTTTTATAGAACAAGGTGAAAGGTTACCCACTTCACAGTCAAAAAGATCAGGACACACTTAATGTTCACAGTGCTGGTTCTACCACGTAGATGTGAAACTATCCAGTCTGAAAAATGACTTGTACCAAGATAGATTCCTGGATACTTTTGCTGGCCACAGCTAACGCTTGAGATGGTGATTCCTATCAAATAATATTTGGAAACATTTGGGAAATAGCACATCAAAGGTCCACCACTGTCCCCCTGGAACATGAAAAATATAAAATGAAAATTTGAGTGTTGCTTATAGTATTTTAAAGTTTTAGTATGCAGAGGGGACTGTAAACTATTGAGATAAATTTATTGTCATTGTCCGTATATACACAGTATACACAACAACGAAAATCAAACACCCACTCGAAGACCGGGTTCACATACACAAACTAATTAGTCTGAACAGTGCATTTCATGTCAAAAGAAAACAATGCTTTCTAGGAAACACAGATACCGGTAAATCTTGAAATCTTTGATTGGGTAATCTCACTTTGGCTGGGTTATAGTACCTGCAGATAAGTTGCTTACAAAACCTTATGATGTGTTCTGAAGAGTCCAGCTACATGGTCAATAAACTTAAGACTTAAAATCAAGCGAAAATCCTAAGAATACAATATGTTCTAACAATTCTTAGCTCTCATAACATGGTGGTGGTGATGGTGATGCACAGATTATGTGAAAGACACACACAAACACCCCTTTTTGCTTTCACGTTGCTTTCTTGTTTGGAAGCAAAGTGGTACAAGTGTTCAAATTAGGGGGGAAAAATGGCTCCTCTAATCTTACCCTTTCACCACTCAGCTAAAGAAGGTCTGCAACTTATGTGGGGGTTACATTCCAGGGATCACGCCTAAAGCCAAAATTATGTAGAGTCAAAACCCGCTGGGTTCATTGGCAGGTGGGGCAGCCAAAATCATTTTTCCCGGAACCCCATCCCCTTTTTATTTTTTGCCACATACATATAACTGAATGTGCACAAGCTTACTATAGTTATATTTGATGAAAAAATGGTATTAATGGTAACATGTTTTCAACCACAACTGGAATCAGTTTCTTTCCATATCTATAGTACAAAAAGTACTTGCCCTTTCCCCCTTCATGTCCCCTCTCCTCCCCACCCTTTCTAAGTCTATGAATCTGCAGACAAGAACTTGTGTGTGTTCTAGATTTTTACAGTGCTGAGAGCACGTTCACAAACAATATTATCTCAATTGAATTTTACATGGATGTCTCTATTGCCTACTTTATCACACAATGTAATCTTAATTTTTACTTTGTAAATTTACTTAGGGCTACTTTGACATCCTACTGGGCAATATAATTTGTCTAAGCAAGCCACATGACAGCATCTGTTGGCAACATGGTTTACAGTGGAAATATCTCTGTTTTACCTGACAGGTGTTTTCGTGTCCGCTTGCAGAGTCAGCACAAATTACATCCCTTGATATTCCATGCCCTGAATACCAGGGATGTCTGGCACAGATGTACAGTGGTATAATGTCTACCTGAGATTCTTGTAATATATATTTCAAATCACCTGTAAAGAAAACACAAAGTATTACTGGAAGTATGTTTGTGTTCAACCTTCTGGGTCCAGTACAAATGTTATAAGCCTGATGCAGCAGACCTTCATCCCCTTGTGCAGAATCTACATGTGTTATCAAACAAGGCTTAGAATTTCTTCTAACATTTTGGAGAAATAGAAAATTTTGTCAGCTAAAACATGAAACTGTAGATGGGATCTCATTTATCCTTGTGTGACTGTCATACCATGTGACCTGTGGTGGTTCTTTTTTTGTATTTTGTTAACAGTACATGAGATTGGCAGGCTGCTGTATTTCTATTTTTCTTTACTGTGGTACTTTCCTTTTATATCTTTCCAATGATGCAATCTTTAAGTGAGCAGCCTGTGTGCCTGGGGGTAAAGATGGTGCAATAAGTCGAGACCACATCATGCATATGGATAACAATTCATACATTAATACAGTGCAATTCTATGGTACCTTTGAGGATATTCTAGAGGCCATAGGAAAGGTTGGATATACTTCTCAGACATCAGAGAAAATAATCATTTGTAATGGTGCATGTTTGTTCTCGAAGATACAAACATGAGTCTGACCAAACTGTGGGAGGCAGTGGAAGACAGGAGTGCCTGGCGTGCTCTGGTCCATGGGGTCACGAAGAGTCGGACACGACTAAACGACTAAACAACAACAACAAATGGTGCTGGGAAACAGGGCTACACCTCCAAAGTCATTAGCAACGGAATCATTCTTGCCCCTACTGAATCAGGAGTCCACAATTTCCCACTTTAACACATCCTGCCAGCTACTGATATAAGCAACAAACAGACAAGGGTCAACCACAGGAGGAGACTTCTAGCAGTATAATAAGGCTGAGATGTTTCATAAGGCAATACAGGACCAGGACAATTTTGGGCATCTCTTCTGAGGCACTCCACCCACCCCACCTGGATTTGGGATGAAAGATCATGTAAAAGTGTGCGTGTGAGGAGGTTAACTTGTAAGCAAGTACAATTTGTGGTATAATTGCTGGCCGTGGGCTACATCTGTGGGGGACACCATTGCACCTGCAAGCACCCTCTGGCACCTGCAAAAGATACCTACTAACAAATGGACACAGTGAAAATACAGATAGAAACCAGACTTCAAAGTTCTCTGCTGGGCTGCATGTATGCTGAGCATTCCTCCTTTCAAAACTCAGTTCCAAAAGGCTGCAAGCCCCCCACCTCTATTCACTTCGGGGCAGAAAGAGTACAGGATGTAAAAAGTGACAACACTGCAGAGACTGACGGTGGTTGAGTTTAGGTAGGGCCACAGAGCCCACATGTTCAATCCCTGCCCCCGGTTTTTAATTGTTTGGCTTTTTCAAGGGTTTGGGGTCCCCCTCCCCCAAAAAACATTGCCCAGTCAATAATGAGACTAGGAACAAAACTGAACTTCAATAAATTTATGTATCATCCTGACAGCCAGCAGCAAGCAAAACCCAGGTTTTCCTCAGGTGATATAAATCTCAATGTATTGATATCAACAAAGCTTTCTGTGTTCACTAAAACAGTGTTTCTCAAACTTGGGTCTCCAGCTGCTTTTGGACTACAACTCCTATCATCCCTAGGTAGCAAAACCAGTGGTCAGGGATGATGGGAATTAAAGTCCGAAAATAGCTGGAGACCCAAGTTTGGGAAACACTGCACTAAACTAATATTAGATTATTCAGAAGGGACAGAAACAAAAGATTTACCTTTCTCCTCTTTTCCCACCCATCCACTTATATAACATGGGTTCTTGTCTGTCACTAGAAGAGGAATGTCAGGTAAGCAGATGGGCTGAATATAGTCATCGTATTCGACAAACTTTATTAATTCAAATAAGGCAATGTCATTGTCATAGCTGTTCACTTTGAAATGAGAATGGACCACAATTTCTCTCACCCGGCGATTTATAGTATGAGAATGACGTTTATAAAGATGACGTAAGCCAATCACAACTCTCCAGTACTCCGGGTTCCTAGGACAAAAAAAAACCCTTGTATGGTTAATACAAAATTGCTGCTTAAGAGAATTTTAACTTTGAGCAACACCATAAGAAAGCTCAAAACATGCAGTAATAATTCCACTTCAAATACTCCCCATAAACAAAAAATAATAGAAATTATTTTGGCAAACTATTCCATACAAATAGCAATGTTATAACTGGCTTTTCATTCAGCAGGGGATTGATTTTATGGCTACAATACAGTGGTACCTCGGTTCTCAAACATCTCCGTTGACGAACCTTTCCGAACCCAAACGCCGAAAACCCAGAAGTAAACGCTTCCATTTTCAAACGTGCCTTGGAAGTCGAACAGCTTCTGCTGCATGTTTTTCATTTTTCTTCTTTGAACTTGCAGCCAGCCCTTTGCACCTCAGTTATCAAATGTTTTGGAAGTCAAATGGTCTTACACACGGGTGTCAAACACAAGGCCCGCGGGCCGAATCCGGCCCGCCAGACCTTGTCATGTGGCCCGTGTAGCCGCCGGCGGCCACCAGCCTTCACCTTTTATTCTCGCTTTTTTTTTTTTTACACAAGAAAGCCGCCTCTTCAGCGCCTGCGTGGCAGCCTACAAGCCAGAGAACGTCTGCCCTCCAGCGGTGCCGGCCGTTCTACACAGGAAACCTCCACTTTACACGCATTCAGGAAACCTCCTAAAGATACAAGCGGCCCTTTGAGGGTGACCAAACTGCTGATGCGGCCCCCGATGAATTTGAGTTTGGCACCCCTGGTCTTACGGAACGGATTATGTTTGAGAACCAAGGTACCATTGTAATTCCTCATGGAAGCTCTAATCAGAATCAGAGAAAGTTCTATGTGCTCAACAGGTAATTTAACCTTGTGTTCATTGAGCAGCAGTTGTCTCACACTGCATGGTAAGGCTTTTTTGAAATTGAGTGAGTGAAGCTTCATAAAGAGTTATTTGGTATTGGCAACTGCTGCTCAAAGTCCAGAATCACCCTTGAAACACAGTATAAGAACCTGGCAGGATGGGATAAGTGCTGAGAATACCATGTATAAGCTAAGCTGCCTAGTAACCTCACATACTGGTGATGAAGTTGTTGAATCACCATGTGTAGCTACACCTTCATAAGGTCCAGTGAAATCAATAAACGCCCCCCCCCATGGAAGTTCTTCAAGATGGTTGTATGAATCACCATTCAGAACTTGTGCATCTTTAAGTTCTAAATCACACGCTTCAGATCCAGTGTAACCTGCCATCCTTATTCCATTTGGAAAATGTAAGAAAGATTGAATATTATTTGAGATAGTGTTGAACTGATGGCACTGGATCAATTACACAGGTCTTCATGAGATGACACATCACTTGGATAACATGGACAATTGAAGGTGCCACTCAACACACCTGGCAGCAGCGTAAGTGACTTGTAAAGTACACAAAAATCTCAAATAGCGTAAAATACATTCTTATACAGTATGCAGTAATTCTAAAGCACTGGACCCATGATTTAAACATAGCTTACTCTGAGTATGTTTTCGGAAACTGTATTCATAAAATGATAATATTATTTAAGATTTGTGAGAAGCCTACCAAAACGATGTTCACAGAATACTGACATCAAGACAGGCTATAGCCAAGCAACCAAGAAAAAAGAGGGGGGGGGAAGAACCCACACATTTTTTCCATTATACCTAAAACGGACAAGATAAAATATAAAGATACATACACCCATTCTTTAATGCAGTGTGCTGCTGTCAATACTAAGTTGTTACTAATTAAAGATCCACAACATCTATGACGATACCCGCCTTGAAAAACACGATAAATTTGAAGACTAACAAGCCATGGCCATGACCCGAGCTGAGCCTCATTATCACCTACTATCTGAGTCCCAGTTTTTTTCTCATCTATAAGAGGCCTTGTTCCACAACCTAAAAAACAAAACACAGTTATATTGGTGAGATGCAATGTATTTAAGTGTTCCATAAAATACAATCTGCATCCAGCAAAATGCTTAGAGCCACTGCTTTAAACTGATTGGTTCAGTACAGCAATTCCCTAAACAGGCCACCTGTTGGAGAGCTGAAGCAAACCCATTTTGACTCACCATCCCTTGTTATCAGAAGTGAATCCAAAATAATTTCACAGCTTCTTTGTTTCTCAGAATAAAAGGACACATACTTGCAGGATGATATCCCAATGTTCAAAAGACAGCATAATCCATGTGCTTTGTTTATATACTACAGTTTATTCAGTATCAGGGCAGTATTCATAGTCTTCCCTCCTCATGTTATCCACACAACAGCATTGTCATGCTCAGGGAGCTTGGTGGCTTAGGGGACAATCCAAACCCAAGATCCACAGGATGTGCAAATTAAAATCCAGTGGATCTCCAGGTCAGCTGGTCAATTCATGGAGGAGTTGGGCTATATATCTTAAGTATAAGGAGTTAATGGTACTTGTCTGACCAAGTTGAGTGAAGATCCAAGTTCAACATAGGCTGTCCATTTTTAGGGCTGGACAGCCTATGCTGAACTTGGAGCTTCACTCAGCTTGGTCAGTCCAGTTCCATTAACTCCTTAAGATTGCTCTCTTGGTGTCTATTTGAACTCAGGTCTCCCCAGCCATAAAGGTAAAGGGACCCCTGACCATTAGGTCCAGTCGTGACCAACTCTGGGGTTGCGGCACTCAACTCATCTTGCTTTATTGGCCGAGGGAGCCAGCGTACAGCTTCCGGGTCATGTGGCCAGCATGACTAAGCCGCTTCTGGCGAACCAGAGCAGCGCACGGAAACACCGTTTACCTTCCCGCCAGAGCAGTACCTATTTATCTACTTGCACTTTGATGTGCTTTTGAACTGCTAGGTTGGCAGGAGCAGGGACCGAGCAACAAGAGCTCACACCGTTGCAGGGATTCGAACTGCAGACCTTCTGATTGGCAGGTCCTAGGCTCTGTGGTTTAACCCACAATGCCACCCGCATCCCCTCCCCAGCCATAGTTCAATGCTAACAGGCTACATCATACTGATTGGCATACACTTCACCCCTCCCCCCCGCCTTCACAAAAAATGCCTGCTATCAATGTAACGTCAAGATAAACCGGGTTATGATCACATTGTTAAGATCATCACATTGTCCTTGCACAAAAGCCCAGAGGCTGTGGAAGCAGCGCCCTTGAAACAGCACCTCAAAGTGGGTGCTGCCGCTGACGTGCGCTTCTCTTCGAACTTGGGCAAATTAGGACAAATGCCGACACAGGGCAACGTTGGACGTAACACGGCTTAATGATGCCCTTTGCAAAAAGCGTGTCCGTGCAGAGACGCGCTTCAAAAATATCTTTCCGCTGCGACTTAAACCTTAACTACGGCAATTCCCCGTCCCTCTGCCTAGAAATGTACTCTCACAAGCAGCTCCACGTGCCTCAAACTCTACACAAACCACCGCGTGCAAATCCGTTGCCCGATTCCCACGTGAAGGATCACGCCTTCACATCGGACACCCGAAACGCCACCTGCTTTGTACTGGAGGCTGCCGGGAGTTGTAGTTCAGAGAGGGTGAAGCGTACTCCACGCGCAGGCGCAGTTACTAGCTTCGGCCGTGACGGCGCCCGAGCGCTCAAATGTGAGGGAACCTACCCGGCCCACAAGCGGCTTCGACGTCGGCGCCGCACTTCGCGGGAACGGGGGCTCACCGTGTGTAGGGACCCCGGAGGGTCGGGCTCCGGGCGGTGGTCCATACAGCAGCACGAGCAGAGCCAGCGAGAGCGCGGGGCGAAGCCTACGCCGCATCGTCCGTCGAGGGAGAAAAAAATGGCGGCCAACCCGCCGCCTTTCCCGCTCCTCGGCCGGAGCGACGCTGGGCGCGTCACGTGACGGGGCGCGCGGAGGCCTCACGCTCAAGCGTTTTCGGCAGTTTGTCTTTGCGGGACAGAGGGAAGCCTGCGCAGGGAAAAGGGGGCACCAAGGGAAGAACGAAATATTTTCAATACCGACCCCAGTCCTTCAGCAGTTCTTATAATAACTAGCTGACAGGGTTCAGGTGCAGGACTTGCGTACTGTATTAACAACGAGTTGGGGAAAGCTGGCTTTTGAAACGTTCAGAGTAGCTACCAGGAGGAAAGGTGGTGTACTTTGTAAATATATATATAACAAATAGATAAATAAAACCGTCATCATCATATCAGGCTGATGGCCCTTACACATTTTCTTGATGGGTGTGGTTTTGCTGATAATTAAGTCTGTGAAATGCAGGGAAGTTCACCTGACATCTACATTATACACCTTTAGGTGCCAGGCAAAAACATTTCTTTTTAACCAGGCCTTTGGTTGACCTGATTGGAATCCTATACACATTTAAAATGTGGCTCTTTGGGGGGGGGTTATTGGGTTATTCTTCTTTTGATTTTATATATTGTGATCTTTTCTGTGAACCATCCTGAGACCTCTGGGTATAGGGTGGTATATAAATTCAATAAAAAATAAATTATTTATACCCTGCCCATCTGGCTAGCTTTCCCCAGCCACTCTGGGCAGCTCCCAACAGAATATTAAAAGCACAAACACCAAACATTAAAAACTTCCCTAAACAGGGCTGCCTTCAGATGTCTTCTTAAAGTTAGTTGTTTATTTCCTTGACATCTGATGAGAGGGCATTCCACAGGGCGGACGCCACTACCAAGGCCCTCTGCCTGGTTCCCTGTAACCTCACTTATTGCAGTGAGGGAACCGCCAGAAGGCCCTCGGAGCTGGACCTCAGGGAGCTTAAGGCAACAGGGATGGGAAGTACTGTTTTGGCTGTCTTATAGGGAACACTTAAACTGAGACAGACCATTGTTGGAGGTGCCTGGGATCGAAGCTGGCCCGTCGCAATGCAAAGCGTGGAGTCGAGCACCAAGATACAGCATTACCAGCGATTTGATTTACAGTAATCACTTCCTGTTCCTCCTTTCCCAAGCAGCTGCCAGGCACAGTTCCTCCCCCATTTTATTTTTTATTTCATTTATGAATGAAGAAAACTGCCCAGCCGAAGCTCCTTCAGTACCAATGGCATGCCCACAACACTGCAGAGAGCAATAGGAGGTGGGTTTTCTGTGTGTAGGAACCACAGAAGGCTGAGCTTTGGGTCAAGCTTCATCCGGCACTATATGCAGTGCTAGTATGGACGCAACTGCACGGCAAAAGCTTCATGGGATTGTCCCATCAAAGAAACAAATAGCTGAGTTGTCCCTCTGCTTTCTCTTTTGTTGGAGGGACATTGACCAGCACATGCCAGGGGACTGGGATGAGGCTGACCAGGAGGATGGATGCATGCAAATTCTGGCATGTTTCTGGCTCAGCCTTCTTCTTTTCATAAAGCTACTTAATGAGTTGCCTATTACCCGTCTTGCATAGTTTGGATGGGGCAGGAGGTCCACAATGGAGGAGGAGGGAAGATGGGCAGGAACTTTTTTTAGTTCTAGTTGATATCATGTTGACGTGTAGCAGTATAGGAAAAATAGAAACAGATGTGTGGATCATCACAGATTATTATGGTCATCAGTATCTTTTAAAATAATAATTTAACAGGAGAACATATTTTCTTGCAATGGAGGAGGGAATCCTTGGATGGTTTGTCCCTTCCACTCACTCCACTAGGCAGGACAATACAATTATTTTTGCTTGGCCATGTTCTCCTGTTTCTAGAGGTTTGCTGTTACGTCTTTGGCTTTTGCTTTACGTCTTTGTTATGTTCAGCTTGGTTGCTCTTGAACATGAGGTATAATTTGTGGAGTGCTGCCTAGTACAAGGGACAGACCATCTGAGGATCCCGTCCATCCCTGGCAGAAAATGAAGCTTCATGGCAAGTCCAATGTTACATCTACCATTCTATCACAGAAATTAAATCTACTGGGCCCTGCACATAGGTAACAATCTTCACACAACTGCTTAGTTCAATGATTTGTGTATATTTTTAAAACAAATGGGTGACTGCTCCTCTTTTTTTCAAGTAATAAGGAATCCAAATTCAATATATGGAGAGTTCTGAAGTTTTAAAGTGATACAAGCCTTTGTTCAAGCTTAAAAAATACTAGCTTAACAACTTTTTCAGTACAAGGCACTGCACTTTTACTCAGAAGTTCACCTTTAGTGTAAAGTCTAACACCTAGTCAGTATTTAACAGACTGCACCCTACAACAGATGCTGGTGTTTCGTTTTTAAAAGATTAACACAAAGCTGCTTAGAAGAAATATGGTGTGATTACATTGCAATAAACAAATCAGCAGAGGGAGCAATGATTAAGATAAAACTGTCCAATACATTAGGCCCTACTTCTTCAAAACACTGTGGATTTACTTTAAGAATTCAACACAATGAATTTTGTTTGCAGGATAGAGCCTTGAAAATGTGATTCTTATATTTAACCGTTCTTCATTTGAGTGAGGAAGTGTTCCACTGGAGTATGTGTATACAAGTATAACGTAAGTTTTATTTTAAAGTGCTATGTATATATGACAACATCTGCCATCTATCACAAACTTTGATATTCTAGCATAGAAATAAGATGTAAATATTGTGATAGTATTGGTTTAATTCTGAAAATTCTTCTATCAAGACAAAAACATTTTTATTGTGTACTGAATGATCATATTCAGTTCTTATTTTTTCAACTTAATTTTCATGTTTTATTTTGAAGAGTATGATTTCATAATGTGATTTACAGACCATTAAACACATATATTTTAAATAACATCTGATATATACATATATTTAATTTATAAGGGGGAATACGGTAAATTTGTTGATAAAAGTGAAGAATTTTGCTTCCAATTTTGCAATCCAAGTTCACTCTAGTACAATGGAGAGAGAGTTTGCCTCTTCATAGAATATAAAAGACTGTCCATGCAACAATCCAATAGATCAGAATCCATCGAATGCTCACATTGGTGGTCTTAGCAATTAAATGCGCATCTATCCAATTTTTGTAATTAACTGTACGAACATAGATTCCTGGATATCTTGGTCGGCCACAACCAAGCCCAAAACTGGTGATTCCTATCAGATAATACCTGCTAACATTTCGAAAATAACACATCAAAGGTCCACCGCTGTCTCCCTGGAACATGAAAAAATATGGTACTCTGAAGTTTTAGGAAATAGGATTGGGATTCAATCAATCTTGAGTTATGTCTCTCATGAACTATCAAAAGAAAACACATTTTTCTAGAAACAGTACCTCCAGAAAGCCTGACTTGGGTATCTTACCTTGGTTTCCTTGCTGACACAATTTGATCATGGATGCTTTAGGAATTCCAGCAACAGTTTCAATAAGACAGTGTGGTGTAGTGATTAGTGTGTTGAGAAGGACCTGGGAAACCAGGGTTTAAATCTCAAATCAGTCATGTAGCTCATGAGGTGACCTTGAGTCATTCTCTCAGCGTAACCTATCTCACAGGGTTGTTGTGGGGAGAAAAGGAATAGGAGAATCATGTGCACCACCCCTTGGAGGAAAGATGAGAGATACATGTAATAATATAAGGAAGTAATAAGCTGACCCTGAAAATCAACTCAAGACTCAAAAGGGCTATTTAATCTTAGCTATCAGAGCAAGACATGACACAGGTGGGGGGACAGCACCATCCTGCTTCCATGTTGTCTGTTTTGGATGGAAGCAAAGTGGTCCAATGTGTTCCGAATGGAAGGAAATGAACATCCTACCTTTTCTGCAAAGCTCCTGTACTTTTATCAATAACCCTAAACTTTGGTAATCAGAACACCAACAATCCTAACCCCCTTATATACCCAAATGATTGCTGCGTTCTGAAGGAGTGTCTCTTGCACATGCCACTTCATCAGGTGACCCATTCATATGATGTAGGAACCTACCCTTTGAATCTCACTGCTATTACAAAACAAACAAGCACTGTCTCTATCATCTTTTTAAGCTTTCTAAGTGGAGATTTTTATCCGTCTACATCTGTTTTTATATATGTTTAAATATGCTTTTAAAGTTGAAGTTTTTCAATTGTTGACATTAAATAATTTTGGGATGTTTCATGGGAAGCAATTCATAAAAGAAATGACATTATTACTGCATCATCATTATTTTAATATTAGTATTCACAGCGTGATATGTTTTAAACCTCAACGAGGATGATGGTTTCTTTAGTTATGTAATCCTTCAAATCCATATTAGGAAAGAACATTCCCTTTTCCCTCCAATTCCCCTCTGCTTTTGTATTTATTTTTCTTTCTTCAGTTGTGAATTTGCAGTCAGGAACTCATGTGCTGTGTTTTTGTACTGTGCCTCACGCATATTATGTGCTTTTAGAAAGAACTGATCGTGCTGATTTACAAGGTGAAGTTATGTCGCTGCTTGAATTTTATTGTGATGTTTCTCATGTCCCATTTTCTCACATCAACTAATTTTCCTCCAAAATATATTAACTACTTTGGTGCTACTTTGACACAGCAGTGAGTAAGCCTGGACAAATAACTGTATGACAGCATGTTTTGGCAATATGTCTTAAAATAAAAATGATTCACACCTTATTTAGGGATGAAGAAGTACTTAAGAAGGCCCAAAAAATCTTGAGAGACTATTTTGAGATAAATTTGAGCACTAACGTGGAGAAAAGAGTAATCTGGGATGCAAGTAAAGCGGTTATGAGAGGGTTCTTAATACAACAGAACACTGTAAAGAAAAGAATTCAAAATGAGAAGAAGGATAAGATATTGGACAAAATAAAGGAAAGTGAAAAAAGATTGAGAGTAAACCCAAAATCTCAAGAGATTCTGAGAGAGTTAAAGTTATATCAAGTACAATACATGAAAATGATGAATCAGGAAATAGAATGGAAAATTAAACAAATGAGACAAAAGACATTTGAGTCGGCCAATAAATGTGGTAAATTGTTGGCATGGCAAATGAAAAAGAGACAAAAACTAAATACAATCATGAACTTAGAAGTGGAAGGAAGAAACATACAGAACCCTGCAGAGATTAGAAATTGTTTCCAGAGGTATTTTAAACGATTATATACTCAAGGGCCATTGAAAGAAACAGACTTAGATCAATTTTTGAAAACAAATGGATTACAATAAATATCTCAAGAAAATAAATTAATTTTGAACTATAAAATAACTGAACAGGAAATAGAAGGTGCCATTCAAAATATGCAATTGGGTAAATCTCCAGGACCGGATGGTTTGACTTCTAGATACTACAGATCTTTGAAAGAATGGTTAATTCAACCTTTGAAAGAGGTCTGTAACGAAATAATGGAGGGGAAAAGAGCACCAGAGTCGTGGAAAGAAGCATATATTACACTTGTACCGAAAACAGAGTCTGAAAAGACACAGCTTAAGAACTACCGCCCTATATCATTACTTAATGTGGATTACAAAATTTTTGCTGACATTTTGGCAGAGAGATTTAAAAAAGTGTTGATGGAAGAGATTCACAAAGACCAAGCGGGCTTTCTCCCAGGAAGACACATGTCTGACAATTTGAGGAATATAATTGATATTCTGGAAAAATTAGAAGTGAACATAAACACTAAAGCAGTTTTGATATTTGTGGACGCGGAAAAAGCCTTTGACAACATTTCTTGGAACTTTATGAAGAAGAATCTACAGGGCATGGGGGTAGGCCAAGGTTTTGAGAATGGTATAAGTGCAATTTATTCAGAACAAAAGGCTAAATTAATTGTAAATAATGTTGTGACGGAAGAACTTAAAATTGAAAAAGGGACACGACAAGGTTGCCCAATTTCCCCACTTCTTTTTATTTCGGTCCTGGAGGTTTTGCTGAATATGATTAGAAGGGACCGGTTGGTTAAAGGTATGCAGGTCGGAACTATACAGTACAAATTGAGAGCATTTGCAGATGACTTAGTATTGACGTTACAGGAGCCAGAATCTAGTACTAAAAGGGTTTTAGAACTGATTCAAGAATTTGGTCAAGTGGCAGGATTTAAATTGAACAAGTCAAAAACTAAGGTTTTAGAGAAAAATTTAACACCGATTGAAAGAGAGAGGTTTCAGAATGAGACAGGTTTAACAGTGGTTAAGAAAGTTAAATACCTGGGGATTAACATGACAGCAAAAAATGGGAATTTATTTAAAGACAACTATGAAAAATGTTGGGCTGAAGTGAAAAAAGATTTAGAAATTTGGTCAAATTTGAAGCTTTCACTGCTGGGCTGTATTGCTGCGATAAAAATGAATGTATTGCCTAGAATGTTGTTTTTGTTTCAAACTTTGCAAATTGTGGACAAAATGGATTGTTTCAAGAGGTGGCAGAAAGATATTTCTAGATTTGTCTGGCAGGGCAAGAAGCCCAGAATAAAATTTAAAATACTAACGGATGCAAAGGAAAGAGGTGGATTTGCCCTGCCAGACCTTAAACTTTACTATGAATCAGCAGCTTTTTGCTGGTTGAAAGAATGGCTACTTCTTGAAAACACTGACATTTTGGACCTAGAAGGTTTTAACAATGTATTTGGATGGCATGCATATCTATGGTATGATAAGGTCAAAGCACATAAAGCATTTAAAAACCACATTGTCAGGAAAGCGCTGTTTAATGTTTGGATAAGATATAAGGATTTGTTAGAAAACAAAACTCCAAGGTGGCTGTCACCAATGGAAGCGAAAGCCTTGAAAAAGCTCAATATGGAGGTCAAATGGCCGAAATATTGGGAAATTTTGGAACAAGATGGAGATAGACTGAAATTGCAGAGCTTTGAAAAACTAAAAAACAAAGTGCAAGACTGGCTTCATTATTTTCAGAGAATGGAGGCATTTAAATTGGACAAGAAAATTGGCTTCCAGGTGGAAAAATCAAAATTAGAAACTGAGCTGTTAGAACCCAAAACTAAGAATTTGTCAAGAATGTATAATTTGCTGCTGAAATGGAACACTCAGGATGAAACGGTAAAATCGGCTATGATTAAATGGGCACAAGATGTTGGACATAATATTATGTTTGCTGACTGGGAACAGTTATGGACCACAGGTATGAAATTTACGGCATGTAATGCCTTAAGAGAGAATATTATGAAAATGATATACAGGTAGTACATAACCCCAGTCAAGCTTGCAAAAATCTATCATTTGCCCGATAATAAATGTTTGGAATGTAAAGAAACTGAAGGTACATTTTTTCACCTTTGGTGGACGTGCCCAAAGATTAAGGCTTTCTGGGAAATGATATATAATGAATTGAAAAAGGTATTCAAATATACCATCCCCAAGAAACCAGAGGCCTTTCTCCTGGGCATAGTCGGCCAAATGGTGATAAAAAAGGATAGAACTTTCTTTATGTATGCAACAACAGCAGCAAGAATACTCATTGCAAAGTATTGGAAGACACAAGAACTACCCACACCGGAGGAATGGCAGATGAAACTGATGGACTATATGGAACTAGCGGAAATGACTGGTAGAATCCGTGACCAGGGAGAAGAGTTGGTGGAGGAAGATTGGAAGAAATTCAAAGATTATCTGCAGAAACATTGCAAAATTAAAGAATGTTAGAGTGATGTTGGATTGAAAATAAGTGGTTTCCAGCTGTACAGAATTTAAAGTTATAGACAGACTAAGATTAAGGATTAGGATTAAAGAATCTTAAGGAAAGGGAAATTTGGTTTTTAAAAGGTAAAATTTTAATGTTATATTATATTAAGATTAAAGATTGGGATTAAAAAAGAGGGAAAGAAATTGCTGGACAAACAATTTGAACTGGAATACAAAAGAGGGAGGTACGAGGAGGTCCAGAAAATAAGTAAATTTAAAGATGGAAATGAAAAGGTGATATTGTTTTTAATTGTTCTTTTTTCTTTTTGTCTTCTGTTGTTGTTTTTTTTGTTTGTTTTTTTTGGACTGTGTGTTGTGCATTTTTGAACTGTGTATTTCTTTTTTGTGTTTTTCTGTTTAATCTTTTATTGAAACCTTAATAAATATCATTATAAAAAAATAAAATAAAAAAAATGATTCATTTCCCCCTCATTTACCAGTGACTTTGATACATTGCTTTGATATATTAGTCAAGCAACTACATGACAGAATGTTTTGACTACTTATTGTATATTCTCCATTTTACCTGGCAGCTATCAACACGTCCAGTCAGAGAGCCAGCACAAACCATGTTTTCTGTTAATCTCCCTGCATACGAGTCATATCTATTGCATAATCTCAGCGGAAAAACGTCTACCTGAGCTTCTTGTAATATTAATTTGCCACCACCTGAAAGGAAAGCACAAAAAACTGCTGGAAGAATGCGTTTAACATTCTGAAACAAGGTTCTCAGGTATGCAACGTGGCTGGGTAACCGCTTAAGCCAGTCTAACTCTTAAACTTAATAAACCAGGTTTGTATTTCCCAAGTAGGTCTATGAAACCTACCTTCGTTTTCAGAATAAGGCTCACAAATCCTTACTGAACTTGTAATGAATTCTGTTTGCTAGCCATCGCAGGCCCCAGGTATATATGGAGCTGTGTATGCTCAACATTGAGATTTGGGTGCCTATGTTTTAATTACAATATTTTGTTTTCTTCTTAATTATTCTATGATTTCAGGTGTTATTGAACTTGTTTGTTATTGGTTCAAGGTTTGAGGTATTAATTAATTAAAACCAGCCCTTCAGTGTTCCCCATCCAGCAAGGTTGAATTGAAATAAAGTGCATTAGGTTATCAGTACATAAGAGTCTGCTGGGTTTGGTTAATACATTTAAATATAACCCAGTGGCTTACCCAATTCGGTATGCCTGCATCAGCTATGAGTCATAACAAAAGATAGACTAGACTTTGTAGACTAGATCAAATAACTTAAAAATTAAAGTATAGTTTTCTCAAGTGCACAAATCTCAGGCAAGTTTTGAAAAAGCAGAGAAGTGACTTTCTGAGTGCTTACCGTATTTCTGAAAAGTATGATAGAGACGAATACATGGCAGGTTCAAGACACAAGTACATATACTGCCCTCATATGATAAATGCAGAAAGCATGACAAATATTTTGTCTAAGCAATAGATCATATACAAAGAACCTTTGGCCAGCCAGATGATGAACTACAACTTCCATCCTCCCCTGCCACTGGCCATCCTGGCTAGGGCCAATGGGAGTTGCAGTTCAGCAAAATCTGGAGGGTGTGTCTGCAGACCTTGCAGAATCCAGCTTTTCTTAGTGCTCACAGAGTGAATTTTTATTTTGTGTTTTCTGACCTTGATTATAAGCTGTTAAATATTTTTATCTTGATTAATACAGTGGTACCTCGGGTTACATACGCTTCAGGTTACAGACTCCGCTAACCCAGAAATAGTACCTCGGGTTAAGAACTTTGCTTCAGGATGAGAACAGAAATTGTGCTCCGGCGGCGCGCAGCAGCAGGAGGCCCCATTAGCTAAAGTGGTGCTTCAGGTTAAGAACAGTTTCAGGTTAAGAACGGACCTCCAGAACGAATTAAGTACTTAACCCGAGGTACCACTGTATAGAGTTTAAAAACATAAACACAGCTAAAGAATTTATAGACTCAACAAATGACACTCCTTTTTCTGGATTAAAAGAGCAAATACTTCTGAAGAAATCTGCCCAGTTTGCTTATGGTTAGCTAGTAAATATTCTGCACACAAGATTAAAATTTTGCATCATTACTGCTGACAGAAAAACTGACTCAGGGTTAGGGCTGCTAATATTGATAACACTTCCTGAACACCTGTTTTACAGTTCAGTGCCCAGGAAAGGTGATGAGCAAGAAACATTTCACAATTACATTAAATATTTAAAAACTTTAATTGTACATTAAAAAATATAAAGAAAGGGTATGAAAACCAAATTAATCATCACGACTATCAGAAATTCCTTGTGTACACTAACGGGCAAACCAAACCCAGGTTTACCTCTGTGTAATACACCATCAAATGGCAAAGAAGCTTTTTGAAATAACTAATTCTCACTCTTAACAATAGTTTAGTTTAAAGGAAAAGTAGAAGATTTACCTTTCTCCTTTGTGTTTCCCCAGCCAGCTATGTAACATGGGTACATGTCAATAGTATCATTTTCAGGTATGCAGACGGGCTGAATATAATTATTATATTTTACATGTTTTATTAGCGTAAACAAGGCAATATCATTTTCATAGCTTTCTGAATCATAATCAGAATGGACCGTGATTGTACTGACCCGGCGCTTTCGAGTATAATAGTTGTGTGCATGAAGATGATGCACGGCGATGACAGCCCTCCAAAAGGCTGCGTTCCTAGGACAGAATAAAATAAAAAACAGAGTCAGTAACTATTTTAGAATAGTTACTTCAAGCGTGGTGTAAAACTAGCAAGCATGGTGCCAGAGTCAAATGGTGAGGGAATGACAAAGGTTTCTGCAGTAATAGTAATATAACCAGTAAAAGCATATATGCATAAGAGGAATCCTGCTAGATCAAACCAAATCATGTCCTTTAACAGCCAATCAGATGGTTCCCTGTAGGAAGCTCACAAGCAGAACCTACAGTTGCTGCTCAGCAATTGGTACTCGGGTATAGTGCCTCTGCATCTGGAAGCAGCATGAGCCATGCTCAGTATGACTATTCACAATTGACAGACATATCCTCCATAAATTTGTCTCATGCACTTTTAAAATCATCTAAGCTGATGGGCCTCACATTGATCAAAGCAGCCTTGAAACATGCCACAACAATTCCATTTACACACAACTCCCCAAAAATCTTATCATGATGGACTTATCAATAAGCACAGCAACTTTATAAGTTGTCTGCCTGTCTCTGCCTCTGGACTGGTCTTATGATAACAATTATCCCTTCTCCAATGTGAATCTCCAGGTCACCGAGATCTGCAGGCAAGGCCTTCCTAGCCAAACTGTCATCTGCTAAGGTCCGTCTTGCTTTAAGTACGGGATTTTCCCCCTGTTGTGCCATTGACCCTATGGACTCACCACAGCTCTGAAATAAGACAAGCACCAATAGAGATGTGCTCATGGGGCTTGTTGAAAAATGGTTCTCTCCGATCATTTGTATTAGCTAGCTCTGTTTTTGTTTGGTTTTTTGGGCACTGCTGTTATTTATTGCTTTAATGTATTGGTCTTAATAACTCTACTGTGAACCATAATGAAATTATCTAAATAGAAGATAGTCTATAAATAAAATAAAGATGGAAGCTACAAGTTGGATTCAAGTAACTCGGAGCACTAGCGGAAGCCAGTGCAAAAATGTAAGTGTAAGGGAGCTCCTCCCAGTCTGGAAGCTCAGAAAAATCTCCAGAACAGCATGTGGGAAGAGGATATGGGATATTGCTCCTTCCGGCATGCAGAAATACTTCTACTAACAGAACAGTCAAATCTCTGTGATGTTGAATTCTAACCTATATATTTAGAATTAAAGAAAATCTCCACCCCTGAAAACCAGAGTAAGAATAATGATGACTCCCCACAGAGTTACAAATACTAAGGTTAGAAGCTGAAGAACTGCAAAAAATAATTCTACACCAAGATTTTGGGCATGTGTCAGCTACAAAAGAGTAGCTGATAACCCATGCTCCATGACAAGCATATTTTGAAGCTTGAGTGCAGTTGCATCTACACTTTGCGGAATCAGCATGTATGCCTGCTGCCAAAGTAGGGGAAAAAACACCTCAGCATACTGTAATTTGGAAATGGGAGGACATTAGTGCCCTCCGTACTTGCGTACCCTAAAATAGATTAGATTGTATTCCGTGCAATGAGTTTCTTGAAACATGAACTTATGCTTGAAACTGTAACCCTACTTTAATAAAGGAGAAGTGCACACAACTGAAATAATCTCATAATTCTTCCCCTCCCTGCTTCCATTTCCCTCTTCACCTTTCAGACCTGAGAGGCTTCTGATAAGTGCAAGGGGAGCAGAGGGGAAGAGTACCAGGAGATGAAAAATTTACTTTGTCACACTGTTTTAACTACCAAACTATATAGTATTAAAAAAGGAAACATCCAGTCATTTACTTCTATGTTGTTGGGTGGGAAAAGATTTGGGGAGGATGAGAGGAGAAATGTATTCCTGAAGTCCCAGTGTCTCATTTCCTCTCCCACTCCTCCTTGAAATATGTCCCCACTCCCATGAATTCTGAATATTCACCAAGTGCTTAAAAAAAAATCAGTACACCTTTCTCACACTTTAGAATAGATACATGCCTATTTTTTTTAACGCAGTGTGCTGCTGTCAACACCGTGTTGTTTGTAATTAAACTTCCACCACACAGATGGAAATATCCTAGGCCAATGGTATAATGCTGAAGGCTAACTTGCCATGGCCAAGATCCAACCATGGCATCATGTCCACCTATAATCCGAGACTCTGTTTTTTTCTCATCCATAAGAGGCCTTGTTCCGCAGTCTAGAAATCAAAACACAGATATACTGATGAGATGCCATGAATGTAAATGTTCTGTTAATACACACCAATCCATCGATCAAAACAAACTTAAAAGTAGATCTAAAGGGTCATTGTATAAACCGACCAGTTTGCCATAGCGCTTCTGTCTCTGGAGAGAGTTTATGCAAGACTGTAAACTTTTGAATCACTTACCCCTTTGACACACGTTGTGGATCACAATCTGGTTTTTGCCACAGAGTGGACTGGTTTTGTCTCTGTGGTTGGAGGTGTTAGCACCTTTGTTATGCACCCACCCTCTGGACCCATTTTCTGTGGCTGGTCTTTATATATACCATTTAGAAATGCAAATAATTAAATAGTATATAAATGTCTTAAATAAATAATAAAGATAGACACCATTTCTTGGTGAGTTAGGTCTGGCAGTGATGGTTCCCCCCTGTAAAGGTGAGGGGCAGGTTAAGAAATTTACAGATGATAAGGAATTCTTTAGGGCATTGGTTCCCAAACCTCTCACCCCAGACCACTTGAAAGTTGCTGAAGGTCTTAGTGGACCACATATTTTTTTCTGCCTGTTGTTGTAAATGTGATGCAATTTGCTAAATGCTGTATGATTTTTAACTGCACTTTCCTTGATTCTTTTCTCATATACTGTACTTCATTGTATTGCACAGTGGTGCCTCGCAAGACGAAATTAATCCGTTCCGCGAGTCTCTTCGTCTTGCGGTTTTTTCGTCTTGCAAAGCACGGCTATTAGCGGCTTAGCGGCTATTAACGGCTTAGCGGCTTTAAGAAAAAGGAAACAAACTCGCAAGAACTCGCAAGAACTTGCGAAGCAAGCCCATAGGGAAATTCGTCTTGCGGAACGACTCAAAAAACGGAAAACTCTATCGTCTAGCGAGTTTTTCGTCTTGCGAGGCATTCGTCTTGCGGGGCACCACTGTATTACAATTGGTATTCCTTAGAACCCTTTCCAAGTGTCTTCCTCTCATTACTTCTGGTCCACTTCCAGCTCACCTTGTGGCCAGACTGGATCCCTGGGTTCTAAGAATGATGACACAGTCTTTGCACCCACTGTTCACAGACAGTGCTCATCTCATTCATGGTCCATTGGCCACAGTCTGGGGTCCCCTGCTGTATGGGATTTTCTGATTGGCATGTCTGACACCCCTGTTGAGGTCCTGGTCTCACTGAGGAATGGCAAGGAGTCTAGGGCCATCAACGTGATTATCCTTAAATGCCCACTCTGACATTGTGGAGCCCACCAGAATTTTGACACATGCTTCAGATGATGAAACACTATGAACAATGACTGGACTGTGTCGTAATTATTTATGTTATTACCCAAAGGTCCTAGGTTGGAAATATACACAATCCAAACCAAAAGTTAAAAATTGAAATTGAAACACTCTAAAACAATATACGGAACTCAGTAACAAATGAAACCATCAGCAACAATATAATTTCAAAGGTTCCATACCACTACTAAAGGAGAGACTGTTCCAAAGAAGAGCAGCCACTGCAGAGAAAGATGGTCCACAGACCCCTATTCCATAAGCCTCAGGGCTTCCCACGTAGATTTTAAAATTCATGCAGGTCAGTATGGGAGGAGGCACACTTTCAGATACTTGGAGCCTAGGGCATTCAGGTTAACTTTTTAATTTGTACAGCTTAAATTAGGCCTGGAAGACAATAGACAAGCAGTGCAATTGTTTCAGAATTTATGTTAGAGGATACCCTGGGGCATTCAGCTAGAACTCTGGCATCAGCATTCTGCACCAGTTGCAACTTCCAGACCATTTTCAAAGGCATGTAGGGCACATTACAATAGCCCTACTTGGAAATAACCAGACTATGAAAACCTGTGGCCAACCAGGGCTTCAACAGCAGCACTAACCGTGTGAGTCAGAAAATCCCACGAAGCATTCAGGAATCCTTTGGATTCCATAAGTCTTCAGGGGTGGACCATCTTAACCCCCCACCCTTACAGGGGGATCTTGCTGCTACCAATCCAAAGCACACCAAAAAAGTATTCATCCGTGATAAACAGTTCACCACAAATCCACAATACCTTCTGTCGCAAAAATCAGATCTGGGGTATGCCCCACAACGTGAGTTGAACCTTGATGTACTGAGAAACCCCATGGTTGTCATGGAGGTCATGAAATCCTCCGTGGGCCCAGTAAATGCAGCTTCAGCATGGACACTGAAGTCTTCCAACGCAACAGTGAAATGTTCTCCAACATGACCTCTGAGACCACCTCAGCTAAAAAGACTGCTGGGCAGCGGGATGGGCAGTACATCAGTAGTATCTTATTCTATCTCAAGGGCCCAAATCCAGGAACAAACCCTCTTATCAGTTACAGAGCACACTGGCTTCCTGGTGAGGACAATGGAATTTTCATGGTCAGCAGCATCTCTCCCCTCCCGTCTGACCTGGCCTGGTTCTGAACCAAGTACCCTGGGGGACAAAGCTAGGATAAATATGGTCTGCTCAGCTAACCCACCTGGGTCTCAGTAATATATGTCACCTTGGGCACCCCCATGGAAAACAGATGACTTATTTGAACTGATCTGGCATCAATTAACATCACTACTAGAGCAAAGGGTTTGCCAACATGTTCACCCAAACTCTGAAGATTGGAGGTTAGTCCACAAAGGATGATGGTCTTACAGGCATCCCCAAACTTAGCCCTCCAGACGTTTTGGGACTACAATTCCCATCATCCCTGACCACTGGTCCTGTTAGCTAGGGATGATGGGAGTTATAGTCCCAAAACATCTGGAGGACAAAGTTTGGGGATGCCTGGTCTTAACCATAACTACTGCCCCTTCCAGATTTTCTAAATAATCTTTAAATGCCATTATTATTATTATTAAAATTCTACCCTTCCTTCTGCCCCTCATAACACTCCATGCATCCATTGAAGTGATTTTTAGTCCGTGAAAGTTTCTGCCACAATAAAGGTGTTTTTTTAAAAAGCTGCCACAAGATCCGTTGTCCTTGCTGCTGGAAGAGACTAACACAGCTACTCTCTGGGACATGGTTCACAAGAAGCCAATGTTCCATGCTTCAGTAGGGCTTACTCCAAGGTAACGTTGCAGAGGGATGAAGCCTAAAGAATGAATGCCACTTATGAGCTGCCAAATCTAGAGCACTATTTTAACTTGGAAGCAAATACTCCAGAGTAGTCACTGTGTCTATTAGGCAATAGCATCCTCCATGGAAGCACTTTAGGAAGGAGGGGACTTCAATTTCCAAGGAATAATAATTATTTATTATTTATACCCTGCTTTCCCAAATCTGATTTAACTACACACTGACCATTGAAGGTTTATGCCCCCCAAAACAAATCAGCCTCGAAGGTTGCTGCCTCGTTTCAGACAGACCTTCTACCACCCAGCCAACCTCTTTGTTGCTACCCTTTCTACTCTGCTGTGAAATCTATCTCAGGCTGACACAGATTTCACAAGGTGTTGAACAGGATTTAAACACTCTGTTGCACATACTGGGAAACAAGTTACCATAAATATCCTAGTTTTGATCTTTTTAATAATACAAAAACAAACAAAAACAAATCAACTTACAGACCTAACAATCCACTCTGGAGTTCCTCACACAATAGTTCTGGCCTACTTATAATACAAAAATAAAAAAACAACTTGCAGACCTAACTAGCCACTCTGGCGTTCCTTACACAATAGTTTTGGCCTTTTTATGCTACAAAAGCCGAAGCAGAAACCCAACTTGCAGACCTCTGGAGTTCCTCACGCAATAAAGTTTACACGCAAGCACCTTCCTGTGTTTGGGGTGGGTAACATAATTTGGAATGCTTGATGTATACACATTTTAGCCTTTCCAGTTGTTGTATCCCTTCCTTTTAATGAGATGGGAGCCCAAGATGTATTATTTTATGGTTTTTAAGATGATGATGATAAAATAATAATATAAAAACACTAATAATAATAATAATAATAATAATATTAAAACACTAATAATAATAATAATAATAATAATAATAATAATAATAATAATAATAATAATAATATAAAAAACACCCCTCCGTTTCGAGCCGCCCAGCGACAGCTTGCTGGAAAGAGAACATTTGTTGGGGTTGGGGATAACAATCACATTTCTCCGGTTCCTGAGGCCGCGATGGGTCCTTCCACGGGGACCCCAATGCCGCCGCCAGATCCTCCTCACGGCGGATCCACAGGCCTCGCCCGCCCGCTCGATTTGGGAGCAATTCCCAGTCCTCTCAGGGACTTTCCGAGGAAATCCCCGCCCCTCCTTCCTTCGCTGCCTCCCACGCGCACGCGCAGTTCCACCCCTGTCTTTTTTGGCGGCTCGAGCGCAGCGCGCGGAGAACGTGGGAAGGGCGGCCGGAGGGAGAGAAAGCCGGGCTCACCCTCCATGGACAAGAGAGACGTGGCGTTTCTGGGCGTGTTGAGCAGCCCCAGGAGCGCCAGCAGAGAGGCCGTGGCTGCCCGGCGGAGGTTTCGCAGCATCGTCCGTCGGCGAAACAAAATGGCGGCCGGGCGCCCCCCCCCCCGGTCCCGCCGCTCTCTTGGCGGGAATAACGTTGCGGCGGCGCGAGGGAGGGAAATGGAGCGAAGATGGCGCGGAGTTCCTTCGCTCGTTCTGACAGAACGTTTTGCTGCTTTCCCCCGCACAAACACCGAACACATACACGTCTCGCAGGGTTCTGGTTCTCGAGGGGAGATTATTAAAGGAGCCGAGGCGGTTCTCTCAAGAAAGAACGCGGCTGGAGGGAACCGGATTACGGTTCCTCAAGAGGCTGACCCGAGACATACCTATTAATATAGGTTAAGGCCATAGGAGCAGTGCCAGATTTACGTATAAACGGAACATGCTATAGCTTAGGGCCCCACTCTTTTGGGGTCGCCTAAAAATTTAAAGGAAAAAAACCCTGGATGTACATTTCCAAAATATAAGATAAAAAACAAATAAAATAAAACCTACATACAGTAACAGTGTTTTGTGTTGTGTAGGCTCCTGTGATGTATGTAATGGGCCCCGCCTGCTCCCTAAAGTATCACTGGTTTGCTCATTTCTATATATAGGGTGGCTACATTCTGCATGGACTGGTTGCATGGTGGCATGCAGCTTCAGACTGCAGTGCAGGACAGCTGAATGTATACTTAATTGTATTTCTGTTCAACAATTACTTTGATAAAATACGTATTTTGTTATGTGAAAAATGGCTTTAGATACCTATTAGGTCCATAAATGGAGGCACGCGGGTGATGCTGTGGGTTAAACCACAGAGCCTAGGACTTGCCGATCAGAAGGTCGGCGGTTCAAATCCCTGCGACGGGGTGAGCGCCCGTTGTTCGGTCCCAGCTCCTGCCAACCTAGCAGTTCGAAAGCACAAAGTGCAAGTAGATAAATGGGTACCACTCCAATGGAAAGGTAAACAGTGTTTCCGTGCATTGCTCTGGTTCGCCAGAAGCGGCTTAGTCATGCTGGCCACATGACTAAGTCCGCAGACCAGTTTGTCTGCGGACAAACGCCAGCTCCCTCGGCCAATAAAGCGAGATGAGCAGCGCAACCCCAGAGTCAGTCATGACTGGACCTAATGGTCAGGGGTCCCTTTAACTTCACCTAGGTCCATAAATTACCACATAGCATATATTCAACACAAAAAAACAGCAACAATTTGTTGTTGACAAAGTACAGCTGGACATATAAAGGGCCCCATTACCTTCAGTAGCTTAAGGCTTCATCAAAACTAAATCCAGCCCTCACAGGAGCCAACTCCTAGGGGCCAAGGGGTCCCCCCCCCCAATTTTCCTAGGAGCATTTTGCGGCAGGGAATCTCATTAGCGCGATTAAAACTGCAGAGTGGACGGAAAGGAGGAGCTGTTTCAGCCTGCCCACTTTCAGCCACTCTCTGAAGACCAGAGAAGAGACCCTCTTAAGAATATGTGGGGGTGGGCAGGAGAAGGACTAGACCATGTGAAAAATGAACATAATGTTGTAGCTGCAGTTCATTCATTTTCAGCTTTGTATTCTTGTGATTAAAAAAGTGCGCCTAGACATTCCGTTGTTGCTCCCATAACCTAGGTTGAAGGTGCCCTTTAGCTCCTAGCTTTCATGTTTCAGGTTTTAATACTTCCATCCAAAGCACAGATAAGACTATCATATTGCTTTTCGCACTCGGACCTTGCTGAGTTAATCTGCAACTACAGTAGAGGTCTTCCCACTACAGCTCGCTTTCCAGGAGCAGTACTTCCGACTGCAACATCTTGGCCCAAGTGTAAATAAGTATATACTTAGCAGACCTGGCTAGGTATTTACTTAATGAAGAAACTGGCTTGACCATTTTAGTAATAGCCTCTGCAGAATCCAATCTTACTACTATGAAATTACAGTATTGCAGAGGACCCCCAAACCCATTTAATTTACCACCAAATCATTAAATATTTTGCTTTGCTGTAGGAGAAGTTGCAGAAAGCAATAAATAACAATAAACATGGAACTACTTATAGGCAAAATTCTCATTTGTAGATTCTCCTTTGGGGGATAAGGACTAAAAAATATTACACTAGAATTTCAAATATGCCTGTATTCAACTGTAAATTATGTTTTATTTTTTAAATGATACAGAAAAGCATGGCAATGGTAGGCATCTATCATGTACATTTCTTATAGAATATGGAAATATATATTTGGGAGAGGATCATTTGAATTTTGTAAATTAAGCCTCTATGAAGAATTGAAGCATTTCTTTCACATATTAAATTATAATTTTCTGCATGTTTTTGAAACCATGCTCTTTTTTCATATTGCAGCCTGTCAGTACAATAGTCACAATATAACTTACAGCCCCCAAAACATATAAATGCAACTGAACAATGCCTTTTGGATTGATGTTTTTAATGAAGGATTTTTCCATTCATTTTGGACAAGGTTAAACAACTGAGTACAAAGCATTCATTATTATAAAAACAAATGGCTCCATATACTTGTTTGCAAGAGGAATGAATACGTTTTAAAAGGAAAAGTATAAAGTTCCAAAAGAACAGGACTTTTCATAGAACAAGATGGAAGGTTACCAATCCAACGGTCAAAAACATGAGAATGTGTTGAAAGCTCATAGTAGAAGTTCTGCTGAATATTGTGACTGCTCTATCTATCCATGGTCGATAATTTTTTGCACGTATATAGATTCCAGGAAGTTTGGGTCGGCCACAGCCAATACCAAAACTGGTGATTCCTATCAGATAAAACTTGGTGTAATCTGGAAAGTAACACACCAGAGGTCCTCCACTGTCCCCCTGGAACATGAAAAACAGTAAGTTTTAATTTGCATCTCATGAACAGGCAAAAAAAAATACAGTTTTCTAGGAAATATGGATCAGTTGGGAAAGCCTGAATCGGTAATCATGCTCTGCTATGTTGCTTTGCCATGTTGCTTTCTGATACAGGTATGCACACAGATGTTTAAAGCAAACCATTTTTATTTACACACATCAGAAATACACACATGCATGCACCCTTCAGCTTTCAGGGCTCGGACATAGGACAGATATTAACAACCGACAAGCTCTTTTCATCCATCTATTCAGTTAAATCTTCCTTTTCTTCATACTCCATTTTCTCCTGCAGTTTCTAAAGTACTCTTCCATCAATTGACGCTTTATCAAAATTACCACTAGTTATATAGCACCCTGTAGAAAACAGAGAAGCTCTTTAGTAACAAGGCAAACCAACATACTAATCAAACACGCACATCATTCAGATACAAAACTCTCACCTGCAGAATCTTCTCCTCCAACTCTTCAGTTAAAGCTTCCTTTTCTTCATGCTCTATTCTCTTCTGCGATTTCAAAAGTTACACTGCCACCCACAGCCTCTACAGGTAGGGAAATGGATGTGGCCTCATCCGTTGAGCATCAATATTATATACACATATATCTACAATCCCACTCTGGACCAGAATCGCTGGAATTTGCCAGGGAACATAGTTTCAGGGTCTGGATCCTGTCCTGCTGTAAACATCGTTGCAGGTAAGCATGTTGATGTGGGCTCCTTGCCCTCATCCTTCAGGAAACACACACACACCGCAATAGACTTCTGGGTCAGAATCACAGCATTTACAAGGATTGCAGCTTCAAGTTCTGGGTCTGGACCCACTGCAAACATGGTTACATGTAAGCTTTGGGTTGAAACAGGCATTTCCCCCCCTAACATCCCTGACTTTCCCTTTTCAGGTTTAACACTGATGGCTGCCATGGAGTACGATAAACTCACAGTATCTGCCTTCTTGACCTACTGTACTCTCCTAGTGCTCTTCTTCAAAGTGCCTAGTACGTAGGTAAAGACCACAGGTGCCACGGCCGGCTTTGATGCTGCCATGTTCATCCTCAGAACGTGTCTGGGTATGCAACTAAGCTCTCCTGCCTCAAGCCCAAATTCCCCCACCCTCCTGATTGGTTGAGGGTTTCAAAACCTCATCCTACTGGACTGCAGCAGCATGCTATCATCGGAGAGGGGGGTCACAGGACACCCTCCCCCAAAAAGGCATGTCACGGCAGTAGCTTTTTCTTTTCAATAGGTTTTATTAACATTGGGGGGGGGGAATATACAAAGTATATTGGATATTCGAAAATAAAATGGCAATAACATTTTCCACTGGTAATTTGGTTAAGTTGCATTTTCCATTCTCTGGGAAAGTGCCGCTGCCTCTTCCCAAGTGGGAAATCTTCATCACCTAGAAAGGTATTTCAATTGTCTCAGGGGCCCCTTGTAACAGGAGATCATGTTGTGCCTGCTGACAACTTGTTACCTGTGTCCTTTGTCATGTTGCAGTCCTTGCATCCATCTTCGACTTTAAGATGGTCATCTCTTGGTTATAAAGCACCATCCATCAGGTTATCTTTTTCATTTAACTGGACTTCCCTGAGACCCCAAAACTGCCCAGCTTTTTCTAGTTCTTCCCCAGGGTACCTGACCTTGTGGATTCCCATGGAAAAAAACCTTGTTAAACTTAGTTAGATTGCCCTTCTTGACCCTCTCCAAGTTTGCTATTTTCTTTGGGTTAGTCAGGGCCTCTTAAAGGAACATTATCTTAGTATTCTCCCTTAAGGAAGCTTTTAAAAATGTGTTTTGAACCGCATTAGACAAGGAACCCAGGGTTCGTGTATGGGCCTAGCTCAAGAGCAAACTACAAAGGCTGGCTTATCTTGGATATATATATATCACTGCTTGAGCCTTTTCCCCGGATGTTTCTTGACACATAGGTAGAATGGTAGAATGGCCAACAAAATACAGTGGTACTTTGGTTCTCAAACTTAAACCGTTCAGGAAGTTCATTCCAAAACCAAAGCGTTCCAAAACCAAGGCATGCTTTCCCATAGAAAATAATGCAAAATGGATTAATCCGTTCCAGACTTTTCAAAACAACCCCTAAAACAGCAATTTAACATGAATTTTACCATCTAACGAGACCACTGATCCATAAAATGAAAGCAATAATGTACAGTACTATACAATAAATAAGACAGTATTGTAGGTGATAAAAATTAAAATCATTATTTTTTCTTACCTGCACTGATGTTAGTCATTGTTTGGAGGGGGACGGGGCTTTTATCCATTTCCGCAGTCACACAATCAATCAATCAATCAATCAGTAGCTGAACTGGGTTCCACACAGTCACAAAAACAAATCAATCGAAAAAGCCTCAAAAACAAAAACGCAAAATAAATAGCAAAAACAAAAGCGCCAAACTTAATCCATTCTGGAAGTCCTTTTGACTGCTGAAATATTCAAAAACCAAGGCGCAGCTTCTGATTGGTACAGGTGCCCTGGAAAAAATAGCTGGCAACCGCATTGGACATTTGGCTTCCAAAAACAGAACACTTTCTTCTGGGTTTTCGGCGTTTGGTTCTCAAGTATTTGAGTACAAAGGCATTTGAGAACCAAGGTACCACTGTATGTGCGCCGAACACCCATCACAGACATGCCCTCACACCTTCAGATCATAGTAAAACTCAGGGAACCAATCGTTTCCTCAGGACAGGTAACTATTAGTGTTTAACAATGTCAGGGGCAACTCTGCTTGCCCTGTAGGCTGATGTATCTGCATGAGGAAAGGGTAGATTAGTGAGGAACCTCCCAAGCTTGTCGTCCTTGTGCTGACCTATTGATCTTCTCTCAGTGTTAGACCAATACTCTTAGGGTTGCTGGCCTCAATTCCACTCTTTCTCCATACCTCATAGTGGGGGAAGAGTTAGCTATTCGGGTTAGAACTAGGATCTTTCCTATCACATATGTATTTCCTACAATGAACACAGCTTTCGTGTTTTTTCGAAAACCCTGAGTCTTAATGTGATCATATCCAGGATAATCACCTCTAGCAGGGATTCAGTATTCAGTTCACCTTCGGTCAGCTTTTTAACTCCAAACTGTTAGGATATTTCCGTTCCACCTTAAAAGGGAGCAGGCTTTGTGAGTCACAGAATCTACGTATTTTCTGTTCACAGGAAGTTTATGTTTTGTCTATTGCTTTCGTTTCTTTCTCTGTGTCTGAGACACTGAAGCAGGCAGTCATGTTTTTTCTTTGTTCTGACCAACACTGAATAAACTTGTAAATATGCTCTCCTGAGTGCACCTTTCGCTATGCGAACTCTGCTGATAGAGCGTGCACCAGCTCTGGAATGTGGCAAGCTATTTCTGGAGCTCGTGTCGCTAATTGCTGATACTGTATCTACGGGAGATCGGTGGATCGTCCGGAGGTGACGTGGAGTCATGATGGACTTTGTCTCCCTGGCAGTATCCCAACACAAACACCAACATTTTATTCGTTCCTTTGATTTCTGCCTTCTTCATTTCCTAAACCTTGCTGTCTTTCTGCCCTCCCCATTTTCACAAACATCAGTCATCAGCATCTGAGCATTACCACTGTGCTGCCACTTGCAGTCTTGTTACTTAAGTGTAGGCTTTTGGTCTAGGCAATGTGCGTTTGTGTAGTAACTTACCTGTTTTATTCTGTACCATTGCAACTGACGCTTCTAGCTACAAAGCCACTTTCTCAGCCATTTTGTTAAAATAAATACTATTTATCTTGCAATCTATGAGTCTTTTGCTAACTCTCCCAAGTAAGAAAAACAACTTGGCAATGGTATAGTTCAATAACTTTGAGGTGTGCAATGATCTCCAGATTAAAGATTCCCAAAACCACATTTCTGTGAGTACAAGCTAGTTTGTGTACGCATGCAGAAAGGGAGATGGGAAGCCTGGTAAAAAATGACACGTGAATATATTTTTGGCAATATGTTTTTAAATAGAATTATTTCCTTTTTACCTGGCAGCTATCCACATGTCCAGTTTCAGAACCAGCACAAAGCATATTCCACGATACTACGCCTGCATACCAGTCATATCTATTGCAGATATATAGTGGAATAACGTCAACTTGAGCTTCTTGTAATATAAATTTTCCTCTACCTGTAATCAGCACAAAACACTGTTAGAAGTATGCTTGTGTTTCTTTAGCGCTGTGTAATATAAAATTGCTAGCTATAGCAGCTCTTGGGAAAGGACAATGATAAAACTCATGAACTGTGCCACACATCCCCTGTGAAGTCTATTTCCAGTATTCCACAGAAGATTAATACTTTTTAAAAAGCATTTTAAGAGTACATTTAAAAACACACAGTGTGAATGCAACAAACACACACACACACACAAACACAGAGCGCTTTGACTGGTACAAGGAATCCTCCGTACATTCTACAGCAAACTCAGTTTTCTTTCTGTGCATTGTGCGAAAGAATCCCAAATGTCCTCACTGGAGTGAATCCAATGCTACTCTGAGAAGGGCTAGCATTGAATACAACTCACTGCAAAGATTCTTCCTGAGATCACCAAATCTCAATTAGATCACCAAACTCATTTTTAACACAGATTAAAGGACACATAAGATCTTTACCCTTCTCCTCTGTGTTTCCCCATCCACTTATGAAACATGGGTTTTCCTCTGCCACTAGTTGAGTAGTGCTGTTAGGTAAGCAGATAGGCTGAATATAATCACTGTAGCTGATAGGCCTTTTTAGTTTAAACAAGGCAACATCATTTTCGTACGTGCTTCTCTTGAAACCAGAATGCATCACGATAGCTCTGACATGGCGCTTTACGGTAGAAGATTCATAGTTATAAAGATGGTGCAAGCCAAATACAACCCTCCAAAATGCTGGATCCCTAAGAGAGAATAAAATCCCTTTATCATGTCCACATACAGGAATTTTCTTACAAACGGGTGGTTCAGAAATGATTTTTCTGCACATGTGATTGGTTCATAAGACACCCACATACCTTCTTCAGTCACCATATTTGTTGCTGTTCCACTGCTTACTGTTCACATCAGTAGGCAGAGCCTGATGAAAAATATTCTGGGGCAGATCCTGATGAAAAATATTCTGGATTTTATATTGTTCCTCACCCCAACCACTCTTTCTCTGTCCTCCACTACATTTTTACTCCATTGCCTTGTAAAAAAACATTCAGAAGTGTGGAAGACTGCAAAAGCAAATGCTACCACCTTCACAACAGTCTTGTGATTTGTGTGTGAGCAACATCTATTTCCATTTGTTTGTTTTATACCTTAATAATGGAGATCTTGTGCAAAAATATTTGTCTGCGTCTCCATCAAGAATGTGGGCATGTCTTCTCAATATAATTACCACCTCTTAATGCCACTTCTTTATCACAGTGCAACTACACCTACTGCTCTTTGATGCTGATTATTTTATTTCCAGATGTAATTATAAATACTTCTGGCTAAATCATAGTTTCATTGAGCTAACATAAAGGTAAAGGTAAATGACCCCTGGACTGTTACGTCCCGTCAAAGGCGACTATTGGGTTGTGGCGCTCATCTTGTTTCAGGCCAAGGGAGCCGGCCTTTGTCTGCAGACAGCTTTCCAGTTCATGTGGCCAGCATAACTAAACCGCTTTTGGCGTAACAGAACACTGTGACGGAAGCCAGAGCGCACGAAAATGCCATTTACCGTACCTTCCTGCCACAGTGGTACCTATTTATCTACTTGCACTGGCGTGCTTTTGAACTATTAGGTTGGCAGGAGCTGGGGCAGGAGCTCACCCTGTCGTGCGAATTCAAACTGCCGACCTTCAAACTATCCCTGTTCGGAGTTGAAAAGTCAAATACACCTTTGGTTAACAGTCAAATGCACTAACCAGTTGCACCAGAGACACCTGCAAGAAACTGAGTTGAAAAGTATGATTATCTGCAGTAAACAGAGCCACACCACATTTAAGTAACATTCATTGCACTCTTAAAGCACACGACTCTCTCCCCCCCCCAAATAATCCTGGGGACTGTAGTTTGTTTAGGGTACTGGGGCAGTGAGGAGGCAAACTATGGTTCCCATGATTTTGGGAAGAAGTAATGGGACGCAGGTGGCGCTGTGGTCTAAACCAGAGCCTAGGGCTTGCTGATCAGAAGGTTGGCGGTTCGAATCCCCACAATGGGGTGAGCTCCTGTTGCTCGGTCCCTGCTCCTGCCAACCTAGCAGTTCGAAAGCACATCAAAGTGCAAGTAGATAAATAGGTACTGCTCCGGCGGGAAGGTAAATGGCGTTTCCGTGCACTGCTCTGGTTTGCCAGAAGCAGCTTAGTCATGCTGGCCACACAACCCGTCTGTACGCCATCTCCCTCGGCCAATAAAGCAAGATGAGCGCCACAACCGCAGAGTCGTCCACGACTGGACCTAACGGTCAGAGGTCCCCTTTTAATGTGCTTTTAAAATATGCTGTACATAAGAGATAAGGAAGTAATTACTGAAGTTATTCTTTTGCAGTATAAAATGTCTCTAATAGGATCCATGAATTAATCATTCAGGAAGCAGGTTTCATTGCATCTGCTTTGCTGGCGGCCCAGTTCCATCAGGCCTCTGAACTATGCTGGCTGGTCAATACAGAAATATAGAAACTGTCTAGAAATCGGTGCTTGAGTTTTGATTTCCTCTTCCCTCCTCCTCCCTTTTCCCTTGTGTGTTTGTTTTTTTGTTTGTAAGCCTACAGGTAGGAAGTGTCTTGATTTGATTTCATGTAAGCCACTCTGGGAGGCTTCTTGGCTAAAGAGCAGAGTACAAATGCTCTAAATAAATAAATGCTTGGCATTTTCCTGCAGACAGATGTGAACTCATTTTGTACACAGAAAGCAGAGACCTTGCTCTTTCCTTGCCCCTTTTTCAGATCTGAAAAACTACAACAGTCTAGTAGATATCTGTCCACCACCTTGCCCAAGAAGGGGGTATTTATGACTGGGTGGTACCGTAGTTCTTTTAACTGCAGGGTCCAGATGGCCTTTTTTTTGGTAATGAACTCCGCTGCAGAGATCTGGTTTTCCATGCCTTGTATTGATATTTGCAAAGCGTTTGGATGTCTGCACTGGAATTCACTGCCTGGTGGTTGGAGGACTGAGCACGTTTGTGTGTGTGTAGAAACCTGTGAACTCCAGAAATGTATGAATTGCATTGATTGTTCAATCCACTTTTTGCCTCTGGTTGCCCATGGGCTGTGAAAGGTTCCCCACCCTTGCTATAAAGCATAGCAGGGAATGGTTTCAGGTGGGGATGGGGGGGGGGTGAAAGGAAAAAGGGCCCCCAATTTCTGAACTATCCCCCTGCTTCTGATCTCTGAATTGATGTTACAGGTCTATTGCCGCAAGTGGGTTGCTCCTGTTACTGATATACTGAAATGTTTTGTTCCAGGTCTCTCTCTAGCGGTAGATACAGATTTCAAAAATAAGCTAGTCGTTTTAACAAATATACTTTTTTCACACCTATAACTGGCAAAAAAAGAAGAAAAAGATTTAGAACAGAAATATACCTACGTCCATTTTTTAATGCAGTGTGCTGCTGTCAGCACTGAGTAGTTATTAATCACGGATCCACCACATACATGGTGATATCCTGTACCAAAGCGGTAAACTTGAAGACTAACTTGCCATGGCCATGCCCCTGGCTCAGCATCACGTCCACCCACAATCCGATTCCATACTGTCATCTCACCCATCAGAGGCCTTGTCCCGCAATCTAGAAATGAAAACACAGTTATGCTAGTGGTGAGATACGTCCCTCAAAATACAGCAGGCGTATAGCAACAAATACATTTAAAGCAGATCCTTAGAACCGTTGTTTTGAATGGATCGGTATGGCACAACAATTCTGTTACCGGATGAATTTCTGTTGGGCATTGTGGAGGGAAGTATTTATTTACTTATTGGACAACAAAACCCAACTCCCACTACTGCTGGCCACTTAAACTTAAGCTTCTGCCACCAGTTCAGTCTCACTCATTTCCTCCAAAACTTTAGCTTAAGAAAACTAACCAGGCTTCATTAGCTGATCATATAGTGCAGGGGGCTTTTTAAAAATATATAGGTAATTTGGTGCAATTATACCTTCGTACCTTGGAACTCGAATGGAATCAGTTCCAGAAGTCTGTTCAACTTCCAAAACGTTCAGAAACCAAAGCATGGCTTCTGATTGGCTGCAGGAAGCTCCTGTTGGACGTTCGGGTTCCAAAGAACGTTCACAAACTGGAACACTCACTTCCAGGTTTGCGGCATTCGGGAGCCAAAACGTCCGAGTACCAAGGCGTTCGGGATCCAAGGTACGACTGTATAGGGTTTTGTATGTAGGAAAGCAGAAACTTAAAACTAGCTTGGTGGCTATTAGGCAGTCACTGCAAGATCCCTCAATGCTGGCATGGTATGTGCCCACTCGCCACCCAAGCTGTGGTCTGCTCTGCACTAGCTGCAAACCCCACATACAGCACATTAAACTGACGACGCTGTGCCCCAAAACTCCTGATGACTGCTTCCAATGGCATCTGATTGGCCACAGAGGACAAGGTGCTGCGCTTAGATAGGCCGCTGGCCTGATCCAGGAAGCTTTGCTTATGGTTTTAAGTTTACACAATCGATTGAAAGCTCCATGCTTCAGTGAGGTGCTATTTTCTCCCTACAACCACTTTGACTTTGAGAACTGATCGCAGAAAATCCAAACCATTAGTCATGACACAACAGCATGCCCCAAAACCCAACAAACAATTAAAGTCTGCTTTAGAAAAGTTTATTTAAAAAAGCCTATTTTCCAAATGAAATGAACGTCAGAACATTATTATTATTATTACTACTACTACTACTACTACAATCATAACAATAATATTAATAATAATAATAATTTATTTGTACCCCGCCCATCTGGCTGGGCTTCCTCAGCCACTCTGGGCAGCTTCCAACAAAATATTAAAATACCATAATGATTCAAACATTAAAAGCTTCCCTAAACAGGGCTGCCTTATTGTATTCACTGCCACTTATTGTTTGGTCACGGTGTTGCTCCCCCACAACTTCCTTAAAATCCCGTTTCTCTCTTGTGCCAATGGATATAAAGCCCAAGGTATGAACTTGGCAAAACGCACCCATTACCATGCATAGGTTCTGGACTACACGGTACCACTTAACCGGAGACATCATTTGTGAGAACCAGCACCTCCACACGCCCAAATTTCTGCTATAACGGAGGCTCGTCTGCATAAATTTCAGCGGCCTTGTGAGCGGCACCCATTTGGAAGTAGCTTTCACATGTGACTGCCCTGCTCCCGATTCGCTTCCCATCTGAACTGCAAAAATGCGAGAATGAGAGCGCGAAACAGAAACCCACATGTAGGAACCCTGCAGAGCTTGCCTTCCGCATTCGCAGCCCCCATCTCCTGGCTCTGGGGATGGCATTTGGGTCCCCGTGGAAGAACCCATCATGGCCGTATGAGTCAGGGGGCATGCTGTCCCCCCCCCCCAATGTTTTATTTCCAACAAGTGTCGCTGGGTGGTTCAAGATGGAGGGGTGGTTTTTTTATATAAAAAAAACCCTTTAAAGACATAAAATAACACAAGATGTGATCCAATCTAATTAAAAGGAAGGAATACACTATTTCTACAATAATTTGAAGGGTTAACATGTGTAGACTTCAGCTATTCCAAACTATGCTACCTACCCCAAACACAGGGGTGTGTTTGCGTGTAAACTTTATTGTGTGAGGAACCAGGCCCAGATGGGGGGGGGGGCATATGGGCCACTTGGCCCGGGCCTCCGATTCCAAATGGGGCCTTGATCAGCATATTTATCTATATTTTCCATTTTGTCTTTATATGCAGATACGGTTCAAGCCTTGAAATAAAATTATTTGTCAGCATAACTTTTGTGAAAATTATTTATATACTTACTTATTTATAAGACTTCAGTTATCCCCAGGGTAAAAAAAAAGGGGGGGCACATTATCTACCTGGCCCGGGTCTCTGCCTGGCTCTGCAAGGCCCTGTGAGGAACTCCAGAGTGGCTAATTAGAACTGCAAGTTGGGTTTTTGTTTTTCTGTTATAAAAAGGCCAAAACTATTGTGTGAGGAATGCCAAGTGGCTAGCTATGTCTGCAAGTTGGTTTTTTTGTTTTTGTATTATTAAAAAGGTCAAAACTAGGCTATTTATGGTAACTTGTTTCCCAGTATGTGTAACAGAGTGTTTAAATCTTGTACAACACCTTGTGAAATCTGTGTCAGCCAGAGATAATAGATTTCACAGCAGAGCAGAAAGGGTAGCAACAAAGAACTTGGCTGGGTGGTAGAAGGTGTGCCTGAAAAAAGAGGCAGCAACCTTCCACAATGACTAGTTATTGGGGGCATAAACCTTCAAGGATCAGTGTATAGTGCTATAAGTATTTTAAGTCTCAAATATAGAATAAATATTTATAAATGCACACATATCTAAAAGTATAAACAGTGGTCGTTTCCAGGACCCAAATGCAACCCCCCGAGCCGCTTGCCGGGAGACGGGGAGGGATCCTCACGGCGGATCCATGCGCCTCGACCTGCAGGAAAGAAACCGCCCGCTTGATTTGAGGGATCCAATGCCTTCGCATCTTTCCCTCCCCAGCGGCGACCCCGATGGCGAAGCTGCGCCGCCTGTTGCGCGCTCCGCGCACGTCCCACCGGAGGTTTTGAAGCGGCTTCCCTCCTGCTCCCCGCCTTCCTCGGGGAAAACGCGCTCCACGCGCAGCTCCGCCCCTGCGATCCTAAACGCTGAGCGATCCTAAACGCTTCCGACGGGCCGCGCACCGCTCAAGGGGGACGAGGAAAGCCCGGCTCACCCTCCGAGGGAAGCAGAGACGTTATATTCAGGGTCACGGCTTGACCCAGCAGCAGCGCCAGCAGAGGCGCAGCGGCTGCCCTGAGACGGCTTAGCCGCATCGTCCGTCGAGGAAACTTTCTCCTCCGGCCGAAGTGACGTTAGCGCGGGGGAGGGGAAGGTGGGGGGGGCGAAGCGCGCAGCGGGAGCTTCCACGCCTTCTTTACGCCCGTCGGTTGGATCGCTTGCTCCTCCGGGCGGGAGTCTCCTGTCGGGGATCGATAAGGGAATCCCGAGAGCCGGCAACGAGGGAGGACGGGGACGACCTCTCCCCAAGCCCTACGAAAGCGAATCTTCCTATTATCTAACCCGACGTAAGGAAAGCAAAAAACCGCCTGGTGACATGTCACAGCGACGGCAGCTGATATCGGCTTTGCCCGTTACAATAAATCGTATTTTACAAAAGTAATCGGGGCTGAGTGAGGCAACGGGCGGGGGCATGGGTTCTTTTAGCAGTTAAAGGGATTTTGATAAATAAGGATTGATATGCCTAATAATAACGATGATGATTTTATTATTTATACTCCACCCATCTGGAAGGGTTTCCCCAGCCACTCTGGGCAGCTTAAAAAATTGTAAAGGTAAGGTAAAGGACCCCTGGACAGTTAAGTCCAGTCAAAGGCGACTATGGGGTGCAGTGCTCATCTGGCTTTCAGGCTGAGGGAGCCGGGTTTGTTTACAGACAGCTTTCCGGGTCATGTGGCCAGCATGACTAAACCACTTCTGCCACAACGGGACACAGTGATGGAAACCAGAGCACACGGAAACGCTGTTTATCTTCCCACTGCAGCGGTACCTATTTATCTACTTGCACTGGCGTGTTTCCAAACTGCTAGGTTGGCAGAGCAACGGGAGCTCACCCCATCGCAGGGATTCAAACCACCAACCTTCTGATTGGCAAGCCCAAAAGGCTCAGTGGTTTAGAGCACAGCACTATCTGTGTCCCTGATATAAAAATGGTAAAATATTAGGCATTAAAAATTTGCCTTCAGATGTCTTCTAAAGGTCAGGTACCAGTAGTTGTTTATTTCCTTGACATCTGATGGGAGGGTGTTCCACAGGGTGGGTGCCACTACTGAGAAGGCCCTCTTTTTGCCTGGTTCCCTGTAACCTCCCTTCTCGCAGTGAGGGAACCATCAGAAGGCCCTCAGAGTTAGACCTTAGTGTCAGGACTGGACAATGCTTGTGTAAGAGCAACACAAGTGCCCTCCTACGATTGCCTCTTATAGGCGACCATTATGCAGTGAGGGCGGGGGAAAGCGTATCTTAAAGGATTTAGTTCTGAATCAACTCAGTGTTTGGGGTGTGTGTAAAACTCATGCAAGGTTGGCTTTGCATCTGGCCAACTGAAGCACAGTACAGTATTGTAATTCTACAGCACTCTTTGTGTAACTTTTCCCATGGTGTGCATTGTACATTGTCCGTCCCCCCCCCCCCCAATATTATCACAATAACCCTATGAAACAGTTTAGGATGAGAGTTCGTGACTGGCCCAAGGTTACCCCATGAGCTTCATAACCAAGTGGGGATTTCAACCCATGTCTCTTAACTACTAGAGCACACTAGGAAGAAGGACTTATGGTAGAATGAGAGCTATTTGTTTCAAGATTTATATGCCACTTTTCCGCAGCTGATAAAGCACTTGTGAACAGTTCACATCAGTATTAAACAATAAATTACAACGGTGTGTGATAAAACACTGAAACAATAATGTATCACTCAACAAACCAGTCTACCTTGTACTGATAAAGCTTGGAGCTAAACACAGGCAACTTATTTATTAGCTACCACTGATCTTACTACCGTAGCTTTTAAAATTGTACATAATAATAATGATTTTATTATTTATACCCCACCCATCAAAAAATGTAAAATATACATATATGTAAATTCCGCATGTGCTGTGCCTAGAAAGCACAAGTCCTGGCAGTTTCCTGCTTGACTGGAGTTTTCCCCTTTCCAAGGGAAAACCCGCTCTTTAGTGATATATCAGAACAAATGGCAATCTGGGGAAAACCCAGATTCCTGTTCGCTCGAATTGAACACTAAAGAGCAGGGGTTTTTTTCCAGGAGAATGATGGAAGCAGCATAACAAGGGGAGGCATGGATAAACCAGTCTCTATATACATATTTTTTATTGTGAAATCGCTTTGGGAAGCTTTATGAGAAGTGATTCATAAAGGAAATTAAATGAACAGTGCTTCTGGGTTTATATCTTTGCAGATAAAACTTGTTTTTGAATTTGTCAATTCAAAGTAGATTATAAAGCATAGTAACTGTTAAATATTGCATTTTGGTAAAGATTTGCAGGAGGAAATAATTGAGTTTAAAAGTGCAATGGAAGCAGAGTTTGCCTGTTCACAGAACAAGATGAATGGTTACCCACACCACAATTGAAAAAATCAGAACACATGGAATGCTCACAATGGAGGTTTTGCCAAGGAGGCGTGAATCTATCCAACTTCTGTAATTAGCTGCATGTATATAGATTCCTGGTAATTTTGGTCGACCACAGCCAATACCAAAGCTGGTGATTCCTACCAGATAAAACTTGTCATCATCTGGCATATAACACATCAGAGGACCACCACTGTCTCCCTGGAAAATGAAAAATAAAGAAGACAATCTAAGTGTTGTTGACAGTATTTGGAAGGTTTCACATGCAGAGGGATTGTGATACAATCGTTTTGAGTTTTACCTCTCAGAAATCATCAAGAGAATATACTCATTGCTAGGAAATAAGGATGAGTCTGGAAATAATGAATTGGGTAGTCTTCCTTTGTGGCTCAACAGCACTACCAACAGGTAAGGTAAAGGGACCCCTGACCGTTAGGTCCAGTCGTGGACGACTCTAGGGTTGCAGCACCCATCTCGCTTTACTGGCCCAGGGAGCAGGCATACAGTTTCCGGGTCATGTGGCCAGCATGACTAAGCCGCTTCTGGCAAACCAGAGAAGCGCATGGAAATGCCATTTACCTTCCCACCGGAGTGGTACCTATTTGTCTACTTGCACTTTGATGTGCTTTCGAACTGCTAGGTTGGCAGGAGCAGGGACCAAGCAACGAGCAACGGGAGCTCACCCCATCATGGGGATTCGAACCGCTGACCTTCTGATCGGCAAGCCCTAGGCTCTGTGGTTTAGACCACAGCGCCACCCACTCTCGAGTACCAACAGGTAGGCCACTTTAAAAATGTGATCATTTGGGGCAGGTGGGGAGAGGAATTCTAGACATCAAGCTAGTCATACAATAATAGTACTGTACATGATATTCCATTTAATGTTAGCTACCATAACAAGAGCCATGTTTTTATTACAATTCTTGCCTCACCCTCTGTTGCCAAATTCTGTTTTGGAGGGAAGCAAAGTGGAAATAAGTGAATACCCTGAATTTTTATGCATAGCTCTTCTTTCATTTATTTTATGTTTTGAAATGTATGCTCCACTTTTCTTTCTAAAGTAAACTCAAAAGTCCCCACTCTCATTTCTCAGCTACTGGTATATTTCAGTGAGCCAAAAAAGGACCCAAAAAGAAAATAGTGGTAACAAGTTCTATATCTTAACAGGAATTATGCCGCATGCAATCTCAAATCAATATTAGGCACATGAAATTATGGTATTGCTTGAATTTTACTGTGATGTGTCAATGAGACCATTTCATCAAATGAAGAAACAGCAACTTATTTCTATTAATTTTCCAACTGCTTTGGTAGTACTGTGACCGGTGTTACCCTCATCCAGTAATGATATTTGAGCTACCAACAACAAGACAACATGTTTCTTCAATTTGTTTTGAAACAGAATTATCTTCATTTTACCAGGCAAGCGTCAACATGTCCACTTTCAGAGCCAGCACAAAGCTGATTCCTTGATAGTCGTCCATTATACCAATCGTAACTATTACAGACTTCGTGTGGAAAAACTTTTATTTCAGCTTCTTGTAATATATAACTTGGTGTACCTATAATGAATACATAAAATACAGCTGGTAGTATGCCTCTGTTTAACATTCTGTAACATATTGAACAATATGCAAAAATGATGGCTGTTGACATCTTTTGGTCCAAAGTAACTTTCTTAAGGCTCATGCACCGCAGCCACTCTCAGCTGTAGATGCAACCCCATTTATCTTTGAGTGTGCTGCATTCTCCTTTAAATTTTATAGTGGTGCAACCTTTAAATGAGCAATCTGAATGGCTGGGCTTAACGATGGTGCAATGAGTTTAGGCATCACCATGGGTAGGGTTAGAAGTCATGGCAGCAGCGTACTAAGTTGTAATAAAATTAATTACAATAGGACCACAAGTTATGTGAGGGGTTATGTGGGATGTCAAGCAACCTTCCCAGAGCCCAGAATGCAAGGCAGAGGGCTTAAAAACTATTTCTGTGGCAGGAAAACCCTTTGTGGAAAGAGCTTTTAAGTCCTCCACCTTTCTTACTGGGCTCTGAGTCACACAAGGGTTCTGGAGGTTCTCACAAGTCTCCAGGACACTGATAAGCAAGGCTGCCCCACCCCCCTGTCTAGTCCCCCTGGTCACAGTGTGTAAAGCTGAGATCAAGTACAGTGGTACCTTGGTTCTCAAACATCTTGGTTCTCAAACTCCAAAAACCGGTAAGTAACTGTTCCAGTTTTCAAACTATTTTTGGAAGCTGAACGTCTGATGCGGCTGTCGGCTATTGTTTCCAGGGCACCTGTACCAATCAGAAGCTGCGCCTTGGTTTTCGAACATTTCGGAAGTCAAACTTCCGGAACGGATTAAGTTTGGTGCTTTTGTTTTTGCTATTTATTTTGTGTTTTTGTTTTTGAGGCTTTTTCGGTTAATTTGTTTTTGTGACTGTGTGGAACCCAATTCAGCTATTGATTGATTGATTGATTGATTGATTGTATGACTGCGGAAATTGATAAAAGCCCCCCCATCCTGACTATCATCAGTGCAGGGAAGAAAAAAATTAAATTTTCCTTTTTATCATCTACAATACTGTCTTATTTATTTTATAGTACAGTACATTGATTATTGCTTTCATTTTATGGATCAGTGGTCTCGTTAGATAGTAAAATTCATATTAAATTGCTGTTTTAGGGGTTGCTTTTAGAAGTCTGGAATGGATTAATTCATTTTGCACTACTTTCTATGGGAAAGCGTGCCTTGGTTTTGGAACGGACTCCCGGAATGGATTAAGTTTGAGAACCAAGGTACCACTGTATGTGAAATGTGCATATGTTGTGGTCCTAAGTTTATTCTGCTCATTGTCAGTTTATTTGTTTTGGCCATGAACACCTACTGAGTGTATACTTGTTGGGAAACCTGGGTTTCCTTCCGAGTAATGTGAAATAGTCCCAATGTATTCACAGCAAGGAGGTATTCTAAGATCACCAAACTAATTCTCACTCTCAATAACAAATTAGTTGAAAACTATATATATATATATATATATATATATATATATATATATATGGGTTTTATATTCTGATTTTGTTCTGTGAACCGCCCTGAGATCTTCAGGTATAGGGCGGTATATGAAGTCAATAAATAAAAAATAAAAGGAAAAGGAAATATTTACCATTCTCTTTTGTCAATCCCCATCCACTTATATAACATGGGTTCCTGTCACTCAGGAGAAGAGGGGTGCTAGGTAAACAGATGGGCTGAATATAGTCATTGTATGTGATAACCTGGCTTAATTTAAACAAGGCAATATCGTTTACGTGACTTCTTGCATCATAACGACAGTGGGGCATGATTTTCATCACCTGGCTGTTTACAGAATGAATCTTGTCTCCATAAAGTCGACGCAAGCCAAACACAGCCCTCCAAAGCTCTGGTGTTGTCCTAGGACAAAATGAAAGCCCTTGCAGAGTCAATCATTAAGCTAGGATTGCAACTTCAGAGCAATGAATTTTGTGTCTTGCTTCACCATCTGTTCAAAAATAAACATGAAGCTAGACTCATCAATCACCAAAAGAATGAAAGATATATAATAAAAGCAACATATCCAGCAAATCGTTTACATTCCAAACAGATATACAGATAGGTAACACTAGTCAGAGCAAGCTCAAAACATGCTCAACAAGAGTTTCAATTCAGTTCAACTAACTTGGAATTGGGCAAAACTAGGCTTTATTTCACCCAGGTCAAAGACAGAGTTTGGCACACAATGGCACCCCTCTGGGGGCTAGCCCCTCCGTAGCTATGGCATTGCTTGGAATGCCACAGTGACAATTGTGTCTGTAAATAGAGCAATGTTATTTCCTTTCCTGTCTGTGCTTTTTTGCAGGGAGTTGATTTTATGATGCTCATTATCCCAGGGGGGAATTATATTCAGAAATTTGTTGGAGTGGACTGGGGGACATTCAGTGAATAGGATGGATCCTCCCTCTGGAACAGATAGGCAAAGCATTTCAAGTCTTTTGCCTCTTCCAGGATTAGGAGCCATTCTACCCTCCAGTTCTGGCCTGCCTCTGGTCAGGTTGGCAGATTCCTTTTTTCTATGGGTAAAGGGGGGGGTCCTTATTCTATATACCACTGTCTTTGTGGTTTCTCTTTTGCTTCGTTTTTGCCTCTTCCGTGTGTTTGAGAGGGTTTTCTCCGACAGATATCCATAATATAGCTATAACACTACAAATCACCTGGCCTTGCAAAAAGCTGAAATAAGATAAAGAGCCACATGTATGGATACACATACAAAAAACATTCAGTAAGTCCATATACTTATATTTGATCCATATACTTTTCTCACACCAGACACAGAAAAAAGATTGAATATATAAAGATCTGAATATATACCTGTTTTGAATGCAGTGTGCTGCTGTTAGCACGGAGTCATAATCAATTAAAGATCCAGCACATACATGAAGGTATCTTCCATTAGTATGGTGAACTTGAAGACTAACTTGCCAAGGCCATCTTCCAAGTTCAGCGTCATGTCCACCTACAATCCGTTCTTCCTCTGTGGTCTCATCTACAAGTGGCCTGGTTCCACATTCTAAATATCAAAATTTATATTGGTGAGATGCAATCCAGCAATTGGTTTGCATCTTTCCATTTATGCAAGGACTTGTGTTTGTGCACTAGTACATTCCTTTTATTGTTGGGGATACCCAGAACACCTGATGGAGACATTATGCAAACCTGAAACATTCACAGTGTGGGGGGAAATAACCCTGGTTATACTGTATTGTTGGGTTGCAAACCAAAGCCAGCCTCTGCAATATCACTGATTTTAACCTATGTTAACAGAAGACTACATTATACGACTATTGTAAGATGCTCTCTTTTTTTACCCCAACAGGGCACCAAAACCTGCAAGAAGATGGGTAAAAATCACATGTTCTAAATTGAGTAAGATCCTAGTTCCAAGGAAAGATCCAGAGTTCATGATTTTCCTCTCCCCCTTTCTGAGGGTGGACGGACAAGGGGCATCAAGAAATCTAAGACTGTTCCTGTTTTGTATGTGGGCAGCTCATTCCTTCTCTCGAAGGTGCTCTCCATAAAAGGATCTAGCCTTGTTTCCAGTCAATTAGGTAAAAAAAGGTAAAGGACCCCTGGACAGATAAGTCCAACCAAAAGCAACTATGGGGTGCAGTGCTCATCTGGCTTTCAGGCCGAGGGAGCCAGTGTTTGTCCACAGCCAGCTTTCCAGTTCATGTGACCAGCATGACTAAACCGCTTCTGGCGCAATGGGACACCGTGACGGAAACCAGAGTGCACAGAAACGTTTATCTTCCCGTGACAGCGGTACCTATTTATCTACTTGCACTGGCGTGCTTCCGAACTGCTAGGTTGGCAGGAGCTGGGACAGAGCAACGGGAGCTCACTTCATTGCATGGATTTGAACCGCTGACCTTCTGATCAGCAAGCCCAAGAGGCTTAGACCACAGCACCACCTGTGTCCCTCCAGTCAATAGTCCCATAATCAATAGACTCCATAGTTGCCTTTGACTGGACTTAACCGTCTAGTGGCCCTTTACCTTCCAGTCAATTGAAGGGACAGAATACCCAAATCCTGTCTGAAATCACCCCAGGCTTCAATAATCACCCCAGGCCTCAAAACTGTCCAAAACTCCTTTTGTCTTCTAAAAAATCCAAAACAGCTTTTCTCTGCTTGTCTCTGCTTTTCTCACAAGATGCTGTGGCAAAAGGCAAAATTAAAGGCTAATGAATAGGCTCTGTTCATAGCAGGCCTGGGAAATGAATCTTATCTCATTCTAGTTGCAACACATCTGAACAAGCTGAACGCAAGGCTTCTCACCCCTCCTTTCCTGGCAAGAGTCCACAATAGTCCCAAGACAGCTTTCTGTTCATGCTCAGAGGAACTCATGGGCAGGACTCTGGAGAAAGGAGGAGGGAGCTGGAAAGGGGTATATATGCTTGTGCACAGGACTGTGAACTTCGTGCATGCTTTTTGTGACTTATCACACTTGCTCCTTCTACCAGTTCATGTATGGTAGAAATAAAACCTTTTTCTCCGAAACTATTCCTTGAGTGTCTGTTGACTCCCACTTCCCTTTCCCGGGCGCAATATTTTTCCCACCCGAGGGCAAAGCCTCATAAGGCTACAAATTAATTCAAGGGTTGGTTCTAAATAATTTATTATTTCCCCACCCCACCCCTAAAACACTGCAGGTAATTTTGCTTGCTCCAATAGGATAGAAACCGAATCCCCTCATTCTCCTTGGCCTATTTTTCAGATGGCAGCCGAGGGTCTCATTGAGCAGCCCCCTCCCCTAGCCTCGTTCCTTATGGGCGGTTCTCACGGGAGGGGAAGCCCCTAACACCGGAGGCCACTAGCAGCCTCCCTCCAGCCCCAGCCTCGAAGGGCGTGTCTGACACGTGAGAACCTGACACGTGAGAATGTGCCCGCGGGTTCCGCCGTCCAACGCCAAGCGAAGCCGGGCTCACTCTCTAGAGAGATCCCGGGCGAGGGGTTCTCGCCGGCGGCCTCGCCCAGCAGCAGGAGCAGCGCCAGCCAGCCAGCAGCCGGCGCACGAAGACGTCGCATCGTCTGTCAAGTACACAAAATGGCGGGCGGCGAGTCTTCTCTCGCTTTTTCCCCGCGCTGCCCGGCTGAGCGTCACGTGACAGCCGCGCGCTACGTTTTTCCGACGGCGGCGCCTGCGCGTTGGCGCCTCAGCATTCGCTCCCAGGCGGCGGGTGCCGCGACTCGTCCCTCTGCAAAATGGGTCTCCCCTCCCGTCGGCGGCGGTGTCGGGAGCCGGTGGCAGCGCCTTGCTGGAGGAAGGGAAGGCTATTTCCATTCATTTCCCTGATCACAACCTTCGGGGTCACCTCGCATGCTGTACTGGAGGAAGGAAACCGCCTGTTCACCCCCTCCCAATACTTCTGAAGCAGCTTTTTTTGGGGGGGGGGGGACTTAACTCTTATTTATAGATCTTCACAATACCAACTGTATGTATCCCCCCGCCCTCCAGTCATGTGAGGTAGGAAAGGTATCTATAATGGAGATTCGTAACTTAGCAGGAGTTTGAACTTCGGTTTCCTGTTTCATTTTCTGGCAGGTTTACTGTGCCATTAACAAGCTGAGAGGCAGAAACGCAACAGATTGAGCTTTCCTTTTTGCCGCCTTTCCACTCCAGAAACAGTATTCTGCCATATAGGTGTTTCTTTGTTTTATCTAACATTCATTACTGGACCAAGCATGGGAATGCACTCTTGTTTAAGCTCTTGTCATGTTCAGAAGCACACACTGTACTTTAGGCTGCTGTATAGAGATGGTAACAAAACAGAATAATTCTACTATGCCACAGCACTTTTTGTCCTCCTTTGTATCAAAAGAGCAAGCCTGTATTCAAAGTGCTATGTTCCTGTAAAAGGGACTGACTCAGGGTTCAACACATGGCTGTTTTCTTATCTCTTGCCAGGGACACAGGTGTATCGGGAAGTTTTTAATGTTTGACATTTTATTACGTTTTTATATTCTGCTGGAAGCCGCCCAGAGTGAATAATATTCACCACACACCCCACGCCCCATCTTTAAGTTGGGCACCAGCAACGGAAAGTGAAGGATTCCCATAAATACTACACTTGGGTTTCAAATAGGTTGACATTCAACTGCAAAATTTATTATCAAGCACGGTATAATTGTATGGCATTGTTTGTTAGGCAACTGTCATGTACATTTTTTCTAGAATAATAAAAAAATGGGTAAGATTTGAATTCCACAAATTATGAGTCCTCTGCTTAAACATTAATAAAAATATGTTTGTATCGTATGCTCAGTGACTGTTTTCAGAGCATGCCTGTTAGCCCATTTTGAAGAGTGTGATGGTTGCAATGTAAATCACACATGTTAACTGCCTTTCGGGTTCATATTTTTAAATTAACGGTGAAATAATATATTTGAATCTTATTTTGTTCTGTGAGCCACACTGAGGTGTCTGGGTATAGGGCAGTATATAAATTCAGTAAATAATAATAAAAATACAAAGCATATAGGTTGTTTAAAAATAAAGGACTGGATGCAAACTAATAACACAATCCCTTACATAAACACACGTTGATGGGGACTGGATGAAATGTAATCGCCTCTCTGCCATGGGATGGGGGTTGCCATGGGATGGGGGTTGCTTTGCAGATGCCCCAGAATCATTCAAAAAGTTACTGCCAGTGGTAGCTAGCAGCCACAAAACAGGCATTGCAGGGTAGAGTCAGGGTGCTGGCAGCTTTGGGTCTGTTGGACCCAAAGTCCCACAGACTCCCTGAGAGGTTTGATATTCAAGGCCTCTCAGCTATAGCAGACTGGAGCTGGCACAGCAAAAAATATCCCTCCCCTCCCCAACATCTGCCTTGGTCAGCATGAGTCAGCAGCACTTTTGATGTGGCAACATATTTGTCACTCCACTGCTGTTTCTAAGTCCAGTTTGGGTTGCTCTGTGTGTCACTTTTCATTCCCAATTAAATCCATGGGACAAACTACACTTTGATTTCAACGGGATCTTAATGCCTGAATCCAGATCAATGAATTTGGCTAAAACACATTTGCCAAGAGGAAGAAGTAAATTCAGAAAACAATTCGAGATTATTCTAGTTCAGTGGAGTAGAAGTTTGCCTCTTTTAGAAAATGAGGTGGAAAGTTACCCATCCAGCAGTTGAAAAGATCAGGACAAACTGAATGCTCACAGTGGTGGTTTTGTTGTCAGATACATGTGAATCAATCCAACTTCTGTAATTTGCTGCACGGATATAGATTCCCGGTAATTGTGGTCGGCCACAACCAACACCACTGCTGGTGATTCCTACCAGATAATACTTGTCATCTAGGAAAGAACACATCAGAGGACCACCACTGTCTCCCTGGAGGATAAAAAATAAAGAAGACAACTTGAGTGCTGCTGAAGGTATTCTGGAGATGTAGCGTGCATAGAAATTATGATAGTAGGAGCTGTATCTAATGCTGGAGCTTTACGGGTGCAATAGGCTTCCATGCACACAGTGGAACTTCCTCTCCCTTCCATGTGCACCCTCAGAAACAGTTCTGGAGGGTTGAAAAACCAAACCGATTTTGGGCATTGCAGGGGAGGAGAGGAAGTGGAAGTCCTGTTTGTGAGTGGAACTCTACTCACACAGCACTGGATAGAATTCAGTAAGTCTGAGCTATGCCTTCCATGTAAGCCTCCCAGAGAGCTTTGGCAGTGTTGAGCGACAGACTAAATGCTACTAATAAGTAACTATAAACAAAAGTTATCAAAAGAAAAATAGATTGCTAGGAAAGATGGATGTGGGAAAGCTGGACTTTGTGGAACAGCACTAACCATAACTATGTCACTTACAAAAAATTGGTAATGCCTATTCTGGGAATTCCAGCTACAAGCTCAGTAAGCCTGATGAGAAATTTACTCTACGCATTGAAGTGCGCATGGCGCTCCATCCAGTTTTTGCTCTCGTAACAAGGCATTATGTACACAGGTGTTGAGAAGAACATTCCTCACTCTCTTATTTTGAAAGCAAATAATGTGGTCCAAGTGTTCTGAATGGAAGAAAATGAACACACTCTGACTATTCTATAAAGTTCCTCCGCTTTTATCCCCTACCCCACCCCTTAGCAGTCTTTACTGAGGTAAACAAGTTATTAAAAATCACGGTGAAGGCTTTTTTACTTCAGCTGGAAGTATGCCCAGATTTGCACATTCCTTGAAATCTGTATTAGAAATCTAGTTCCACTAGGGCTGCCATATGAAAAATCACAATTCTTTTGGTGTTTTTGTCACACACAAAAAGCTCAACAAAACAACTTTGGGGCTTGTCTTTTAAAAAGTGCAACAATTTCTGGGTTTTCCTTTTTAAAAGCTCATTTGGGGGGTGGGGTGTCTTCCTAAAAAAGCCTCAACAACTTTCATGGTGTCCTGGCTTTTACTTTTTGAAATATGGCAACCCTAGTTCCACTTTTTCTCCAATTCTCCTTTTGTCTTTTCAAGTGTGTACTTGCAAGGGGGAACTTTTTATTATTTTTGTTCAGTGTATAAGGGATACTTATGCACTATTGTAAATAATAAATGTTTTAGCACATGAACATGAACAAATTTGTATGTTTCTGGAACTGACTATGGTGTTACACTGACATATAATTGTGTTACTACCAGGTAGTAAAGTTTGACTTAGCAACCACATGGCTGGAGGTTTCGCCAATGTTTTTCAAATGGAATTTTACCTGGCAGCTATCGACACTCCCGTTTTCAGTACCAGCACAAAGCATATTCAATGATACTGCCCCAGCATACCAATCAAATTTGTTACAGATTTGCTGTGGAATAATGTTGACTCGAGCTTCTTGTAATATACGTACAGCTTTGCCTATAATGAAAACACAAGACAAAGGTGGAAGTATGCTAATTTGTTGTTTAATAATCTAGAATGTACAGGACAACAGGGATATTAGTAGCTCTTGGGTCAGTACATCTTTCTTAAGCCTACTGCACCAGACCCCCATTCTCCATGCATAATCTACATTAGTTGCTAAACTAAGGTTCAAGAGTTACGGTGTGTACTTTTAAGAAACTAATGCAGAACTCAATTTTCTTTTCATTTTTCCAGTAGTGCAATTGTTTAATGAGTGTGGCTATGTGTAAAGATAGTACATTGAATTTAGATCCCACCGCTGAGAGTGTTACTAGTAGTGTCTACTGTGCAATAAGATGTCATTATGGCTTGGCAAACAGATGTAAATTCAGTAGATTCAGTGTCACATTATTTGCTTTGGCCAGTTGTAAACTGTTTGAACTGCTATACATATTATAAAGATTTTATTATGGCTATCACTATATTATGCATGGTAGTTCAAACAGTTTACAAATTAGCCAGGTTTACAAATTAGCCAGGTTAGTTTGGTGCACAATATGAGAATTATGATGTTTGCACAGGTTTGGTCAGAGCAAAAGCCAGAGTAATTGAGTATCTGAATAACTGGCATATTTTTTTGTAGAATAGACCAGCATCTACTCCTCCTTGCCACAAAAATGACTCATTATATATTGAGTCATGTATTGTGCCTTTATCCTCAGATTCCACTTAGAAATACTAGAAATCTGGATTAAATGAGGAAAATACAAGCTGCCATTGGGATAATGACATCCAGAGGAACCTACAAAATACTTGCAGACATGAAGAACACTGATCCTGCAATAACAGCAATCCAGAAGCACCCGTAGGTACAGGAAAAGCTTTTGGGGAAATCCGAAAGTGTTCTAAGTCAGCCAGGAAAAGGTTGCCATACTATGGAGCTATGTATGTGCTCATGGCAGTGCCACTGATCTGAAGATCCATGTTCTCCCCATGTATGAAATAAGTTGAACTGCTTCAATGGGACTTACTTTCCAGCTAAGTATGCAGCTGGAGATAACTTAATTCTCACTAGTAACAAAAGTTTAAAGGAAAAATAAAAGATTTACCATGTTCATATGTGCTTCCCCATCCACTTATGTAACACGAGGTCTCATGAGACAGGAGAGGAGGAGTGTCAGGTAAGCAGATGGGCTGAATATAGTCATTGTACTTGACAGACTTGGCAAGTTGAAACAAGGCAACATCATTTTCAAAGGTGCCCCATTCAAAGTCAGAATGGATTGTGATAGTGCTGACCTTCTGTATTACAGTACGAGAGTGGGGTTTATACAGATGATGCAAGCCAATCACTGCCCTCCAAGATTCTGGACTCCTAGGACAGAATAAAATCCCTTCTAGAGTAAATAATTAGTGCAGAAGTTCCCATTTCAGACTTTAAAATTTGAGAGCAACAGCAAAACCGGGTCAACATACATGCAATCATTCCCCTTCAGGAACTCTACTCAAACTATGAACTTGGAATCTTGTCATGGCTCACTCTTCATAAAAGCTAGCCTATGAGTTTTGCTTTTTCTGTCATTTAAATAGTATATTAGTTTTATGGAAATTTATTCGGAAATTCTATTCAGAATCAAAAATAAAGTGCAAAAAAGACAAGAAAAATAGGAGGTAATTGAAAGATCGTCCATCGATGCAAAGAACTGCACAGATAATTTTGCATTTGACACTAGAACTTTTGAGTAGAAACTATACCAGAGCACTTTTGAATGGGAAGAGCTGCATAAGCAGTTTATGCATCAGTATATACACCTGTTGCTCAAAGTAAACAATCCCTTGGACATGCCATAGTGAATCATGGAAGCCATACAGAGAGAAAAGATAAGTGTCATTTGTACTCTACAATGGTACAAGTTTCATGATATGCGGCTCTTTTAAAACCTGAACCTATGGTGAAAATCCTTTTGCTGAGAAATCCTACTGGAACTTTTAGCTCAGTGCTTTTCAAACTTTTCAAGTTGGTGGCACACTTTTTGGACAAGCATCATTTCACGACACAGTAATTCAGTTTTACTAGCACACTGGAGGTTAAGCTAACCCTTTCCAGCCCCTACTTAAGCCCAGTCAAAGGCAACTACGGGGTTGTGATGCTCATCTTGCATCAGGCCTAGAGAGCCAGCATTTGTCCAGACTGCTTTCTGGGTCATTTGGCCAGCATGACTAAACCGCTACTGGCACATGGAGGACCATAATGAGTGCCAGAGTGCATAGAAACACTTTTTACCTTTACACAGCGGTACCTATTTATCTACTTGCACTGGCATGCTTTTGAACTGCTAGGTTGGCAGAAGGCAGGACAGAGCAATGGGTGCTCACCCTGTCACGTGGATTTGAACCGCCAACTTTCCAGTCGGAAAGCCCAAGAGGCTCAGTGATTTAGATCACACAGCCACCAGCTCCACTATCTGTAGAAATGAGCCAGAGTCAATGAAAGCTTATGCCAGTAACACTTGTGAAGTCTTTAAGGTGCCTCAATGCTTACTGTTTCTCCTGCAAGAGGCTAACACGGCTGCTCTCCTGCAAAGCCTACTGATGATACATCCAAAAAAAGTTCGTTGGGGTGTGTGTGTGACTTTTTCATATATTTGGTTGACATGCAAAGTGCACCACTGATGGGCTCTGATCTACATGTACTTTTCATTTTGCTGGTTCTCCGGCCCCTGCAATTCCGTTGCTCTTGGTCACCAAAGTATGTTGATGATACAGATATTGTTTTTGTGTTGCATGCCACTTAGGTTTTTAGAATATTAAGCAATTTAGAAATGCTTTTAAATGAAGAAAAAGTGCCCTTCATAGCATCCCCATTCTCAGCTGTTACACGTTACATCAGCATGCATGGCTGAGGGTTAAAATGGCACATTTATGTTGAAAAATTCCAATAACTATCTACTTGCGCTGGTGTGCTTTCAAACTGATAGGTTGGCAGAAGCTGGGACAGAGCGATGGGACCGCACCCCGTCACGCGGATTCAAACCACTGCGGATTTGAACCACCACCCTTCCAATCGGCAAGCCCAAGAGGCTCAGTGGTTTAGACTACTGCGCCACCCGCTCCCCTGCAACACACCTACACACTGCAGCCAGCACATTAATTTGTCGCGGCACACAGTTTGGAAAGCTCTCTTCTAGGTAAAGGTAAAGGTACCCCTGCCTGTACGGGCCAGTCGTGTCCGACTCTGGGGTTGCGTGTTCATCTCGCTTAAGAGGCCGGGAGCCAGCGCTGTCCGAAGACACTTCCGGGTCACGTGGCCAGCGTGACGAAGCTGCTCTGGTGAGCCAGCACCAGCGCAGCGCACGGAAACGCCGTTACCTTCCCGCTATAAAGCGGTACCTATTTATCTACTTGCACTTGGGGGTGCTTTCGAACTGCTAGGTGGGCAGGAGCTGGGACCGAACAACGGGAGCTCACCCCGCCGTGGGGATTCAAACCGCCGACCATGCGATCGGCAAGTCCTAGGCACTGAGGTTTTACCCACAGCGCCACCTGCGTCCCCTCTCCTCTAGGTATTGAATCCTAAATGAGCGTAGCTGTGATAGAAAATCAATTAAGTATCCAACTATGAGGTTAACAGTGGCTTTTTAAGGTGGGCTAGATTCTGATCTGGAGGCCAATGTGGGGTGGGGGAGGTAGGCCAAAGGAGGGCAATTTGTTTAGGTGGGGGCAGCTGCTTCATGTGGTGTACAGCTGCTACAATCAGTAGCCAAATAAGCCATATTCCCCAATACTACAGTTGAAACACCACTACAAGATCATAACAGAATGTCATTCCTGTCAGGGCATTTTGGAGCGTCACGGCGACCCACAAAACAACCAATGACAGCAGCTATGCTCTGCTTGAAGTAGTAGGAGAAAATTGTTTTTAGTAAGGCACCACTCCCCCCAAAAACTGTTCAACTTTCTCCCAGAAATGAAAATGCCTTCCTGCTTTGACGGTTATTTAAAGGACTGACACTGGCTTCTGATGTCACAGAAGCATACAGACTGCACCTAGACAGCCTTTCTGTGATTCTGCTGTGTCGCAGATCTGTGAAAATGGCACATATCGAAAATTTAGCCTATACCCTCACAGTATGATACTATTCCTATATGGGCTGACACAGCAATTCATTATTTTTTCTCTAGAACTTGGGCTATTGAGGGCCCATCTGTGTGGAATGGAATTGGTGCCACTCAAAAATAAGCGGATTATTTCTGCATATTCGGGGACTTCCTAGATCTGCAGTATTTAAATTAAATAAAAAATATATATTTACAAAGACAAAGAAGCAAAAGCCTGACATGAATCTGAATTTTGGGGCCTAACAGAATCTTAACATCTTAGCTGAGAAGGAAAAGAAAAAAGAAAACCTGAGGTGGGGAAAAGAAGGAATTGGCATGTTCAAGACCAAATGGGTTTGGGACAAGCTTCAAGTAACGCTAAATGATTTCTGCCTTCCCTGTGCATGCAAATACCAATGAGGGAAATGTGTAGGTATGTCATTATAATTATGGGATCAGAGTGCTATAGAAAGAAATTAAGCTGCCATACACCATCAATCTATTTGTCCACCTAGATCAGTATTGTGCTTATTGTGATTCATAGTGGCTCTCTCAGACAGGTTTTTCCCTACACTTGACCCTTTTAACGCAGCAGATAGGTTGGGAGATGAGGGGGCCCCTCCCTCCTGAAAACTCCCCCCTTCTACCAGCCAGACCTGAAAAGGGCTATAAGGTTTTTATTCCAAGCTGGATAGAACCTTGAACAGGAGGAGGCCTTTTAGGGACTGAGGATACACTGCAGCTTTTTGTTTCTTGCTTGTTCTGTCTAATAGTGAACTCAGTGGTTAAGTTCGGGAGTGAAACAGGGATATTAAAAAAACAAAACAAGTACATAAAAATAGCCTGCTGGGCAACTTACACTCCCACCTCACGAGAGAGAGAAAAGAACCTTCAATAAATGGATGTTGGGCAGATAGTGTGAGTTTAGAAATCTGATCTATCGTTGAGGCTAATTCAGCTGTCGAATGGTGAAGATGTCAATTCAGAGGGCAAGATGGCCTGATTAAGCCCCTAACATTTAAAAGTATACTGTAAGTGATCGTTAGAGTTGGGAGATAGGCACCATGAGCTACAAACAAACAAACAAACAAACAAACAAACAAACACTCCTTTCCTGTGCTGCCCTCCCCACCCAGTTTTCTTACCCTTCACCATAAAGTCCCAGAGTGGGTAACAACATAATCATATAATTAAAAACAGGTAAATGTGTAAAAATAACTATAGTAAAGTGACATTCCAGTCCATCTTGCAGATGATTCTCCTGGAGTGTGGATATATCATTTTTGGGGACTCAGAGTTTGAGATACACATCTCCACTTCTTTTGTACCTATTTTGAGTATTATTAGCATAATTATATTACTTTAATAAGACTGCATTATTATACAATACTATATGAGCTATTAAGGAAACAACCAAAACTTAAGTACATAACTGTTATGTAGATGTTATGGTTCATGAAATAAGTGCTTCAGGAGGATGGCTGGTGGCTATTTTGGAAAGAAGGTTTCCATGGACATATGCCAGCCTGCAGGTTCTATCTACCCAACTTTTTTTTTTGACAAGCTATGTATTCTATAGCAACCACATGGAAATTGTCATCAGTAAAGACTGTCCTACAGAAGTATTGCACGGATTGGATTAAATTAAGTGTTCAGATTTATGTCTGGCAACCAGCCCTGAACTTGAAAACCACAGTACAGTGGTGCCTCGCAAGACGAAATTAATCCGTTCTGCGAGTTTCTTCGTCTTGCGGTTTTTTTGTCTTGCGAAGCACGGCTATTAGCGGCTATTAACGGCTTAGCGGCTATTAACGGCTTAGCGGCTTTAAGAAAAAGGAAACAAACTCGCAAGAACTCGCAAGACGTTTCATCTTGCGAAGCAAGCCCATAGGGAAATTCGTCTTGCAGAACAACTCAAAAAACGCAAAACCCTTTCGTCTAGCGAGTTTTTCGTCTTACGAGGCATTCGTCTTGCGGGGCACCACTGTATTATATGGCATAATGGGGAAAGGTTTCAGAATGGTAGGAAAAACTGAAATCTTCCCCTCTTCCTTTTCTCCCTCCTCTTTCCCCTGAGCCATGGCCAACGTTATAGGGCTCCTGCTCTGGTATGGTTCAATTAGGCTAGCTGAAGACACATGAACCAAAACACCCCTGTTAAGGGTTGGCAATATACAGTACTAAAACTTTTTTTTTCCAGATCCCCCCTTGTGGGTAGAGACCAATACATGTCCCTCAAGCACAAAACTGACAGAAAAAGATTCAGAACAAAAAAAATACATACATATTTACTTTAATGCAGTGTGCTGCTGTCAGCACTGAGTTGCTATTAATTAAAGATCCACCACATATATGGTAAAAAGATTCTCCAGGAGCAGGTTGAGCTTGTAGACTAACTTGCCATGGCCAAGCCCCAAGCTGAGCATCATGTCCACCTATAATCCGAGATCCTTCTGCTGTCTCATCCACAAGAGGCCTTCTTCCGCATTCTAAAAATAAAAAAGTTGTACTGGTATTTCAGTGTAAAACACAGCAGGCATTCAGCAACAATACAATATAGCCATTGTTTCAACCGTGCAATCTGACACAGTTCTGTTATCAGATTGCTTTCCGTTGGAGATTATGCAAGCATGAAGGCTTCTGTGAATCATTAAATAATCTTATTGTCAGATGCCGGCCTAAAAGAACACACCAACTTGTTTGATTGAGGTTAACGGAGTGCATGCCTCCAGGATGGTGGCCAAACATATAACAGAAGCCAAAACATAAGAGGTCAATGTGACTGGGACCAGAGTAGCATACAAATTTCATTCACATTCATCCACCCAGTAATTTAAATGCATCCCCTTCTCTCCTTCCTCTTCCCTCCCCAGATGCATTCAAGCTTAAGAGAAAAAGTCAGAGTCACACAAATGGAATGTGTGTGTGTATACAATTTTATTAAAATTATATCCTGCTCTTCCTTACAAAGGAGTTTTATTTCCTAAGCTGAATTGCTGCTCAGACTCCTGGCAATGTTTTTTCTTTGGGTGGGGGGCAGAGGTGATTAACCTTTCCCTCCCAACTGCTCCTCACAGCAATTTAGCTTCAGGAAAAGGTTCCAGTTGTTGTGTATGGGACCTTTTTCTCTAAATGGGGTGGGGGTGGCAGCACATGGGAAAGAGAGGATTGTTAAGTTTTCCCACCTCAGCTGCCACTGTTCCCTGAAAATTTCACCCAGAAGGCAATTCAAGTTAAGGGAAAGGCTCCATTTGCACAAATGTTTCTTCCTCTTCTTTTTACTACAAAAGGCACACATTTATGAACAGAAACAAACGAGTACAAAACATTACAATTTTTAAGAGATATTATGGAAGCTATTGTTATAGAAAAAATTGGGGTTGGCTTTTGCAGCCCAACTCTCCATCAAGGGATTCAGTGTCCCTTAAGACAGTTATCGGTCACAGAAGAATGGATGGAGGCAGGAACCAGTCAAAGCAAAGCAGATCTTTATTTTCCTGTTGCACCAGAGTCCTCCCTCCCTTGCAAGGAGGTGAGAAGGGCCCACACCAGTGTATAATAGCTTTTGAAGACTTAGAAATTGCCCAGCCCCTTATTCAAAGACCACCCAAAAGCATCACACAAGCATCATGGAAAGAGGCAGTCTACAACAGAAATTTGAGGGTGTGGCTTGTCTCCTGTTTGTCAAGATACCTAATGTGTGCTGACTGCCTTATTCTGGCTAGTTTGAGCCATCCTCTTGAAATGGTAAATAACCTAGTTTCTGAAATCATGGCCACAGACCTCCCATATTCATACACAAAATGTGCTCTTTTGATTGGATTTGAAGGACCTGTAAGTTAAAAGAACTATTGGGAGAGGTTTTTCCATGATACAGTGGTACCTCGGGTTAAGTACTTAATTCGTTCCAGAGGTCCGTACTTAACCTGAAATTGTTCTTAACCTGAAGCACCACTTTAGCTAATGGGGCCTCCTGCTGCTGCCATGCTGCTGGAGCACGATTTCTGTTCTCATCCTGAAGCAAAGTTCTGAAGCACTATCCTGAAGCACTATTTCTGGGTTAGCGGAGTCTGTAACCTGAAGCGTATGTAACCCGAGGTACAACTGTATTTTCTTCTGCAGAGGAAATAGCTGGGGTCATTAAGAGTCAAGATGGCTTCAGGATTGCTCTCCTGTACTATTTCAGACATGTAGCTTAGGTACTTATGTATGAGTGTTTACCTTGTGCACTTACGAACACACATTTTATTTATGAACCTTAGAATTCTTATAACAGTACATAAAAGACACACACACACACATAAAAAAGACACAGGAAAGGGAAAAGATAACAGTACAACTCAACAAGTTGAGTACTTTTCATTACAAAACAAAACACTTGATGTAAATTATTACTGTAATGTGGGATAAAGTCTAAATCAGTGGTTCCCGATTAGCTAATTACTGAGAATCTCCTATTTTTCAAAAGCCAAGCCACAGACCCCCTGCTTTTGAAAATTTTGATAACTCTATGATAATTACCTCTGCAAAGCAATTTTTTAGGGTAGCCCCTAACAAGCAAAGGTATATTAAAAAATAAGCAAAGGTATACAAAAAAAACACAGACTATAAAAACTGTGATATTACCATGTAAAAAATTAGTGGGGATGGGCTGTGGACCCCATGGGGGCATTTCACAGACCCCCAGAGGTCCCCAGACCCCTGATTGGGAACCACTGGTCTAGATAAAAAACTCAGACTAAACTAAAATCTGATAAAGCGTTTCACAATCCTGCAAAAAGAATTAAATAAAAATAAAAATACAGTATGAAAAGTCCCAGAGCAGATCCAGGCCTGTTTCTCTATTGCTGCAACAAAATGACAAAGGAGAAACAAAGTCTAAACAGAGGTGAAGGGGCAGATCTCATTTCAATTTGTCTGTGCGACAGCACCCTGCAAAAACTTGAATCAGAATTCCCACCTGGAAATATCGCAATCTCATCTATGCTCAAGATCTAGTTTACAAGATTAAAACTAGAACTTGTTTTTCTTCTTCTTCACATGATTACACAGCATTACATTAAAACAACAACAACTGAACATAAAAGGCTTTTGGAAAGGCAATTCTTCTTAAAACTTTTCCATTATTATGAATTATGGAAATCGATTTAATGGCCTATGTGGCTTGCTTCTAAAAGGGCACAGCAGCCTTACTGAACAGGTCAGATATGCTTACAAAGCTGATTAAATTTCAAGCCAATATTGCTTGAACTGGTACACTTCACGTGTATTCTTAAATTGCTGAAAGTGACATCTTACACCGTTTCCGCCCCAAAGCAGCACTGACAACCTAACAAAACCTCCTTTCTTCCAGAGCTTAGAAAAGGAATGTTGCAATCATATGAACTTTAGGGGCAGAGATTGACACCGACCGTGCGCCTGTGGCATTGTTACATGGTAATTCAGAAAATAGAGACATCACCTTGCCGACAAAGATCCGTATAGTAAAAGCTATGGTTTTCCCAGTAGTGATGTATGGAAGTGAGAGCTGGACCATAAAGAAGGCTGATCGCCAAAGAATTGATGCTTCTGAATTATGGTGCTGGAGGAGACTCTTGAGAGTCCCATGGACTGCAAGATCAAACCTATCCATTCTTAAGGAAATCAGCCCTGAGTGCTCACTGGAAGGACAGATCCTGAAGCTGAGGTGCCAATACTTTGGCCACCCCATGAGAAGAGAAGATGCTCTGGAAAAGATGGAGGGCACAAGGAAAGATGGAGGGCACAAGGAGAAGGGGACGACAGAGGACGAGATGGTTGGATAGTGTTCTCGAAGCTACCAGCATAAGTTTGACCAAACTGCGGGAGGCAGTGGAAGACAGGGGTGCCTGGCATGCTCTGGTCCAGGGGGTCATGAAGAGTTGGACTCGACTAAACGACTAAACAACAACAAAAATTCAGAAAATTACTAAATGGGGGAATTACTCGAATTAAATCCACTTTCGCGTCGTGTGCGCTTCCAAACAGGTTTGGGCGTTTTCCCCCTTTGACTTAAACTCCACCACGTACAGCATCAAGCGCCGTTTGACAGGAGCAGAAGGAAGGAAAAAGGGTAGAGTTTTCGCGGCCTTCTTTTCCTAACATTAGATCCACGTGCTTCGACCTCCAGGAAAAACAGCAGCCAGGCAGAGCGGCAAACCGAGGGCCGCTTAACTTGGGAAGAGATCCCAGTAATCGGGAGAGTAGAAGGAAGAGCTGTCCGGGAAGAAACAGCTGAGGATTCCACGACGCCAGGAGGCATCCCTCCACGTGCGCGACTCTCCTTGGCATGCCCCTTACGCACTCCGCGTCCGTCGCACTGGAGGCTGCCGGGAGTCGTAGTTCGGAGGGGGGCTCCGCGCGCAGGCGCACTTCCGCCCAAGGCCCTCAACGCGTGAGGGAATCTGCCCTGCCCAAGCGCCCGCTGCCGCACCCACGGGAACCAGGGGGGACGCCGGGCTCACCGTGTGCGGGGACTTTGGAGGGCAGAGCTCCGGGCAGGGGTCCGTACAGCAGCGCGAGGAGCGCCAGCGAGGGCCCGGCTGCGGGGCGAAGGCTCCGCCGCATCGTCCGTCGAGGAAGAAAAAATGGCGGCCAACTTTCCCCCACTCTCGCCGTCTTTCCCTCTCCTCGGCCGGAGTGACGTTGGGAGCGTCACGTGACGGGGGCCGAGAGGATTCTGCGCTCGGCGGCCTCCCGCTCTTGTATTTGCCTGGAAAGGGCGCGCGGGACGGAAGCGAGGTCCGCGCGAAACTCTGGCGGGAAGAAACCTCCCTCCCTAATGGGGCAAACATAACAGCGAGGCCGATCGAGCCGCGGTTGCGAGGGATTTATGCGCGATTTAAAGCCCATTGCAAGAAAGCTGAGGGAATACATCCCCAGCCTTCGAGAAATCTTTTTTGGAAGTAAAATTTAAAGTTAAGATTTGACTCAGATCCTTCTTCTTTTTGTTTCGTTTTCGATAAAGAATTGCATTGCAGCCGCACCGCCGACACACCTCCTTGCTTTACCGGTTGGTTTGATTTGCGGCAATTGCTTTATTATTAATTATTATTTGAATTTATATACCACCCTATACCCGGAGGTTCACAGAAAAGATCAATATAAAAACCACAATATATAAAAAATCAAAATGAAAGCAACCCCCAAAGGAGCCACATTTTAAAAGGGCATAGGATGTCAGTCAGATCAACCAAAAGTCTGGTTAAAAAAAAGAATGTTACAAATTAAATTTCCAATAAACAGCAAGTCAGCAGTAAGCAGGTGTGTATACAGACACCTTCGTTTCGTGCATGGAAGCATAGAGTTGGAAAGGGATCCCGAGGGGCATCTAGTCCAACCGCCTGCGATGCGGGAATCTTCTGCCCAACATGGCTGGCTAAGCTTAACTGCTAGTGTGGTGTAGTGGTTAAGAGCGGTAGTCTCGTAATCTGGGGAACCGGATTCGCGTCTCCGCTCCTCCACATGCAGCTGCTGGGTGAGTTCACTTGTACTATGACAGTGGTTCAGTGCTCATGTCTTCTCATGTTTAATTCCTAAGCTTAGGAGATCATTGACCCTTTGATGAATTTACGAAGTTGGCATCAACCCCACTGCATATACTTAGGTAGGTATATGAAATATAGTCAAGAAATACCAGAATACCATGAACATTTATTAGTCATCCACCATTACCAGGAATTGCAAAAATGTAAAAATAAATCTGGCATACTGTTGGATTGTGAAATCTTGTTAAATATAAGGTTCCACATTGGCAAGGAAGATACATGCCCATACTGTTTATTTCTGAGGCTCATGATGATTATTCTTTTGTACTATTCCTCATTAAGATTTCCTACTACTATACCCTTTTCAACCCCTGGCTCTTTATTCACCCCTAAACTGTAGGGGGTCAATATCAACCACTTCCAGAACCCAGGTATAAATGCATATTTAACATGTAGAATATGGTAGTGCTAAAGGGATGTTAAAATACCTTTGGGATAGTGTTTTATCTATAAAATATGTACTGCTATGTCATAAAAAATATATCAAAGTGGGTTGCAGCAATAAAACAACCATACAGCAAAAATGATAAAGTTAAATACTGACATCAATTAACTATTGCTGAAGTAGGCAACTTTTGAACTGGTTCCTGTACCAACCCATTTACCAGCATTTTTATCAAGAAAAATTTGTAACAGCTACATTACAAACACACCTTCACTTCTTAATATAGGTAACCATATATAGGGTCAGACTTTTTGTCCAACTCTGCCCATGCTCACTATGCTGCCAGAGGTCTTGGACAATATTTTTCCCATGCCACCTGCAATTGGGTCCTAACAGGAAGCCCAAGGATTGCACCTTGTACTCTGTCACTGAGCGAGGGTCCCTTCCCCACCAGTTCATCTGCCATGGCTCTGCCCCTCACAGTCCTGGAATTGTTTGAAGCAAGTGGTGAGAATTCCCCAATCTCTACACCCCACTCAGATAATATTTAGGTGCCTGTCAGTAAAAGCTTCCCCAGCTGATTTCTGCAGATCAAATCAGCACAAGCTGGCCAGGCTGATTTCTTTTTCTGGCCAGTTAGCAATGCTATGTGTTTACACATATTTTTTGGGAGAAAAAAGCATGCAGAGAACGTTAAAATGGTGTCTTAGTAGTGCTTTAATTTGAAGTTAATTGATTTAAACAAGCTGTCGTTGACTATATTCTAAGATTTTCCCAGTCTGCTCTGCACTTTAGAAAGTAGAACTGAATTCCTTTCAGAGAAGGAAACTTCCTTTGAAATGTGTATATAAAAGGAGAAGCCTTAGCATGTTTACTCAGAAATAAAAATTCCCTGAGTTCAGTGGAGCTTTCGCCCAAGTAACTGAGCATACTACTGTATTGTAGTCTGACACAGGAGCTGAACTCAGTGGAACATATTTTTCAGTAAACATTCATCTGATTGGATTGCACTGGTTGAATTGAGAATTATTTTACAGCATAACCAATTATATGTGGCTGAATCGGTGTCCAGTGTAAGGGGACGTATATATGTTGCAGCTTTACATCTGAGAAATTTGCTTTGTCAAGATCACTCCAGATCTCTCTTGTTAAGCAGCATCCGTCAAAGAGAAGTTTCCATGTTGGGAAGAGAACTTGCTGCCAAAAGTAGCACCAGCTTGAATGGTCTGCAGCCACGTGTTCCAAGAAATAAAATGCTCCACCCTAAAGGAAAGGAGGAGACCATTTGAACAACAAGTATTTCAGGGAAACCAAGAGTGTAGGATGTTTTGTGCATGATATAAGACCACTTTCAGTGCCTTAAAATCAATTTCACCAGGTATTTATTTTCCCCAAAATCTGACCGACCTACTTGTGCTTTGCTTCTTCCTTGCAAAAATGTCAATATTCCAGTAGTTCGAAGGTCTAAGAGCTCCTACATATGTATGTTATTACAATCTGTTGCAAGCTGCATTGAGGATCATTCAGTCAAAAGGCAAAATATACATCTTCTGAATGAATATTAGACTTGGGGCATTCGCAAACATGTAAGCCCAAGGGCTGATTACCTGCCACTAGCAATATCCCTTCTGTCTGACAGGGAAATTTAGTACAAGGTTGGGGTCCGTAGTCAGGGGTCCCAAAAGGAATGCCAAATAGACACAGTCTTCAGTGAAGCTTTAGGCCTTGGTCAAAAGGAACATATACAAAGTCAGTCTGGTAAGACAAATGTCTTCTAAAGGTTGTATAGTTACTTATTTCCTTGGCTCAGGGATCGCATAAATCCATACCCGCCGACATTTATCCAATGAAAATAGGGACCTCCTAAGGAAACGTGGGACATTCCGGGATCGAATCACAAACCGGGACGGCTTCTGTAACTCTGGGACTGTCCCTGGAAAATAGGGACACTTGGAGGGTCTGCAATCCTAGGCATGTTTATTCAGAAGCAAAGTCCCATTTAGTTCAATGGAGCTTACCTCCCGATAAGCGTGCTTACAGTTGCACTGTAACACATAGCTACCTACCAGGCCTGTTCAGAGCTTGTCTGAGGTCTGTGGTGGGAGTCTTGTTATTGGCATGACAGCGTAAGTTTGGGAGACCCTGGCGAGGGCCCCCATGCCATCTTTGAGGTCTGGGGCAAGTGAACCCTGCTGCTCCCTTCCTTTGCATCGGCCTGCTGCCTACTACACTCCTCTAAAATTGCATCTCTACCCCACCATGTCTCTTTTGCTGCCCTCTCCCCCTCAAATACTCACCGGCTTGAGGACCCTGCAGACTTCGCTCAGAACACTTTGAATGTCCCGCACGGAGCAGAGGACCAAAGTGGAAACGACGACATCGACGGAAGAATCGGCCACCTCCTGCAGATTCTCCGCCGGGGTCACCAAGAAGCTGTCAAACTGAAGGTGCTGGTTCTGGGACATGCTTTTGGTTAGACTCCGTTGAAAGTGGGGGTTGGGGTCTGTACAGGTGACCCTGCAGTTGGCCGGGAAGAACTGGAAGTTGGAGCCCGTGCCGGTTCCTATCTCCAGCAGCCGCAGCTGCCCCGAGGGGCCTGCAAACTCCAACAAGTTGCGGAACAGCTCTTGTTTCTGCCTTGACATCTTCTTGTTGTAACTGGGTGCAAACTTCTCCATGAAGGCCGGGAAGATCTTCTTGCAGTAGGGCTGCCATACGCCCAAGTACGACAGCACGTATATGGGAAGGGCTAGCAGCTGGAGACAGAGACGGAGGCAGAAGACCAGGGCTGTTGCCATTTCAGCTCCTCTAGCCCAGTCTCGGATCTTTCGCCCTCTTTTTCCCTCGGAAGTCCAGAAGCAGGGGAAATAGCTTTGAATTCTGTGCAAACGTCGTCGATATAGCCTGTCTTGGGAAAGTTAGGACACGGATGGCTCTCTTTCCTCTATCATCGCTTAGTTCCAGTGCAGATCTCAAAGCAGGGTTGTGGACGAGGAGAGAGGAAGCTGCAAACTTCTTGCTAGGTTCAGGAACTCCCTAAGGATCACGTTACCCACTGACTTCCTCATTCAGCCTGAGCCTTTTGTTTTGACTGTCAAAAGCAGTCTTTGGCAATCTGCCAGAAGGGAAGGGAAGGAGGGTGACTGTGTAACTCTTTCTCCTCTGGCGTTCTGAAGGGCAAAAGCAGTTTATTTGTTTTTTTGCTTAACCCACAGCTTACTCAGATTTCTCTTACCCGTCACACATGTACACATGAGTGTGTACATATTTGTGTGAGGGGGAATAACTTGGGAAGGGCCTGGAGCTAGGGGCAGAGAGATATGAAGGCACATCTGTTTAGGGAAGTTTTTAATGTTTGATGTTTTATCATGTTTTAAATATTCTGTTGGTAGCCTCCCAGAGTGGCTGGGGAAACCCAGCTAGATGGGCAGGGTATAAATAATAAAAATAAAATCATTATTACCTGCATTTTCCATTCAGAGGCAGCTTAACCCAAGGGTTTATTTGGGGGGGGAGGGGTTAAGAAAAAACTCTGTGGAGGATATAATCATATAACTGATTAACATGTAGCCAAATCTTAAGTGTTTAGAACAAGATACCCTCAAACATTTATCTGATGAAAATACAGACATCCTATTTAATAATAATAATAATAATAATAATAATAATAATAATAATACTTTTTCTCATTTATACCCTGCTCATCTGGCTGGGTTGTCCCAGCCACTCTGGGCCACTTCCAACATATATAAAAACCTAATTAAACATTTAAAAAACTTCCCTATACAGGGCTGCCTTCAGATGCCTTCTAAAGGTTGTATATTTACTTATCTCCTTGGCTCGAGGGTCCCGTAACTCCATACCCTGCAATATTTCTCTGATGGAAATAGGGACGTGCTAAGGAAAAGTGGAATCATATCAGAAACCGGGACGGCTTCTGTAAATCTGGGAATGTCCCTGGAAAATAGGGACACTTGGGAGGGTCTGGAACAATTTGTTCCTCCTCTAACTCATCCAAGTTGTTCAGCTCAAGTATGTACAGTTCTCTCTCTCAAAGCAGCCTTGTGATTTCTCCCCATAGCTTTCCCTTAATGTCTCTGCAACCTTTTGCCCCTCAGGCAGGGATCGGAAGACCTACCTTCTCTGCTCCTGTTTTATGGAGAGTTCTTTTGTGCAAAGGACGGCAGTTACAACGGCGGCCATTTGGGGCTAAGGGTTGCCATGAGCCAGCTAGTTTGGCAAATGTAGCATCAGGATGAAAGGACCTTTCAAGGAAAGTTCAGTTTAACCCCACTGTTCGCCAACTCAATGCCCAACACCCCCCCCAAAGGCACTTTAATTACTGGATTGTCTGTTCTGTCGAGACATAATCCCTCCTGTTCTGCAGCCCCATTTTGCACCTGTTTTCATCTTCACCCTCCTGTCCATAGCTTCTTTTCTGCCTCCTTTTCTGCAGCCCCACTTATGCTCAGACCACACTCATAGTAACTGCCTGAACCTTCATCCCCAGTCCCATGCCTCCTGTTCCCTCCTTTTCACTTTCACCCCTCTTTCCTCCTCTATTTTTTCAAACTCCCCTTGCACCATCCTCATTCCCATGGCTCCTCAACCCTCCTGTTCTGCAGATATGTTACTGTACTCTTAAGAGGAATGGAACCTTAACAGCAAATCTGCCAGTTTGTTCAGTTAGAGAAGGCTGTGTGGAGAAGGGAAAGCCTCTCATGCCCCCTTCCTTTCCCGGCTGCTGCACAACAGCCCTGCAGTGCTGCCAGTTGAGTCTTAAGTCTCCACCAGTTGCTGCCACCGCCACCCAATAAGGGGAGCAGGTGGCGCTGTGGTCTAAACCACCGAGCCTCTTGGGCTTGCCGATCGGAAGGTCGGCAGTTCCAATCCGCTCAATGGTGGTGAGCTCCCATTGCCGTGTCCCAGCTCCTGCCAACTTAGCAGTTCGAAAGCACACCAGCACAAGTAGATAAATAGGTACTGCTGCAGCAGGAAGGTAAATGGCGTTTCCGTGCGCTCTGGTTTCCGTCACGGTGTCCGTTGCACCAGAAGCAGTTTAGCCATGCTGGCCACATGACCTGGAAAGCTGTCTGTGGACAAACGCCGGCATCTTAACCGTCTGGGGGTCCTTTACCTTTCTACCTTTTACCACCAGCCTCATTTTTAGGCATCACCCACAGTCCCAGAACCCAAGAGGTGGAGGGGGGTGGACTGGGGCTGCACCAAAGCAATTCATTTTTTTATTTGGAAAAAAAAGACTCCTAGCAACTGCACCCTGCACTCCTCACCTGCACACAATGTAATGGGGAAAGGGGGGCTAACTTCCAGCTGCCTTATCCCACTCCAAGATCAAAGCAGCTCCACCCACCCACCCACATCTTAAAGCCCTGGAACACCGGGACCAATGCATCCCCCATTTCCCAGACCGTTCACTTACATGTTGCTCACAGTGTAAAAGCAGCCCACGCTCCCCAAGTCTTTCCAAGATCAAAGAAGAATGTGCTGGTTTCTTACAACGCTGATCCTCAACATTCAAATTAGCATGAATTCCATGCACATGGGGATTCCAGAATCTTGAGGTTGGTTACTGCACACACTTAAGCGGTCAAAAAGTGAAGCTTTATTAGAAATAAAAGGCAAGGGGAAGCAGGTAGAGGAAGCAGAATACAAAAATAAACCAAAGCGCTGCAGGACAGGGGTCACCAAACTTTCTGAGGCTGAGCTGTGGCGTGGATTGGGGTGGTTTCCCTGGTTGCAAAATTTTAACACCCAGTGCTGCTTCAATACAGCTGTGTGCTTTCATCAGTGGACTCTGTTGAAGACGACTTCTCCATGTGAACCAGGAAGTGACCTCTTCAGACAACGGAACGACTCTTCTTATCTCTGCAGCTGCCATCTCCTGGGTGACACGGATGCCATGAGGCATATATACCTGTTTCCCTCCATCCCACCCACTCACCCCCTCCACGCAGCCACAGGCGCTGGCACGCCATGCTCTGCCACTGAGCCTGAGGGCACATTAGCAAACCTGATAAGCTGTTGTGGGCACACTCCACAACCTGTTATACCGGTTGCAGTAAAATGTTGCTCTTTTTTAAAAAATATTTTTAAATTAAATTTGCCACTTTAACAATCCAATCAAATCACATTAAATATTCCAAATTATACAATTAAATATCATATAGTCCAAATATTCTGCAAAATTTTAAATTTTTAGTAGGACTTCCCATGCTTCAAGTTCGGGGGGGGGGGGCTCTGATCATCTCATATATCTGCTGCCTTGAGTTTCTAATAGTTCCTTTAAATCTTCCTGTTGTTAACCTTCAGTAAAATGTTGCTTTAAGTGCAGGGAAGGGACTCCGTGGATTTTAGGAAAGGCCTCTGTTAGCACGCGTGTGCCTGCAAGCACCACACTGGCAGCACCCGCAATAGGAACCTCTCAATCATCTTCCAAATTAAAAAGAAATTCTGTTTAAGGTAATCAACAATGGCTGATATCCCAACCTCCATGGGGACCAGATGCTTCCAGGGAGAATAATAATGGGGGTTCATGCATGCTCACGTATAAGTGAATGAGGCAAGCCCAAGCTATGTGTTATGGCAACGTTCACATCTGCATGGGAGAAGCTGGATTGTGGAAAGTGAAGGTAGCTGGACAGTCTGTCAAGTGGAAATAAAAAATGGATTGGTAATAACATACATGTGTGTGCATCCAATTACAGATTGCACAAGAGGTTCACAGGCCATAGGTGACACAGTGATGGGCTGTGCTATAATTCTTATGATTAGGTTCTACACCCCAGCCCAGAGACTCCTGCGTGGAGATCTTGTTCAGTAATTTATTTCCAAGCTACTTTACAGCATAACCTATGATATGCGGCCTAATAGGGGGCCATTTTAAAGGGGCATCTATGTGCCGTAGCTTCAGCTCTGAGAAGCCAGCTTTTTCCAGGACGTTCCAGGTTTCTCTGGTCATGTGGCACCCGTCAAACAGACATATCCAAGTTGGATCAGAGATCTGCTGCCAGAAGAGAGTCCAACTGGAAGGAGCACCTGCAACGTGTTCTAGGAAGAAGTAAGCGCCACCCTGGAGAAAAAGAAATGAATGCATATAAGTTACTTTCTATTCTCCTTTGGATTTCCTCAGATATTCCTTTGCATAATCAGCGCTAATGGTATCAGAGTGCTGTTAACTTTTCATGGCAACAGCCACTGCCTCCCTGAATTCTGTCCTGAATCTTCCCACATTCAGCTGCATTGGATGGCTTTGGGGTTCTAGTCTTATGAGAGGAACACAGACTGCTCAGTGGGTTAGAGCATGGTGCTGAGAATGCCAAGGTTGCAGGTTCGATCCCTGTACGGGACAGTTGCATATTCCTTCCTTGTAGGGGGTTGGACTAGATGATCCTCAGGCTCCCTTCTAATTCTACAATTCTATGATTTCTCTGTCTGCTTTCTCCATTCCGAGCATAACATTACACATCTCCATATCTGCCTTTTCTCACAGCTGCTACAAGCTGGGTCAACCTCTTCACCAAACTATCTGCTATGGCTGCAAAGTCTCATCCCTGGTCACTTACCACCAATTTAGGATTCCTGAGGTTATACGTGATTTTATATTTATTTATCACCCCCAAATCACTCTACACTTGATTACTTTGAACTTCATTGGCCATTTTAATGCCCATTCGCTCAGTTTGGAGCAGGAGTGCCAACTTGAATAAAATATTGGGGAAGGCCAGGTATGCCCCTCCCCATATAATCAACCACAAGAAGTAGTACACAGACACACTCCATTTTAATCGTATTGCCCACCACCTATGGGGGTTCCCGGCCCCCTCAAATATTTTATTCGTGGGGTCAATGGGACCTCGGCCCCTAGGAGTTGGTTCTATGGTTTGGAGAAATCCTTTTGGAGCTTTTCACAACCGCTTTTTGCCAACGTGAAAAATTGTCAAACCTGACCCCAGTTCAGTCCTTGGACATGTTAATGATTAACAGGTTGAGTTTAAGGGCTCGTTTCTCAAATAACTGATTGTGAAAACTGTAAATTCAAGTACCGGTACACTGTGAACTGGTATGTAAACTGTTCAAAATTCCGAAGTTTATTTATGTTGGGTGCTTTTAGGATTGTGAACTGGGGTAACTAACTAACCTTTTCGGCCCAAGGTTGCAGTCATGCTTAGCAAACCCTTTGAGAGCTGCATGCCAATGCTGAGAAAGACCAAAAGTCAGTATGGATCCATACAGATGTAAGAGTTGAAAAGGGGAGCTATCCCTTTTTCTGGTGAGGGCAATTTACATCCTCATCAGGCCACTGGGCTTGAAGGAGAGGTTTATATAACTTCATCCACCCTAGTACCCTGGCAGGTATTTAACTAAGTAGACCTATTGAAATTACGGTAATCACGGTGACTAAGAGAGGTTCATTCATTTTAATAGGTCTACTCTGCACTTAATGCTACCTTATTTTATTTTTTGTGGCAGCTGTCCAAATTGGTCGTGTTGCAGGGAGAAAGATAATAACTGTTTGGTCTGGATCATGTCCCTATGCTAAGAGCCCTAGAAATTACGTCCCGGTTTCTGATTTGATCCTGGAATGTCCTGCTTTTCCTCAGTCCCTATTTTCATCAGAGAAAAGTTGGAGGATATGTAGTTATGTGACCCCCAAGCCAAGGAGATAAGTAACTATACAACCTTTAGAAGACATCTGAAGGCAGCCCTGTATAGGGATTTTTAAAAAAATGTTTTATGTTTTATTATGTTTTTATGTATGTTGAAAGCAACCCAGAGTGGTTGGGGCAACCAATAATACAATTGCTGCTGTTGTTGTTTAATAGGATGTCCCTATTTTCATCAAATAAATGTTGGAGGGTATGGGATCTGTCACTAGAGTCAGTTAACAGCTTAGCCAATGGTGATTTTGAGTTTGCCCCCGACTTTGCCAGTTTCATTGGTAAGCAGAGATGGAAGATGTCAAGGAAATCTCAGTGGGTGAAACAGATACATTTTACTCACTATACTTCGAAAGGAAAGAGAGGCTATAATGTGTTTAAAAAGCCATTCCCAGACATGAATCATTCTATTTTTTTTTTTTTTAAAGGCAGGTGGGGATAGACACAAAACAAATGCAGAGAGGCTGAAATGTGAGGAGGAGAAATAATAATAATAATAATTTATTTATTTATTTATTCATACATACATACAGGTTTCCCCAGCCACTCTGGATAGCTCCCAACAGAATATTAAAAACACGATAAAAGATCAAACATTAAAAACGTCCCTAAACAGGGCTGCCTTGAGATGTCTTCTAAAAGTTTATTTCCTTGACATCTGATGGCAGGGCGTTCCACAGGGTGGGTGCCACTACCGAGAAGGCCCTCTGTGTGGTTCCCTTCACTGCTCTCGGAGCTGGATCACAGTGTCCGGGCTGAACGACGGGAGTGGAGAGGCTGCTTCAGGTATACTGGGCCTTCCTGCCCAACCCTCTTATCAGTTTCAACATCAGAGACAAGCATGTTTAAAAATTTGCTTTGGTCTTTCACAAGCGCGCAACAACAACGGACAATATAATAAGAGGCATGTCTAGGATCTGTCTAAGGTGCCCTCAATAACACAGAGTGTGGGATTGTTTCTTCCTAACTTTAGTTAGGGAGAAAAGCAAGGGAGTGATCCCAACATTTGCAACTTATGAGAATGTAAATAGCTCAGAAGCAAATTGGTTTACGCAGGAACAACAAGGGATCTGAATCCATCTACCTGCATTTGTGATTCCCCAACGGATATAGAATTGACTTAACACCCGAGAATACACATGCCCCTGCAGTTACTGAATTGTCCTTGTTCTTCCCACGGCGTGAGCTACTTACCGGTCTCAGCACCCGTAGGATTTCTTTCATAACTTGCTCGGGGCTCTTCACAGAGCATAGCACCGTCGTTGAAACCACCACATCCACCGATGCAGCTGGTACCTGGTGCAGGTCCTCAGCCGGAGCCACCAAACAGCGTTCCACCTGCACATGTGGATTTTTAGCCAGGCTCTTGTTGTAAAACTTCTGGAAGTTGGGGTTCGGATCAGTGCATATGATTTTGCATCCCGTGGGGTAGAACTGAAAGTTGGTGCCAGTTCCTGCACCAATCTCCAACAGTGTGAGGGCCCCCGTAGGACTGGCAAAGTCCTTCAGGTTGCTGAACAGTTCCTTTTTCTTGTCAGACATGTGCTTGTTATAATAGAGGGACGCCACAGACATGAAGCAGGGGAATAACTTCTTGCAAAGTGGTTCCCAGATACCCAGATACCACAGCAAGTAAACAGGGAAGGCTAATATCTGGACGCAGAACCTGAGCAGGACAACTAGGCATGTTGCTTCCATGTTAGCAAGAGGGCAGAAAACAGCAAAGTCAGAGGAGAAGAGAAAGTCAGTTGCAGAGTCTCGAGGGTGAGGCAAGAGGACGTTGGGCATCCTGTATTTAAAGACTCTGACCCTCCTCCGAATTGGCATCAAAACACCCCAGCAACCCAATTTAACCAATTATGCCTTGGGTTATCCAAATCTTCCCAGCAAGAACAGGATGGCTTGTATCCCCCAACCACAACATGTGCTCTCTGTTAGGGAGAACACGCTGTGCCAGAGCCCTTGGCAGTGACCACACTGGCTGTGAGATCTGAAAGGGTGGAGAGGGATATTGCTCATAAACTAAACACACTCTCTCTCTCACACACACACACTCACCAATAACCTTGCCCCTGTCAGAGGGAACTTAAAAACTGTATTTGCTGTCTTTAAGAGGGAAATAATCTCATTTAGGGGGTATTCTAACACATTATTGCAGAAGTACTCCACGGTCCTAAATGCCGGATTTACGTATAAGCTAAACAAGTTATAGCTTAGGGCCCCATTGTCTTGGAGCCCCCCCCACCCCCCAATTTGAAGGAAACAAAACTTGTACATTTCCAAAATATAAGATAAAAAACAAATAAAACAAAACATACATACACCAACACTGTTTTGTGATGTGTAGACTTTAAGTGCAGGGAAGGGACTCCGTGGGTTTCAGGAAAGGCCTCTGTTAGCACGCGTGTGCCTGCAAGCACCACACTGGCAGCACCCGCAATAGGAACCTCTCAATCATCTTCCAAATTAAAAAGAAATTCTGTTTAAGGTAATGGACAATGGTGTGGTGTAGTGGTTAAGAGCGGTGGACTCGTAATCTGGGTTTGCTTCCCCGCTCTTCCACATGCAGCTGATGGGTGACCTTGGGCTTGTCACACTTCTCTGAAGTCTCTCAGCCCCACTCACCTCACAGAGTGTTTGTTGTGGGGGAGGAAGGGAAAGGAGATTGTTAGCCACTTGGAGACTCCTTAAGGGGAGTGAAAGGCGGGATATCAAGTTCAAACTCTTCTTCTTCTGATATCCCAACCTCCATGGGGATCAGATGCTTCCAGGGAGAATAGTAATGGGAGTTCATGCATGCTCACGTGTAAGTGAATGAGGCAAGCCCAAGCTATGTGTTACAGCAACGTTCACATCTGCATGGGAGCAGCTGGATTGTGGAAAGTGAAGGTAGCTGGAGAGTCTGTCAAGTGGAAATAAAAAATGGATTGGCGATAACATACATGTGGCACAGGGTTCTGTCTTGGGCCCGGTCTTATTCAACATCTTTATCAACGACTTGGATGATGGACTCAGGGGCATCCTTTAGAAGACATCTGAAGGCAGCCCTGTATAGGGATTTTTAAAAAATGTTTTATGTTTTATTATGTTTTTATGTATGTTGAAAGCAGCCCAGAGTGGTTGGGGCAACCAATAATACAATTGCTGCTGTTGTTGTTTAATAGGATGTCCCTATTTTCATCAAATAAATGTTGGAGGGTATGGGATCTGTCACTAGAGTCAGTTAACAGCTTAGCCAAGGGTGATTTTGAGTTTGCCCCCGACTTTGCCAGTTTCATTGGTAAGCAGAGACGGAAGATGTCAAGGAAATCTCAGTGGGTGAAACAAATACATTTTACTCACTATACTTCAAAAGGAAAGAGAGGCTATAATGTGTTTAAAAAGCCATTCCCAGACATGAATCATTCAATTTTTCTTTTTTCTTAAAGGCAGGTGGGAATCGGCACAAAACAAATGCAGAGAGGCTGAAATGTGAGGAGGAGGAATAATAATAAGAATAATAAGAATAATAAGAATAATAAGAATAATAAGAATAATAAGAATAATAAGAATAATAATAATTTATTTATTCATTCATACATACATACAGGTTTCCCCAGCCACTCTGGATGGCTCCCAACAGAATATTAAAAACACGATAAAAGATCAAACATTAAAAACGTCCCTAAACAGGGCTGCCTTCAGATGTCTTCTAAAAGTTTATTTCCTTGGCACGGCGTTTGACAGGGTGGGCGCCACTACCGAGAAGGCCCTCTGTCTGGTTCCCTTCACTGCTCAAAGTGAGCGAACCGCCAGAAGGCCCTCGGAGCTGGATCTCAGTGTCCGGGCTGAATGACGGGAGTGGAGAGGCTGCTTCAGGTATATTGGGCCTTCCTGCCCAACCCTCTTATCAGTTTCAACATCAGAGACAAGCATGTTTAAAAATTTGCTTTGGTCTTTCACAAGTGCGCAACAACAACGGACAAAATAATAAGAGGCATGTCTAGATCTGTGTAAGGTGCTCTCAATAACACAGAGTGTGGGATTGTTTCTTCCTAACTGTAGTTACGCAGAAACAACAAGGGATCCGAATCCATCTGCCTGCATTTGTGATTCCCCAACGGATATAGAATTGACTAACACCCGAGAATACACATGCCCCTGCAGTTACACAGCTATGTGTTATGGCAACGTTCACATCTGCATGGGATCAGATGCTTCCAGGGAGAATAGTAATGGTAGTTCATGCATGCTCACGTGTAAGTGAATGAGCCAAGCCCAAGCTATGTGTTACGGCAACGTTCACATCTGCATGGGAGCAGCTGGATTGTGGAAAGTGAAGGTAGCTGGACAGTCTGTCAAGTGGAAATAAAAAATGGATTGGTAATAACACACATGTCTGTGCATCCAATTACAGATTGTGCAAGAGGTTCACAGGCCATAGGTGACATAGTGATGGGCTATGCTATAATTCTTATGATTAGGTTCTACACCCCAGCCCAGAGACACCTGCGTGGAGATTTTGTTCAGAAATTTATTTCCAAGCTACTTTACAGCATAACCTATGATATGCGGCCTAGTAGGATGCCATTTTAAAGGAGCATGTATGTGCCGTAGCTTCAGCTCTGAGAAGCCAGCTTTGTCCAGGTCGTTCCAGGTTTCTCTGGCCAAGTGGCACCCGTCAAACAGACATATCCAAGTTGGATCATAGATCTGCTGCCAGAAGAGAGTCCAGCTGGAAGGAGCACCTGCAACGTGTTCTAGGAAGTAGAAAGCGCCACCCTGGAGAAACAGAAATGAATGCATATAAGTTACTTTCTATTCTCCTTTGGATTTCCTCAGATATTCCTTTGCATAATCAGCACTAATGGTATCAGAGTGCTGTTAATTTTTCATGGCAACAGCCACTGCCTCCCTGAATTCTGTCCTGAATCTTCCAACATTCAGTTGCATTGGATGGCTTTGGGGTTCTAGTCTTATGAGAGGAACACAGACTGCTCAGTTGGTTAGAGCGTGGTGCTGAGAACGGCAAGGTTGAAGGTTCGATCCCTGTATGGGACAGCTGCATATTCCTGCCTTGTAGGGGGTTGGACCAGATGATCTCCAGGCTCCCTTCTAATTCTACAATTCTATGATTTCTCTGTCCACTTTCTCCATTCGGAGCATAACATTACACATCTCCATCATTTGCCTTTTCTCACAGCTGCTACAAGCTGGGTCAACCTCTTCACCAAACTATCTGCTATGGCTGCAAAGTCTCATCCCTGGTCACTTACCACCAATTCAGATTTCTGAGGTTATACGTGATTTTATTTTTATTTATCACCCCCAAATCACTCTACTCTTGATTACTTTGAACTTCATTGGCCATTTTAATGCGCATTCGCTCAGTTTGGAGCAGGAGTGCCAACTTGAATAAAATATTGGGGAAGGCCAGGTATGCCCCTCCCCATATAATCAACCACAAGAAGTAGTACACTGAAACACTCCATTTTAATCGTATTGCCCATCACCTATGGGGGTTTCGGCCCCCTCAAATATTTTATTCGTGGGGTCAATGGGACCTCGGCCCCTAGGAGTTGGTTCTATGGTTTGGAGAAATCCTTTTGGAGCTTTTCACAACCGCTTTTTGCATCAACCAACGTGAAAAATTTGGTATCATTGTCAAACTTGACCCCAGTTCTGTCCTTGGACATGTTAATGATTAACAGGTTGAGTTTAAGGGCTCGTTTCTCAAATAACTGATTGTGAAAACTGTAAATTCAAGTACCGGTACACTGTGAACTGGTATGTAAACTGTTCAAAATTCCAAAGTTTATTTATGTTGGGTGCTTTTAGGATTATGAACTGGGGTAACTAACCAACCTTTTGGGCCCAAGGTTGCAGTCATGCTTAGCAAACCCTTTGAGAGCTGCATGCCAATGCTGAGAAAGACCAAAAGTCAGTATGGATCCATACAGATGTAAGAGTTGAAAAGGGGAGCTATCCCTTTTCCTGGTGAGGGCAATTTACATCCTGATCAGGCCACTGGGCTTGAAGGAGAGGTTTTAAATAACTTCATCCACCCTAGTACCCTGGCAGGTATTTAACTAAGTAGGCCTATTGAAATTACGGTAATCACGGGGACTAAGAGAAGTTCATTCATTTTAATATGTCTACTCTGCACTTAATTCTACCTTATGTTATTTTTGGTGGCAGCTGTCCAAATTGGTCGTGTTGCAGGGAGAAAGATAATAACTGTTTGGTCTGGATCATGTCCCTATGCTAAGAGCCCTAGATTTACGTCCCGGTTTCTGATTTGATCCTGGAATGTCCTGCTTTTCCTCAGTCCCTATTTTCATCAGAGAAATGTTGGAGGATATGGAGTTATGTGACCCCCCAAGCCAAGGAGATAAGTAACTATACAACCTTTAGAAGACATCTGAAGGCAGCCCTGTATAGGGATTTTTAAAAAAATGTTTTATGTTTTATTATGTTTTTATGTATGTTGAAAGCAACCCAGAGTGGTTGGGGCAACCAATAATACAATTGCTGCTGTTGTTGTTTAATAGGATGTCCCTATTTTCATCAAATAAATGTTGGAGGGTATGGGATCTGTCACTAGAGTCAGTTAACAGCTTAGCCAAGGGTGATTTTGTGTTTGCCCCCGACTTTGCCAGTTTCATTGGTAAGCAGAGATGGAAGATGTCAAGGAAATCTCAGTGGGTGAAACAGATACATTTTACTCACTATACTTCGAAAGGAAAGAGAGGCTATAATGTGTTTAAAAAGCCATTCCCAGACATGAATCATTCTATATATTTTTTTTAAGGCAGGTGGGAATCGGCACAAAACAAATGCAGAGAGGCTGAAATGTGAGGAGGAGGAATAACAACAACAACAACAACAACAACAACAACAACAACAATAATAATAATAATTTATTTATTTATTCATTCATACATACAGGTTTCCCCAGCCACTCTGGATGGCTCCCAACAGAATATTAAAAACACGATAAAAGATCAAACATTAAAAACGTCCCTAAACAGGGCTGCCTTCAGATGTCTTCTAAAAGTTTATTTCCTTGGCAGGGCGTTCCACAGGGTGGGCACCACTACCGAGAAGGCCCTCTGTCTGGTTCCCTTCACTGCTCAAAGTGAGCGAACCGCCAGAAGGCCCTCGGAGCTGGATCTCAGTGTCCGGGCTGAACGACGGGAGTGGAGAGGCTGCTTCAGGTATATTGGGCTTTCCTGCCCAACCCTCTTATCAGTTTCAACATCAGAGACAAGCATATTTTAAAATTTGCTTTGGTCTTTCACAAGTGCGCAACAACAACGGACAAAATAATAAGAGGCATGTCTAGATCTGTGTAAGGTGCTCTCAATAACACAGAGTGTGGGATTGTTTGTTCCTAACTGTAGTTACGCAGAAACAACAAGGGATCCGAATCCATCTACCTGCATTTGTGATTCCCCAACGGATATAGAATTGACTAACACCCGATAATACACATGCCCCTGCAGTTACTGAATTGTCCTTGTTCTTCCCACGGCGTGAGCTACTTACCGGTCTCAGCACACGTAGGACTTCTTTCATAACTTGCTCGGGGCTCTTCACAGAGCATAGCACCAGCGTTGAAACCACCACATCCACCGATGCAGCTGGTACCTGGTGCAGGTCCTCAGCCGGAGCCACCAAACAGCGTTCCACCTGCACGTGTGGATTTTCAGCCAGGCTCTTGTTGAGAAACTTCTGGAAGTTGGGGTTCGGATCAGTGCATATGATTTTGCATCCCATGGGGTAGAACTGAAAGTTGGTGCCAGTTCCCGCACCAATCTCCAGCAGTGTGAGGGCCCCCGTAGGACTGGCAAAGTCCTTCAGGTTGCTGAACATTTCCCTTTTCTTGTCGGATATCTGCTTATTATAACTGATTGTCATCACAGACATGAAGTAGGGGAATAACTTCTTGCAAAGGGGTTCCCAGATACCCAGATACCACAGCAAGTAAACAGGGAAGGCTAATATCTGGACGCATAACCTGAGCAGGACAACTAGGCATGTTGCTTCCATGTTAGCAGGAGGGCAGAAAACAGCAAAGCCAGAGGAGAAGAGAAAGTCAGTCGCAGAGTCTCGATGGTGGGGCTTGTTATTATGTGTTGCTTCCAGTCCTCAAAGATCTCAAAGGGTGGAAAGAAATATTGTTAATAAACTCCACACACACACAAACTCACCAATAACATGGTTTGTGCATGCACTTGTAATCTTGCCCGTCAGAGGAACTTAAAAACTGTATTTGCTGTCTTTAAGAGGGAAATAATCTCATTTAGGGGGTATTCTTACACTTTATTGCAGCAGTGTACTCTGTGGTCCTGTAGTAACCCAAAGTGAATGTTGGTTTAAATTTGTTACAAGCTTTTCCTAAATATAAGGAGAAACCTTTTTCCCATGGCAGAACTCTTTCACACCAAAACTGCGCTGAAAAATGTTGGGGTGGAAGGATTGGCTACCCCTGAGTTGAAACTACGGTAGTCTTCAGTAATATATTTGCTTCCCTTGTGGGTTTGTTTTTTTGTCTCAAGCAGCTGCAGACTTGAGCAGCAGTCCTGCCCTGCAAATGCTTTACTTTTATTCGCTCTGGCTGTTCTATATATATATATATATATATAAAATTAAATTTTCCAACATACATTTATAATATCCTATCTAAATTTTATCACATATTTTCTCTTTTTGACTTCCTTCAACCTCTCTGACAATCATCCATTATTCAAATTTTTAAATACGCATTTCCTAATTTTATATTGCATTTTATAAACCTTCACACCCTTAGTTTCCTTTGTCATTTACAGAACTTCTTGAAATCCCACTAGCGTTATTTGCTCATCACATACACATTTCAGATAGTCTGAAAATTTTCCCCAGTCTTCAATGAACTTTTGATCTCGTATATATCTGATCTTTCCTGTTGGTTTGTCTAGTTCAGCATAGTTTCATTCTCCATTCTTCGACCGTCGGCAGTTGTTCCTGTTTCCATTTTTGGGCCAATAATATTCTCGCTGCTGTTACTGCATATTGGAAAAGTTTACAATCCATTCTATTTATTTCATTTCCTACTATTCCTAGAAGAAAAGCCTCTGGTTTCTTAACAAACGTATATTTCAACATCTTTTTCATCTCATTATAGATCATTTCCCAGAAGCCCTTCACCTTCTTACAGTCCCACCACATATGGTAAAATGTTCCGTCTTTTTCTTTACATTTCCAACACTTATTACATGTTTTATACATTTTTGCCAGTTTCACAGGTGTGATGTACCATCTATAAATCATTTTCATAACATTTTCCTTTAACGCAGTACATGCCGTAAATTTTATATTTTCATTCCACAGTTTTATCCAATCGTTAAACTGTATGTTATAACCCAAATCTCTGGCCCAGTGTATCATAACTGATTTAACTTCCTCATCTTTTGTATACCATTCTAGCAAGATTTTATACATTTTGGACAAAATTTTATTTTCATTGTTTATTATTTCTATATGAAATTTAGATTCTTTTTCCTCATAACCTCTTTCTTTTAAGTCCTTTTTAAACATTTCGTTAACCTGATAATAATGCAAACAATCATACACATACTCTTTCACTTCTTCATAGGGTTTCATTTTCCATTTTCCTCCTTCCTTTATAATCAATTCTTTATATGTAATCCAGTTCCCCCTCATATTAACTTTCTTAAGACTCATAACTTCTAACGGAGATAGCCAGTGGGGAGTTCTTGTTTCTAATAAACTTCTATATCTCTCCCATATTTCTATGAGAGATCTTCTAAAGATGTGGTTTTCGAAGCCTTTATGAATCTTTCTTTTCTCACACCATAGATATGCGTGCCAGCCAAATCTGTTATCAAAACCTTCTAAATCCAATAACTCAGTATTTTTTAACTTTATCCATTCTTTCAGCCAGCAGAGACATGAAGCTTCATAATATAATTTCAAGTCTGGCAGGGCGAAGCCTCCTCTTTCTTTCGCATCCGTTAATAACTTATACATAATTCTTGGCTTCTTACCCTGCCAGATATATCTTGAAATTGCTCTTTGCCACTCTTTAAATATCGCTGTCCCCTTAATTATTGGAATTGTCTGAAATAAGAATAACATCTTTGGCAGCTGCCGCTCTGGCTGTTCTTTTGTTCTCTCGGTGGCAGAAGAGACATGGACACCTGATGGTTTTTATTACCTACTTTAGGTTAATTATAAATTAACCTAAACTGCATAACGTCAGATTTTTTGTGATTTCTTCAAAAAAAGATTTTCCGCAGGTTACGGTGTCAAGGCCTGATTTCTTAGCCTAGGATAAAAACCCTTTTGTTTTCACCGCTAAACCTTTCAGAGTGGCATTTGCAACCGTTTGGCACCATTTATGAGTGAATTGCATAACGTCAGGATTTTAGTGAAATTCTGACCACGCGGGTTAAGGATTTTTTCAAAAAAAGATTTTCCGCAACTTAAAGCGTCGAGGCCTGATTTCTTAGCCTAGGATAAAAACTCTTCTGTTTTCACCACCAAACCTTTCAGGGTGGCGTTTGCAACAGTTTGGCACCATTTATGAGTGAATTGGATGATGTCAGAATTTTAGTGAAATTCTGACCACGCGGGTTAAGGATTTTTTCAAAAAAAGATTTTCCGCAGCTTACGGAGTCGAGGCCTGATTTCTTAGCATAGGATAAAAACCCTTCTGTTGAGATTAGAATATAGGCATACAGCGATCCTTTCAGAATAAGTGGGCCCTGTAGCAGGAGCAGTGCTGGATTTACGTACTGTATAAGCTAAGCAAGCTATAGTGTAGGGCCCTACTCTGTTGGGCCCCCCCAAAAAATTAAAGGAAAAAAACTTGGATGTACATTTCCAAAATGTAAGATAAAAAAATAAAATAAAACCTACATACAGCAAGAGTGTTTTATGTTGTGTAGGCTCCTATGATGTAAGTAATGGGCCCCACCTGCTAGCCTGCCCCTAAAATATCACTGGTTTGCTCATTTCCATATAGGGGCCTACAATCTGCTATTTATAATTATTAGTAGTTTGCATCATATACCGTATTTTTCGCCCTATAGGACGCACTTTTCCCCTCCAAAAATGAAGGGAAATGTGTGTGCGTCCTATGGGGCGAATGCAGGCTTTTGCTGAAGCCTGGAGAGCGAGAGGCATCGGTGCGCACTGACCCCTCTCGCTCTCCAGGCTTCAGGAAGCTATCTGCAAGCCTTGCGAGCCCGAGGGAGTTCCCGCCCCGGAGCGCACCCCGTGCTTCGGGCAGATGTCTGCAAGCCTTGCGTGCCCGGCGGGAGGTCCTACCGGGCGCACAAGGCTTGGGGCAGTAGCTGGGGGGGGGAAATAATTTTCCCCGCGCCAGACCCGCGCCTGGGGAAAAAAATTTTTCCCCCTTTATTTCCCCCCCAAATAAACTAGGTGCGTCCTATGGGGCGGTGTGTCCTATGGGGCGAAAAATACGGTACTTATGTCAGAACTCCCTGACATAAGTTATATCAGTGAGCCTGAACTGTATGAGAGACAGGAAGAAGAGAGGGAAGAGGGCTTCAAAAGGAGGAGAGACTGAAGCGAAGAGAGATTCCCAGCCCACGGTGGGGGAGGAGAGAGAGGGCAGGGAAGAAACGCAAGAAGGGGAGACGCAGGAAAGGGAGCAGACAGATTCATGGATATCAGAAGACTGCAGGAACGTAAGAGAAGTGCCGTAAAGGCAACTGGCAGCAGTGATGATGATTGAAATTAGGCTGGCTCTTGCCCGTTGTGTAAATAGCAATAAACAAGGACTACAAAAAGTGCCTGAGGGCACGTTAGCAAACCAGATAAGCTGTTGTGGGCACAACCCACAATCTGTTATACCAGCTGCAATAAAACGTTGCTTTAAGTGCAGGGAAGGGACTCCGTGGGTTTCAGGAAAGGCCTCTGTTAGTACGCGTGTGCCTGCAAGCACCACACTGGCAGCACCTGCGATAGGAACCTCTCAGTCATCTTCCAAATTAAAAAGAAATTCTGTTTAAGGTAATGGACAATGGTGTGGTGTAGTGGTTAAGAGCGGTGGACTCGTAATCTGGGTTTGCTTCCCCGCTCTTCCATATGCAGCTGATGGGTGACCTTGGGCTTGTCACACTTCTCTGAAGTCTCTCAGCCTCACTCACCTTACAGAGTGTTTGTTGTGGGGGAGGAAGGGAAAGGAGATTGTTAGCCGCTTGGAGACTCCTTAAGGGGAGTGAAAGGCGGGATATCAAGTCCAAACTCTTCTTCTTCTGATATCCCAACCTCCATGGGGATCAGATGCTTCCAGGGAGAATAGTAATGGGATTTCATGCATGCTCACGTGTAAGTGAATGAGGCAAGCCCAAGCTATGTGTTACGGCAACGTTCACATCTGCATGGGAGCAGCTGGATTGTGGAAAGTGAAGGTAGCTGGACAGTCTGTCAAGTGGAAATAAAAAATGGATTGGTAATAACACACATGTCTGTGCATCCAATTACAGATCGCAAAAGAGGTTCACAGGCCATAGGTGACACAGTGATGGGCTGTGCTATAATTCTTATGATTAGGTTCTACACCCCAGCCCAGAGACACCTGCGTGGAGATTTTGTTCAGAAATTTATTTCCAAGCTACTTTACAGCATAACCTATGATATGCGGCCTAGTAGGGTGCCATTTTAAAGGAGCATGTATGTGCCGTAGCTTCAGCTCTGAGAAGCCAGCTTTTCCAGGTCGTTCCAGGTTTCTCTGGCCAAGTGGCACCCGTCAAACAGACAGATCCAAGTTGGATCATAGATCTGCTGCCAGAAGAGAGTCCAGCTGGAAGGAGCACCTGCAACGTGTTCTAGGAAGTAGAAAGCGCCACCCTGGAGAAACAGAAATGGATGCATATAAGTTACTTTCTATTCTCCTTTGGATTTCCTCAGATATTCCTTTGCACAATCAGCGCTAATGGTATCAGAGTGCTGTTAATTTTTCATGGCAACAGCCACTGCCTCCCTGAATTCTGTCCTGAATCTTCCCACATTCAGTTGCATTGGATGGCTTTGGGGTTCTAGTCTTATGAGAGAAACACAGACTGCTCAGTTGGTTAGAGCGTGGTGCTGAGAACGGCAAGGTTGCAGGTTCAATCCCTGTACGGGACAGCTGCATATTCCTTCCTTGTAGGAGGTTGGACCAGATGATCTCCGGGCTCCCTTCTAATTCTACAATTCTATGATTTCTCTGTCCGCTTTCTCCATTCCGAGCATAACAATACACATCTCCATCATTTGCCTTTTCTCACAGCTGCTACAAGCTGGGTCAACCTCTTCACCAAACTATCTGCTATGGCTGCAAAGTCTCATCCCTGGTCACTTACCACCAATTCAGATTCCTGAGGTTATACGTGATTTTATTTTTATTTATCACCCCCAAAGCACTCTACTCTTGATTACTTTGAACTTCATTAGCCATTTTAATGCGCATTCGCTCAGTTTGGAGCAGGAGTGCCAACTTGAATAAAATATTGCGGAAGGCCAGGTATGCCCCTCCCCATATAATCAACCACAAGAAGTAGTACACTGACACACTCCATTTTAATCGTATTGCCCATCACCTTTGTGGGTTCCCGGCCCCCTCAAATATTTTATTTGTGGGGTCAATGGGACCTTGGCCCCTAGGAGTTGGTTCTATGGTTTGGAGAAATCCTTTTGGAGCTTTTCATAACCGCTTTTTGCATCAACCAACGTGAAAAATTTGGTATCATTGTCAAACTTGACCCCAGTTCTGTCCTTGGACATGTTAATGATTAACAGGTTGAGTTTAAGGGCTCGTTTCTCAAATAACTGATTGTGAAAACTGTAAATTCAAGTACCGGTACACTGTGAACTGGTATGTAAACTGTTCAAAATTCTGAAGTTTATTTATGTTGGGTGCTTTTAGGATTATGAACTGGGGTAACTAACCAACCTTTTGGGCCCAAGGTTGCAGTCATGCTTAGCAAACCCTTTGAGAGCTTCATGCCAATGCTGAGAAAGACCAAAAGTCAGTATGGATCCATACAGATGTAAGAGTTGAAAAGGGGAGCTATCCCTTTTCCTGGTTCATCAAATAAATTAACTGATGACCGAGGAGAGGGCAATTTACATCCCCATCAGGCCACTGGGCTTGAAGGAGAGGTTTAAATAACTTCATCCACCCTAGTACCCTGGCAGGTATTTAACTAAGTAGACCTATTGAAATTACGGTAATCACGGTGACTAAGAGAAGTTCATTCATTTTAATAGGTCTACTCTGCACTTAATGCTACCTTATGTTATTTTTGGTGGCAGCTGTCCAAATTGGTGGTGTTGCAGGGAGAAAGATAATAACTGTTTGGTCTGGATCATGTCCCTATGCTAAGAGCCCTAGATTTACGTCCCGGTTTCTGATTTGATCCTGGAATGTCCTGCTTTTCCTCAGTCCCTATTTTCATCAGAGAAATGTTGGAGGATATGTAGTTATGTGACCCCCAAGCCAAGGAGATAAGTAACTATACAACCTTTAGAAGACATCTGAAGGCAGCCCTGTATAGGGATTTAAAAAAAAATGTTTTATGTTTTATTATGTTTTTATGTATGTTGAAAGCAGCCCAGAGTGGTTGGGGCAACCAATAATACAATTGCTGCTGCTGTTGTTTAATAGGATGTCCCTATTTTCATCAAATAAATGTTGGAGGGTATGGGATCTGTCACTAGAGACAGTTAACAGCTTAGCCAAGGGTGATTTTGAGTTTGCCCCCGACTTTGCCAGTTTCATTGTTAAGCAGAGATGGAAGATGTCAAGGAAATCTCAGTGGGTGAAACAAATACATTTTACTCACTATACTTCGAAAGGAAAGAGAGGCTACAATGTGTTTAAAAAGCCATTCCCAAACATGAATCATTCTATTTTTCTTTTTTTTAAAGGCAAGCCGGTGCCCACACCTGGCTGGGTTGCCTAAGTGAACCTTTTCTGTCCGGACAGCCACTCACCCGTGGCTGTCTCAATCGCTGGCAGAATCTGTCAGTGGGCGTTTCTTAAACTTCTTCCAGCAAAGAAGTTCTTTCACGTCTCCTACTTTCCCTGCGCGGAAGCCTTCTGCGCAAAGAATGCGTAGGCAGCGGAGGACCCTTCCTCCCCCCGCTGGTCCCAGGCAAGGAGTCATGTGACTCCCTCTCAGATTCCCCCATCTGCCCCCCTTCTCCACTGGAGCTGAGCTGATTCCCTTCCCCAGAAGATGAGCTGCCTCTCCCAATCCTGTGACGCTCTCTGGGATCCCTCTGGAGCTCTCTCTCTCCCTCCGGCACTGATGGCAGTTCCCTGACATCCACCTCCTCCTCAGGACCCCTCCCACCCCGGCACCCTTTTCCGACACAACCTCCTCTCTCTCCTCGGCCGACGATGAGGGGAACCCCCTGAAAGAGCTATCATCCTCTTCTGAGGATTCAAAACCAGCCTCCCATCCGCTGGGATCTCTTCCCACTGGTTGAACTTCCCCGTCTGATTCTTCTCCCTTGGACACCTCCTCTCCCTCCTCTTCTGAGGCAGGAAAACCCACAAAGTCCCCTTCGTCGTCTGTGGGTCCAAATTCTTCCTCCCAAAATCTAGCTAATGGTTTGGGCTTATCCGGGAACAAACTGTGGAATTCTTCCACCAGATACTCGTCAGTGATTGATTCAGCCAGGACCCACGTGTTTTCCGACCGGGGTTCCCCCTCCCAGGCTACCAAGTACTCTACCTGGTGACCTCGCCACCTTGAATCGAGTATTTCCGTGGCTTCGTTAGTGTTCCCTCTCCTCGACCCGTGGGTGGGTGGTGACCCCTTGCTCCTGTCCCGGGAATTCCCGCCCCTCCCTGTACGGTGAAAGTAGGGACCTGTGGAACACCGGATGTATCTTCATGCTGTCAGGCAACTTGAGTTTAAATGCCACTGGGTTCACCTGCTGCGTTACCTCAAAAGGCCCCAGCCGCCTAGGCTGCAACTTCTTGCACCCTCCCTTTAGGGGCAACCCTTGGGATGACAACCACACCCTGTCTCCCACCCATATAGCCTCCCCCTCCCGACGTTGCCTGTCTGCCTGCCTCTTGTAAACTTCCTTGGCCCACTCTAAGTTCAGCCTGAGTTGCTGGTGTAAGGCCTCCATTTCCTCCACAAATTGCTCAGCCGCAGGTACGCTCCATCCTTCCTCCCCACGCCCCGGGAATGCCCTGGGGTGACACCCGTAATTGGCCATGAAAGAGCTCATTCCCGTGGACACATGTTCAGCGTTATTGTACGCAAATTCAGCCAAAGCTAATTTCTCTACCCAATCGTTCTGTCTCTCGCTGACATAGCAGCGTAGGTATTGCTGGAGTACGCCGTTCGCTCTTTCGGCTTGTCCGTTGGTTTCTGGGTGCCTGGCCGTCAAGAAGCTCACCTCGACCTGGAGCAAGCTCATGAGTTTCCACCAGAACCGGGAAGTAAATTGTTTCCTGCGATCTGAGATTACCCTCAATGGAACTCCATGCAGTCTGAAAATGTGATCCACAAACAGTCTGGCTGTCTCCTCTGCCGTTGCTGCATGTGAGCACGCTACGAAATGGCACATTTTTGTCAGTAGATCGACTACTACCATGACCGCTGTCTTTCCCCTCGACTTGGGCAGATCTGTCATAAAATCAATGGACACCACCTCCCAGGGCCTTTCCGGTGTGGGTAGGGGTTCCAGTAACCCCGCGGGGGCAGCCCTTTCCCCCTTTGCCCTCTGGCATCAGTTGCACCCCCGTACATATTCTCTTACGTCTTCCCTCACCTTTGGCCACCAGAACTGCCTGGTGACAAGTAACATGGTCTTGTGCTGTCCAAAGTGCCCAGCTGTTGGGTTGTCGTGGAGTTGTTTAAGTACCTTCCCCCTCAAAGTCTCCCCCGGTACATACAGCGCCCCCGTATAGTACAATAGCCCTTCCTTTTCCTCGAACCCTCCATTGACTTCCCTTCCGTCCCTGAGTTCCCTGATTTTCGCCTGAGCAAACTCATCGTGCCTGGTGAGCCCTGCCAGTTCCCGTTTCCCAACCAACGCTCCCCCACCCACCCACCGATCCTCGGGGAACACGTGCCTGGTCTCTGGGGGCCCCTCTCCTTCCATGTACTCCGGTTTCTGGGAGAGAGCATCTGCCCTTACGTTTTCCTCTCCTGGCACATATCGGATCTCGAAGAAAAACTTGGCGAACTCCTGGGACCATCTGATCTGTCTCTGGTTGAGCACTCGCACGGTCTGCCAGTATTCCAAGTTCTTGTGGTCAGTTCTGACCTGAATCTTGTGCCGCGCCCCTATCAATAGATGTCTCCATTGCCGAAATGCCGCATAGATGGCAAGCAGCTCGCGGTCATACACTGTGTAGTTTTGTTCTGGCTTGCTCAGCTTCCTTGAGAAAAAGGCACACGGCATCCAGTTCTGCTTATCCCCAGGCTGCAAAAGGACCGCTCCAATGGCGCGGTCGGACGCGTCCGTCTCCAGCCTCATGGGCTTCTCCGGATCCACGTGCAGGAGCTGTTCTTCCGAGGCAAACCCCCTCTTCAGTTTTTCAAAGGATTGCTGCACTCCCTCTGTCCACGCAAACTTCTTTTTGCTACTAAGACAATCCGTTATGGGCGCTGTCAAGTGAGTGAAGTTCCTTATGAACTTCCTATAGAAGTTGCTGAAGCCTAGGAACATTTGCACATCCTTTCTGTTTTTGGGGGCTTTCCATTCCAGCACTGCCTTTACCTTGCCCGGATCCATGGCTAGTCCTTTGTCTGACGGCTTGTATCTCAGGAACTCGACCTCTCTGGCGTGGAATTGGCATTTTTCCAGCTTGACCCACAACTGATGCTTCTTCAATCTCTGTAGCACCTCCCTGACGTCTCTGACGTGTTGCCTTTCACCGTCCGAATAGATTAAGACGTCATCCAAAAAGGCTAAGCAATTCTTGTACAGCAGGGGCCCCAACACATGGTGCATGAAGGCTTGAAAGCAGGCTGAGCCCGATTGTAATCCAAATGGCATCACTAAGTACTCAAAAGCCCCCAGGGGGGTGAACATGGTCGTTTTCCATTTGTCCCCCTCCCTTATCCTGATCAGATTGTATGCTCCCCTGAGGTCCAGCTTGGTAAAAATCTTTCCCTGCCTCA